TCTGCTTGTCATAAAGCTCACTCAAGAAGACCTGACAATCACGCTCTGTGACTTCACTGACTTGTCACTGTGCCCCCCCTGAAGGCAGGTTGACTTGTGGAATGAACTAAAAGGGAAAACTTCCTCCATTGAAAATGAATTGCCTTATTCATGCTATTGTTTAGTCTGATGATTTGGCTTGGTTTGTTGTTTAACGCCGCACTCAGAAATATTCCAGCTATATGACGGCAGTCCGTAAATAATCGAGTCTGAACCAGACAATCCAGTGATTAATATCATGAGAATCGATCCACGCAATTGGGACCGATGACATGTATCAACCAAGTCAGCGAGCCTGACCACCCAATCCCGTTAGTTGCCTTTTACGACAAGCATTTAGTCGCCTTTTACGGCAAGCATGAGTCTGATGAGTCTGATGATGATGATCATCATCATCAGAGTCAGAGTCATCATCAGAGCCATCATTAACACCCGTGAAGATCTGTTTTAGAACAGGTCTTTAGCAACCCATGCTTGCCGTAAAAGGTGACAATGCTTGTCATTAGAGGATCGGGTGGTCTGAGGCTCACTGACTTGGTTGATGCATGTCATCGTATCCCAATTTCATGGATCGGTGCTCATGATGTCAATCACTAGATTGTCTGGTCAAGACTTGATTATTTAGACTGACGTCATATCGCTGGAATATTGCTGAGTGCCGCCAGGCATTAAACAAACAAACAAACAAACAAACAAATAAAGAACACCTGATTCTCTCATATTACTAGAGTTAGTCTGTCATGGTATGATATAGCTGGAAAATTGTCATGGCATGACAGATTAACTATCATGACTATAGTAATATGAAAGAATCATGTGTCCTTTCCTTAACTTCTATTGAGTAGTATATGCAGAGTTCATCAAGCAGGATTTACACATGCTTTTACATGAATTATACTGAAACATTTCATCTGTGCCAGTGAACAGCTTCATTCATGAAATACTGTACCTCTTCCTTTCATAGTATGCCTTGATTGACTGGAAAGGAGATTGTAGCTGAATGAGATTATTAATATACCATGAAAGACTTCCTGTTGTTAAGGTTTTATTACATCTTTCATTGACAAAAAAGACTCTAATGAAGCACTAGTTGTTGTAACTTCTCACAATGCTGATACCACAGGGGGGCACGGCTGGCCCAGTCGTCTAAGGCGCCGTGATTCGCTGTGCAGAGTTGCGTCCCTTGGGCACGCCAGAAACCTATGATTGTGGGTTCGAATCCCAGTTCACCCCGATTATGTTTCTAGGTTTGTCAGCACCATACCCGTGCTCGTGGGTTTCACCGAAGTGTTAAACGTCTGAGACCTGCATCACTTCGGGCTTTCCTCCCACATTAAGCTGAAACCCCGTGATATGACTGGAAAACTGTTAAAAGCGGTGTTAGACCCAACTCACTCACTCACTCACTGATACCACAGGGGTTTTAGACTAGGATTTCAAACTATTAATGCCCTTGGGAGCAAATTGGAAAAATAAATTATTTGTTTTATATTTCTATATTTCTTTCTTATTTACTTCAATTTAGAGGTATTCTAAGACTGTATTTCAAAATTGCAATCGGTGCAATAATTCAAATCCAAGTTTTACGTGTTTCCCTCTTTATTATGTTTATTGTTCCCACTACCAGTTGAGTACAGTCGCCTGTAATTTAGAACATTAAGTCACTTAATGTACGGTGTGATTCGTAAATAGATCTGGTTAGGGAGTCTTTCTGAATAACTGCTTATTATAAGGTAGACACAATTTTATGGATAACAACTTCTTTAATACTGTAAAAAGCGATGTTTCAGTATAGATCCTTATACCTTATCCTTATAAGTATATATACTTATATCTTCTGTCAACTTCAAAGTTATGCCTATCAAACAATGGAACTGCTTGTTATGTAGCTCATTATGATATGACATCCCAGGACAAAGATGGATCACAAATGTTATTCTTACACTTAAATGTCTAAAGGACACACCAACAATGTCTTTCATGATGTCCTATTCTTTTCCAGGTGTATTATGCTTAACATATTCTTAAACATTTAACTCTGAAATCAAAGACAGAGAAACTACCATTAATCCTTCAATCACTATGTGTACTTTTGTACCATTGTCACATGATTCAGTCTTGTTTGACAATTGGGGAAGGATCTATACCAACATGTCGCTATAATTGTACTATAAAGAAGTTTCTATGCATAAACTCTGTCTGCTTGTCAGAATAACGGTACTGCCTGTCGGTTGACACGAAATGCAAGGACATGTCATGAGGCGTCTTTAGTTCTTTGTGGATGTTGACACTCCGGGGAGAAGGCGTGACTTGATAATCTGAGGGGCTGGAGCAGGGGTTAGAGGTCCCTGTCTTGGTGTTGGGAGGCCTAGGGGGACATCCAAGGAATCTTGCCACTTTGGGGCTAGCGAATGCCTCGTAGCAGGTTACAGTTTACTGTGCACTGAAACTAGACAAACAGGACACCACAGAATTTCAGGAATTAATCCAGAATGTGTTTGAGAAAGGATTTAACCATTTCTGTCATTGTGTGAAAGCCCAATACCAATGTCATTGTTCTAGGTCCCTCAGTTGACGCTTTTCTTTTGGACCGGACGGAAAAAAATCATATTTGTTGGTCTTGATAATTATTTGAAAGTTTGTCAACACACCTGAAGCTTGTTTGAAATTTTGGTGGGAGGCTCTTATTGCGTTTCTGTTACAGTGTGTATAAGGTTTTGTTCCTCGTTTGAACTTAAACTATATTTGTTGTTTATGCCGAGTTATATCCTGAATAATTCAGTGGGTCATGGTGGTCAGTTTGTTCACAGATTTGGATGCATCATGATTGAAACAGAATCAAAAACCAACTGTCAACACCAAGTAGTGCATGTTAGTGGGCGTTCTGGTTTCCACAACATTCAAACAAAGTGAGGAATGAGACCTCTTGGCAATAACAAAAAATGACACGATTTGGCTTCCAAATATGCAATTCATGGAGAGTTTTGAAAATATTATTTTCTTTGAGATCATTTAGACTTTAGGAGTGAATTTACTACAAGGAAATGGGTCTTAAGGTTGGGGATGTTGATCAAGTTCATCAAGACAGATGTTGGATACATGAGATTGATAACCCAAACAGCAGCTAATCATCATTTTCAAATGCTTCCTTCATGGACAAGGGGTGGTGGGGTAGCCTTGTTTTCACATTCACTCTTTGCCCTGAAGGCCCTGGTTATACAAACATTATGGGTCATATGTGTGGAACTGATTTCTTGCAACGCCCACTTTTATATTTTTTGAATATTGCAAAAAGTGACGTAAAACGTCACTCACTCACACCTTGTCAATTTTAACCATCTCACTCATTCATTCAGTCCCTCCTTAACATACTTAGCCATGTCTACTGCATTTCTGTCTTATTCCTGAAGTATTCATTTTTACCAAATTTGTCCATTCTTTCATCTGGATGCACATATAAAGATACTTCCTTCTCTTGCAATAAGTGATGTCCTGCTGTTTCATTACCTGACTGCCTCCGTGGTCTAGTGGTAGAGCGTCCGCCCAGAGAGCGGAAGGTTCGGGGTTCGATCCCCGGCCGCGTCATACCAAAAGACGTTAAAAGATGGTACTTGTTGTTACCCTGTCAGGTGCTCGGCATTAAGGGGCTAAAGCAAGGACTGGTCGGCTGGGAGTCAGTATACTGTGTTTGAGTGGGGTATACATGTTAAACTGCGGCATGGTATCTCAGTGAGCTAGCACTATAAATCGGCATCAGTCCGAACTAGTACAAGCAGCCACACACACACATACACCTGTTTCATCACCTGCCTGTACTCATGTTATTTTTCTTGCTTTGGGGGGGGGGGGGGGGGGGGGGGGGGGGTCGGTTAGCCTAGTGGTTAAAGCGTTCGCTCATCACGTTGAAGACCCGGGTTCAATTCCCGACAATATGGTGCAATGTGTGAAGCCCATTTCTGGTGTCCCCCGTTGGATATTGCTGGAATATTGCTAAAAGCGGCATAAAACCATATATAACTCACTCAATGACTCTTGTTTTTTTGGACTGACTCCATGGTGTAGTGGATAGAGCATCTGCCCAGAGAGCAGAAAGTCAGTGTTTTGATCCCCTGATCATATCAAAAGACGTTAAAATATGGTACTTGTTATTTCCCTGTCTGGTGCTCAGCATTCAGGGGATAAGGCAAGTGCTGGTCAGCTCAGAGTCAGTATGCTGTGTCTGAGTGGGGTAGGGTGGTCGGGTAGCCTAGTGGTTAAAGCGTTTGCTCGTCACACCGAAGATCCGGATTCGATTCCCGACATGGGTACAATGTGTGAAGCCCATTTCTGGTCTCCCCTGTCGTGATATTGCTTGAATATTGCTTGAATATTGCTAAAAGCGGCGTAAAACCATACTCATTCACTCACTCACTGAGTGGGGTATTCATGTTAAACTACGGCATGGGATGTCAGTGGGCTAGCACTATAAAACTGGCATTAGTCTATTAAAGTACTGATAATGATGTCACCGCACACCACTATTACAGGGAGATTGGACCAAATTTGATTCAAACCATTCAAACTCATGTTGTTTGTAACTCATAATATTTTATGGTGTTTGTCAGTGTAGGGTTCACTCCAGACTAGTACAAACAGTCACACACACACAGACTGCTATGTAAGAGAAAATAAAATCGTGAATGTGGTCACGTTAAACCCTGTTTCACATCACCTCAACTTTTGTTTGTAGTAGTCTTCTGGGGCGGTCGGGTAGCCTAGTGGTTAAAGTGTTTGCTTGTCACGCCGAAGAACCGGGTTCGATTCCCGACATGGGTACAATGTGTGAAGCCCATTTCTGGTGTTCCCCACCGTGATATTGCTGGAATATTGCTAAAAGCGGCGTAAAACCATACTCACTCACTCACTCACTAGTAGTCTTCAAGTTTAGTTCATTGGACTTATTTCCTCTTTTTTATCCACAGATTCAACTACCTTAGTGCTACTGGAGCCGAGCAGGACAGTGACTGACCTTGACATTCCAACATCAGGCCTTGACCTTCAGACTTCATCAGCACCACAAAGTGACGCTTTGCCCTTTACAAACATACCAGCTGTCACAAGTGACACACCTTTTGAACCTACATCCACACCAGCTGAACTAGAAACATCCTTCAATGTTGCCTTAACCAGTTCTACACGTTTGTCAAGCTTGGACTTAGACCAAGGCTCTGTGTCAGAATCAACTTTAAGTGATTCACTGAGCACTTTGCAACTTTCTAGAACAGATAGTGTAGTGGATTCTTCACCAAGCAATAGCTTTGTTTCGTCAGGATCTGAAAAATCAGTGTCTAGTTCTTCTGTGTCAGAGTTGTTCATACAAAATGTTGAATCAAGTTCCAGATCACAGGTGTCATTGTCACAGTTACCTGAGCAATATATGTCGACTTTTGTGTTGCTTGAGCAGTCAACAGAGCAAGTTGCATCAAGTTCTGTGTCACAGGATCAAGCAGCATCGAGTTCTGTGTCACAGGATCAAGCAGCATCGAGTTCTGTGTCACAGGATCAAGCAGCATCAACTTCTGTGTCACAAAATCAAATTGTATCAAGTTCGTTTTTCGAGGGCCAAATAACATCAAGTGCTGCTCTTCAAGAGCAAATAACTTCAAGTTCAGTGCTACAAGAGCAAATAACTTCAAGTTCAGTGCTACAAGACCAAATAACATCAAGTTCTGTTCTACAAGAGAAAATATCTTCAAGTTTTGTGCTAGAAGAGCAAATATCTTCAAGTTCAGTGCTACAAGACCAAATAACATCAAGTTCTGTTCTACAAGAGAAAATATCTTCAAGTTTTGTGCTTGAAGAGCAAATATCTTCAAGTTCAGTGCTACAAGAGCAAAAAACATCAAGTTCTGTTCTACAAAAGCAAATATCTTCAAGTTTTGTGCTAGAAGAGCAAATATCTTCAAGTTCAGTGCTACAAGAGCAAATAACATCAAGTTCTGTTCTACAAAAGCAAATATCTTCAAGTTCTGTGCTAATAGAGCAAATAGCATCAAGTTCTGTTCTACAAGAGCAAATAGCATCAAGTTCTGTTCTACAAGAGCAAATATCTTCAAGTTCTGTGTTAATAGAGCAAATAACACCAAGTTCTGTTCTACAGGAGCAAATAACATCAAGTTCTGTTCTACAAGAGCAAATATCTTCAAGTTCTGTGTTAATAGAGCAAATAACACCAAGTTCTGTTCTACAGGAGCAAATAACATCAAGTTCTGTGCTACAAGAGCAAATATCTTCAAGTTCTGTGTTAATAGAGCAAATAACACCAAGTTCTGTTCTACAGGAGCAAATAACATCAAGTTCTGTTCTACAAGAGCAAATATCTTCAAGTTTTGTGCTACAAGAGCAAATATCTTCGAGTTCTGTGCTACAACAGCAAATATCTTCAAGTTCAAGTTCAGTGTTACAGACAACTGGGCAAATACCCCCTAGTTCATACCCTCCAGTGCAGCCATCAGAGGACTCTGTGTCACCAGAACAAGCATCCTCCAGTGCACCAGTGTCACTGACTTTTCTCTCCAGCTCTCAGTCTGAGCTCCCAAGTGCCTCAGTTTTCTCAACTTCAACTGCATCTTCTTCAACTCTCATACAAGCATCGACATCTGATGGTGTTGATATCTTGGATTCAAGTAGTGTAGTCTCTGTCACATCTGACACAGTGCCAGAACAGTCTGTCATTTCAACATCAGAGATTCAAATTAATCCAACAAGTGTTTCATCTCTCGATGATGTGACTTCTGTGGTAGCCCTGTCCGAAGGATCTTTAAAAATACAATCCACTAGGTTGTCCACTAGCTCTGCAGCTCTACAAGAGATCAGTGAGAGTTCCTATGTGCCCTTTGAAGCCTCCTCTGTGCCCATAGATGCCTCTCTCCCATCATATGACCAAACTGTGTCAAATACATTCCGCACAACAAGTATTGACTTCACAGAAAGCCGAAAACTGACCAATACAATATCTCCTATGCAAAGTTCCGAAGAAATGTCTTCTCCTGTGTCTGTAAATGTTGATAGTGTTAGTTTTGTGTCAAATAATGTGCAATCTTCATCACAAACAATAATGCCTAGTCAAATACCAGAGAATATTCTACAGACTTCAGCTCAAATCTTTGAAACCTCAGCAGACAGTCCTACTGTGAGTATATCACTGTCTGTAGCTACCAGCTCCAAACTGTATGATGGTAGTTTCTTGTCAACAAGTGTATCAGCCCCTGCTCTATCTGTGTCTGAAGACAATGTGGTACCATCAAGTTATGCCAGCTTACAGTTTAGTACACTCCCTCCTGAAATGTCATCATCTTCTGCAAGCGTTGCTGAAGATGTTACATCATTCTTATCTGAATTACAATCAAAAGAATCCAGTTCATACACTGACCAATCACGGACTACACTGTTATTTGATGCCTCAAGTGCCTTATCAACATCTGGATTGACTAGTGAAATACTGCATACATCAGAAAACAGTTTGCACTTTCCTACCCAGACTGAAACACCAAGTATAGCTACTATTGCTTCTACCAATAGCCTGTCATCTGAACAGTTATCACAAACATCTGCCAACTTTGGAAGCCAAAGTGACACTGTTCCATCTTTAAGCAGTAGTGAGAGCATATTGGCTAGTTCATTCCCACAAGAAATAAATCTTGGAACTAATTCTGTGAGATCAACACTAGAGATTCAGTCTTCAGGAATTTCGTATCAGACATATGCAAGTAGTGGAAATGTGCAAAGAATCCTTGCTACAACAGCATCTCAGCAACTGACAGATATCAATTCAGAAAGCCTGTTTTCATTTGAATCCAGTGATGCATCAACAACAGGTGGAGCATTTACGACAGCAGTTGTACTGGAATCAAGTTCCCATCAGTCGGACATCATACTCACATACACTTTGTCACTGACTGCCCCTAATACCGGGTCAGCCTCATCATCTGATGCTGCTGCTGTAAGTGATGCTAGCATCCAGGAATCATCCTTTACAGAGACTTTGATACCAAGTCTGAGTATCCTTTCAACAGTTGTGTCCAACACTGAATCGGTGCAACCTGCATTCCAGACGCCTTACCCAACAGACTCTGTCGTCTTTTCAGTTGTGTCGGTAGAGTCATCATCCATCCAGCTGGCCAGTATATCCTTCCCTGCTCATGAAACAAATGTAATATTTACTTCGGAAACATTGTCATCACTAGAAACAGCTGCTTCAAACTTCTTCCCAACTCAATTCAGCAGTGCATTGGACGTAGCTTCCACCTCAAGTGGAGTGTCTGGTTCCCAAAGTTCATCAATTGATTCTGTCTCAAGTTTATACCAATTCAGCAGCATATTGAATCTAGATTCAACGTCTCTTGGTTCATCCACAATTGATGTTTTAGGAACAGTGTCAGAATCATCTTTTCAAACAAACCTTGTATCAAGGCAAGGCTCTGAATTTCTTTCTTCATCCCAAGAATTACTCTCCTCCAGCCAAAGTGTTATTAGTGTTGTTCCGTCATTCAGTGAGATCTCCTCCACAGTTCCTAAGACGCAGCTGTCATCAAGTCCCCAATGGTCTGGATCATCTGAGGTTGCATTTACTGGTTTCACACTTCAGAGTGACTCAGTCACTACATCAACAGCAGAGTCGGTGTTGGGTACAATTGAACCATCAACTTCTGGATCTGAATTGCAGTCCATAGCATCATCTCCTCTACTGCCAATAATCATAGGATCTGGCAGAGCAACGGAAACTGAATCATTTGGAACATCGACTAGTGGCTCATTTTATGAAAGTCAAAGTGTCCAGACCAATTTGATAAGCTCGCAACTTTTGTCAAGCACTAATGACATTCCAGGAAGCAGACTCTCAGATTCTTCTCTTCTGTTACCTTCTGGTTTGGACCTATCAACTGGATTTCCTTTCAGTACAGCTTTTTCAACACCTTCCCTTATCTTCCCAAATCCATCCATCAGCACTGCTAATAGTGAGTCTGTTCCAGCCTCTTTCACATTCAGCACAGTTTTACAGTCTTCTACAGCTCCCATTGTGATCCTGCCAACTTTTGAACAGTCATCTGCAATTTCCTCTTTTGATATATCGCTTATGAAACCGTCATCATCACTCTTTGGAACACAGTCATTTTCTGGATTCAGTGATATTGTGTCATCAAACTTGGCTTCCATGAGTTATCCAGGAGCGTCGCTGATGGCATCAGAATCTGTGTCAAGCATTGAACCTGTGATCCCAGTCATCTCCTTGACAGAGAGCCAGACCACTTTGTTCGGTGACTCCCTACCAACAGAGCTTCTATCCATGACTGCAACTGGATCACAAAGCTTTACAGTCTCCACTTCAGTAGTATATGATTTTAGTTCAGTATCCAGTTCAAGTGAAGGCAATTCCACCTCTATTGATGTCACCAGGCCAAGTTCGCTGCTATTTTCACAGTTACCTATACCAACAGGGAGTACAGCATTCCTGGTCAGCAGCTCAGATCTGTCCACAAACTCATCCATTGGAGGAATAGTTTTCCCAACATTCTCAGGATCATCAGCCTCTGTTATCTTTCCTTCTGGATCTGACATCTTCCTGACAACAACTGGGAGTTTGATTGCATCAGATGTCAGCTCTGCTTCGCGAGGATTTGTTCCTGTTCCTACCTTATCACTGGGCAGCTTGAGTGACTCTTCAGTGATTCCACTTGTGACTGAATCAAGCAATGGTCTGCCCTCACAAGGACCTTTTGAATCACGCACCAATTTGCCTTCACTGTCTTTATTTGACACAAGTACCATTTTGCCTACACAAGGACCATTTGAAACACTCACAAACTTGCCTTTACAATCTCTATTTGACACAAGTACCTTTTTGCCTTCGCTAGGACCATTTGAAACAAGCACCAATTTGCCTTCACAAGGACCATTTGAAACAAGGACCAATTTGCCTTCACTATCCTCATTTGACACAAGTACCATTTTGCCTTCACAAGGACCATTTGAAACAAGCACCAACTTGCCTTCACTATCTTTATTTGACACAAATACTATGTTGCCTACACAAGGACCATTTGAAACACGCACCAACTTGCCTTCACAATCCCTTTTTGACACAAGTCTCTCTTTGCCTTCGCAAGGACCATTTGAAACAAGCACCAATTTGCCTTCACAAGGACCATTTGAAACAAGCACCAATTTGCTTTCACTATCCTCATTTGACAGAAGTACCATTTTGCCTTCACAAGGACCATTTGAAACAAGCACCAATTTGGCTTCCCAATCTCTATTTGACACAAGTACCATTTTGCCTTTTCCAAGTCCATTTGAAACAAGCAGCAATTTGCCTTCACTATCTTTATTTGAAACAAGCACCATTTTGCCTACACAAGGACCATTTGAAACACGCACCAACTTGCCTTCACAATCCCAATTTGACACAAGTCTCTCTTTGCCTTCGCAAGGACCATTTGAAACAAGCACCAATTTGCCTTCACAAGGACCATTTGAAACAAGCACCAATTTGCCTTCACAAGGACCATTTGAAACAAGCACCAATTTGCTTTCACTATCCTCATTTGACACAAGTACCATTTTGCCTTCACAAGGACCATTTGAAACACGCACCAACTTGCCTTCACAATCCCAATTTGACACAAGTCTCTTTTTGCCTTCGCAAGGACCATTTGAAACAAGCACCAATTTGCCTTCACAAGGACCATTTGAAACAAGCACCAATTTGCTTTCACTATCCTCATTTGACACAAGTACCTTTTTGCCTTCACAAGGACCATTTGAAACAAGCACAAACTTGCCTTCACAATCTCTATTTGACACAAGTACCTTTTCGCCTTCACAAGGACCATTTGAAACAAGCACAAACTTGCCTTCACAATCTCTATTTGACACAAGTACCTTTTCGCCTTCACAAGGACCATTTGAAACAAGCACCAACTTGCCTTCACTATCCTCATTTGGAACAAGCACCAATTTGCCTTCACAGAGTTCATTTCTGACTAGTGGCATTTTGCAGACGGAAAGTTTGTCTGACACAAGCTTCAGTTTGCCTTCACCAAGTTTATATCCATCCAGTAGTTTCCTCCCTGTTTCACCAACAAGAATTCTGAGTTCTTTGTCAGGCATATCCAGTCAAGAATATACAGACATATCATCTCTATTCACAAGAAGTTACATATCGGCACCAAGTGCTTTGACGTCCCTGATCTCAACCACTGGATCTCCTCCGTTTGTGAGCTCCTCATCAATAGCACCTTCAGGAGCATCCTCAGAAACATTTGGATCCTTAAGTTCTGAGTTCATGGAAAGCAATATCGCATCCTCATCTGAGAGCACCAGTGTGATAATACTTTTACCATCATCTAAACTTTCAGATATGTCTTCAGTCATATTTCAGACAACAGGAACTGTTTCGGACAGTTCTTTATTCGGAACAACGACCAGTTTTACCGACATCTCAATAGACTCATCTCAATTCTCAGCCGCCTCCTCAGTGCCTGTTACAGTGTTACCATCTCCCAGCAGTATGGTGTCAGAATCTATTTCAATAAGTGGAGTTACCTCCCTTGAGTCAAGGTCACCAGTTGACAGTTCTTTACAGCCAGATACAACCACACTTGTGCCTACTGATATCCTATCAACGCCCATATCAAGCGACACAATTTTGTCTCCATCTTCATCTGTGATAATATCAGCAAGTGATACGAATGTGATATTTTCGAGTTCTGTTTCCATGGTGATTGTGTCGTACTCACAGACTGACATATCCAGCAGGGTGTCTGTGGACACAAGTACTCCAACTGATGTTGTCACAACAGTTGTTTCAAGTTCATCTGAACCAACACCAAGCTCAGTGACAGAGTTGTCATCATCATTGACACCGACTCCCACGTCATCTTCATCAGCAACACCGTCATCGTCTGTCCTGCCGTCACCACCAACCACTACTCCATCACTCAACACCAGTGATGCACTCAAGGAATTCTGGGTGAACACAGGTGAGTTTTGTATAATATTATGGTGTCAAAAGAATATTTTTCCATTTATAGTGCATCAGGTTCCATTCCCCAAGTAAATGTTCATGGCACTGCATTATCATTATTATCCCGGTCTGTGAATCAATGTGCACTCAAATTGTATTCTCAGCTCCCTGGGGAGTATTCAACCCAACTGCCTTATATAGCGGTAGAAGGTTTTCAGTTACATTGCCATCTCATCCTACCTGGTACCCATTCACGGCTGGGTAAACAGAGGCATATTTCAAACAAAGTCACTTGCCAAAGAAAAAGTCCCCTGTAACCTGTTTCAGTGTGGGGTTATACCTGTGCTCCAGAAACACTCAGGAGTCACGCTGCCAAACACGGTCCCCATCCACCTACTTCCTGCGACCAATTTTTCTTAACTTTGCCTGATTTGTGACCTCATTCGTCACCACTCGCCCCTTTCTGTAACCTGCAAGATTACTTGTCCCCTTACACTTGATTGTTATGTGCGAAAATATGACAAACCAATCAGAATGCGTGTATGACTTCTCTTCAAGCTCTTCAGTCAAAGAATCCCTCTGAAGTAATCTTTAGATTTTACACATGTCTTGCATCTAAAAATATACCCTAGATACAATTAAATGTGTTCAGTCATACTGTATAAATACTGTAGGTCCCAATGTGTTGTAAATAGCATCTGGAATATATGACACAGGGAAATATGCGCGAATCATTAGGCAATGAATTGAGGAGTGGGGCATGAGTCGCTGAACGCAGGACGATGTTCCACCATTGTTGCTGAAATATCTGGTCCCTGCTTGCAATGTGTATACACAAGTGTGTTTTATGCACACAAAATGTGGTAGAGCTACATTTGATGATGCATCATTTAAATTCCAAAAATATAAGGCGAAAGAAAATTATAGTCTTGGTTCTCAAGCACTGCCCGCATCATCATTAAGTCCACCTCATGTTTCATTTTTATTTAAGTTTTAAAAAAACTTTAAAATCTGGAAAATTCCGTAGCTCAAACACACGACCCTAGCATTGAAATGCTACAGTACTTAAGAACATGATTTCAGCGAAATTATTGTAAACAAAATTTTGGTTACATACCAGCTTAAACAACCCCCACACCAAAAAAAATCGCCTGCACACCAGCACTATATTTTCAAAAGCCATTGCCTAAGAACCAATTCCTTTATTTTGTTAAGCCCGGCTTAACAAAATAAAGGAATTGGTTCTCAGGCAAGATGAACGCCTAAGATGTATTGATTTGGGCTGGGATGATACGTCAACTGTGCGATCCGATACGTATCGTGATTCACTGTTCACGATCCGATACATGTCACGATTCTTGCATGTGTTCTTATCTGTGGTGTGTAAGCCATTTTATGTCATAGACAGTGGCACAAATTACCTGGCAGACTCACGATTTACAGATGGTGCAGTGGATGAAAATATTTACGTTTTCACTGCTAATTTTCACTACTAATTAGTGTTTGGTGTAAAAGTTATTAATGCAAACATTTAAGTCAAGTATCAATATCTTTTACTTACTTAGCAATGATACTGTGATCGAAATCCCGATGCATCGGTGTATCGCCTACTACTAGTATTGATGGTACAATGGTGTTTACAGTGATCAAGGTGCGTCAGTCAGAAGACGTGAGCTCTGATGCGTTCAAGGAGAAGATGGAGGGGAGGTTGGCCGGGGTGTACGGGGAGGCCTTCGCCCGTGAGGAGATGATCAACAACGGGACGTACCAGCCTCTCAAACGTCGCAAGCGATATGCGACCTCTCCCGATGGCAACATTAAGCTACAGGCATGTGATCTTTGGTGTATAGATGTTATCATGTTATCAGTAGAGTGAGTGAGGTTTTACGCCGCTTTTAGCAATATTCCAGCAATATCACGGCGGGGGACACCAGAAATGGGCTTCACACATTTTACCCATGTCGGGAATCGAACCCGGGTCTTCGGCGTGACGAGTTAACGCTTTAACCACTAGGCTACCCGACCGCCCCTGTTATCAGTAGGAAGGAAATGAATAAAAACTGTATAATTGTACCAGATGGCTTGTAAATTGAATCTGGGTTAGGCATACCTGACCTAACCTTATCTCTGTGCTGTTCCCCATAAACGATTTTAATATTGACTTGTCGCTACACAGAGCTATGAGCTTCCCCGTAGTGTTTTCCTAACAGACCCAAATCTGCATCGCTTTTTATATATTATGCTTCAGCAAAGTGCATGTGACATGATCTAAAGACAAATGCAACATGATTCACTTCCTAAGACACTTGTCTCAAATACGTGTACTTATATTTCATATTGTGCAGCTATATATTTACTTATCAAGGTGCGATGTTTTAAAGGAATACTTGTATACCACATTTTGAAATACTAATTACGTATCACATCATGCACAATACATTTGGAAAATACAGGTGTATTACATTTTTCAGAATCTTTCAAATTTTCATTTTGTTGACAAAGGTTACATTATGAAATTCAGATGTCAGCTGATTCCTGTGATCGACAAAGCAAAACTGTTCATGACTACCTTCATGTATATAATGTGTCTAACACGTATGCGCCGTGACCATAGTAACGACCTACAAACTGACAGATTATCACGAAGTTGTCAACAATGTGCAGGGGAAGTCTCATTTTTGGGTCAATTTGGGGCCGAGTCATATCTTCAGATTCATAACAAATTACAGATGAAAGAACATATGCACTATATTGTGATATGCATGGCAATATTGCAATTAACTGCAATACAAAAAGGCAGGCTATATATGCCTTTTATATATATATATGTATGTGTATGTGTATACATATATATATGAGGTATATATATACCCTTCACGAGAACCTAGCATGAGTTTGACATAATCTTTTCTTACAAAATCTGCGGTCCAACAAATAAAACAGTTTAGGCTTCATTTCAAGTTTCGGAAAAGGGAGAACAGAGCTTGAGATGTTATACATGTATATTGCTGTTTTATTCAGTCACATTAATGAATGTTTTGTCATAATTTGTATTTCTTTCCACCTGTCCTAACAAAGCCTGGTAGTTAATTAAGGCAGTTAATTCCACAGTTTCCTGTGGAAAATGTAACTGATTGCATTCACAATAGATGTCGGGTCAAGGGGAGGTAACTCAATGTAAATGAAGCAGGAGTAAAATACTACCCGGATCAGCAAGTCCTGTGAAGTGTGTAGCTAAAGGGAAACAACTGTAGGTTACAGTGATGGAAGTTTCAGTAAAATATACTTTGTAATTTATGACAGGCTATCTTTTTAGCTGAAAGAGACTCCTCTTTAAATACTAACACAGGCAGTTATACTGAACCTTATTTTCTTGATTAATTTGTCTCTGAATGTGCATCACATTCAAGACTTTTGCAACACCATAGAGCTAAATGTTTCTCACAAATATAATTGTATTTGTCGGTAGTGTAGTTCTATAGGTTTGAGGGTTCTGTTAATTATGTATTTGCCTGCTGATATCAACAACATGTGTGTAACAGGCAGACTGAAGATAGGTCCAGCAAAGGTGGTATTTTACTCAGTTGCATAATTTCAGATAAATATAGTATTTCATCTCTAATTATGTAATAAACTATCATACAATATGTAAAACGTGAAAGTACTCTCGTGGAAAATCAAATATCCTGCAAGTTTTGATTACTTTCAATTAATGACTATTTCAAAGTAAATGATTTTCAAACTGAATACAGTTGCTTCAATATTGGAAATATTAGCAAATAAGACAAATCTGAGCAAGAACAATTTGCTTTGACCAGCTCCAGTAACCCTGGACCGCCTCCGTGGTCTAGTGGTAGAGCGTCCGCCCGGAGAGCGGAAGGTCCGGGGTTCGATCCCTGACCGTGCCATACCAAAAGACATTAAAAGATGGTACTTGTTGTTACTCTGTCTGGCGCTCGGCATTAAGGGGCTAAAACAAGGACTGGTTGGCTCGGAGTCAGTATACTGTGTCTGAGTGGGGTATTCATGTTAAACTACGGCATGGTATCTCATTGAGCTAGCACTATAAATCGGCATCAGTTCGGGCTAGTACAAGCAGCCACACACACACACAGCCAAACACACACACGTGCATGCACGTCGCTATATAAGTGCAATAATCTTGGACGCAACGTTAAACCCCATTTCACCTCACATCCGGTAACCCTGATCCACGTCATGTTTTCATGTTCAACCTTGACCTATTTGACCTTGACCTGGTATTTGCAGGTTGTGAATGTGGAGCGTGACACGACCTCCAACAATGTCAAACTGACCTACCTGGCCGAGAAGGATGGGAAGATGATTCCGTCGGACAAAATGGTGCACACGCTGGAGCTGCTTGACCACCAGGAAGTAGCCCTCGGACTCGGATATGTCGTAGACACTAAAGCAGAACGTAAGTACATGTAACCTTGGAGTTGTTTTTGAAACTATGGCAAAACATAAGTAATATTTATTGTTACACTAAGACACTAAGGTGGAACTTAAGTACATGTAGCCTTGGAGATGTATTGGAAACTATGGCAAAACATAAGTAATATTTATAGTTACAGACATCTGGAAGACACTATGGTGGAACGGAAGTACATCTAGCCCAGTCTAAGGCGTGGCAATTCACTGTACAGAGTTGCATCCCTTGAGCATGCCAGAAACCTATGATTGTGGGTTCAAATCCTGGTTCGATCTGATTTTGTTTCCATGGTTGTCAGCACCATACCCGTGCTCGTGGGTTTCACTGAAGTGGTAAACGTCTGAGACCTGCATCACTTCGGGCTTTGCTCCCACATTAAGCTGACATGCCGTGATATAACTGGAATACTGTAAAAAGCGGCGTTAAACCCATCTCACTCACTCTTCAGTTGCATTACTAGTATTGATAGATAGCCATTCCATATCCAAATCACTGTAATCACTTCCTCATTCTAGGGCAAATAATTTGTGTTATCCTCAATTAGAAAGAAACCCGTGAAGATTCTGGGGTAGAATAGGTCTTCAGCAACCCATACTTGCCGTAAAAGGCGACTATGCTTGTTGTAAAAGGCGACTAACGGGATCGGGTGGTCAGGCTCACTGACTTGGTTGATACATGTCATCGATCCCAATTGCGTGGATCGATGCTCATGATGTCAATCACTGGATTGTCTGGTCCAGACTCGATTATTTTACAGACCACTTTCATATAGCTTGAATATTGCTGAGTGCGGCATTAAAGAACAACCAAAACAAAACAATTAGAAAGGGTGCATAAATCTCACCAGACTCTCTCTCTGTCCTCTCAGCCTATGTACCTGTCCCCGTCCAACCCCCTGAGGAGGACAAGAAGTTGTGGATCATTGCCGCAGTGCTGGGCCCCATCGCCCTCATCATCCTCATCTGGATCATCATCTGCATCGCCTGCCGCTGCTGCTGCAACCGCAAGACCACTGCCGATGCAGAGGAGCCTCACCTGATGAAAGTTCGAAGGGATGGAGCTCAGGTGAGACTATGAAAATTTAATATTGTATCAAATCTCATTAAAAAAATCTTTTTCTCCGGTTGATACCTCTCTGTAGGAAGGCCTGACAAATCTCCACAGGTCCTTTCAGGTGATTTTTCTAACCAGCCAATCAGCATAAAGGCTTCTAAATTCTTGGTACAAGTGAGTGAAGCATTAGGCATAGCATACTGCTTTCTGTATCTCATTAAGGATGGGGGGGCAGTTGGGTAGCCTAGTGGTTAAAGTGTGAGCTCGTCATGCCGAAGACCCGTGTTCGATTCCCGACATGGGTACATTGTGTGAAGCCCATTTGTTCTAGTGTCCCCCACTGTGATATTGCTGGAATATTATTAAGAGTGGCGTAAACCCATACTCATTCACTTACTCACTCATTAAGGATGGCCATTTAAATAGTATAGGGGAGAACCAGTAAAGTAATGGGTTATGTACGATGTGTGTTATCTTTTGTCACCTCTTACTACAATCTTTAAGGTTGTTCTTATTGAGGTATTATCAGACCTAAACACACAGAGAGGTATATGTTAATGTTAAAGTCCTGATTTTTATGAGATTGACATGGCTCCCTGGACTGTAACGATGGCTCAGATTACTTTCCAGTGTCCATTCCTTGTAGGTCCTATTGACCGACTCTGTGGTCTAGTGGATAGAGTGTCTGCCTGGAGAGTTGAAAGTCTGTGTTTTGATCCCCTGCCACATCACACCAAAGAATGTTGAAAGATGGTACTTGTTGTTACCCAGCCTGATGCTCAGCATTAAGGGGATAAAACAAGGACTGGTTGGCTTGGAGTCAGTATACTGTGTCTGAATGGGGTATCCATGTTCAACTGCGGCTGGGGTATCCATGTTTATCTGCTGCATGGCATCTCAGTGGGCTAGCATTATGAAAGTGGCATGAGTCTGGACTAGTACAACCACACACACACACACACACACACACACACAGACACACACACACACACACACACACACACACACACACACACACACACACACACACACACACACACAGAACCATGCACGCACACCTCGCAATATAAGCACAAGTGTCCCCATTCACATTGAACTTGTTAAAAGTACATTCTAATTGCCACTGTAATGTATCGATACACCCCTGACAACTGAATCAGGCTCACTGTCTACCTGCAACCTTACGGTAAAATACGCCACGTGTTGCATCAGTGTTAGCTGCATGCAGCAGATGCGTGCACCTCGCATGACAGCAGGGTAATTGATAAAACTGGGCTAGTTGCAACAGCAGATGGAATCCATTGTGTTTACACTTGTGTACACATGCAGTTCATGGTTTTTCATACGAACTATTTGACATCATTCAAGTTATATTCTGTGGGTAATGCAGGCATTGATTAAATCTTTGAGCATGCATTGCATTGAGGAGTTCCGGTACACGTGGGTATGGTTGTCATATAGACTGTGCATGTTTCCGAGATACACATCATGTGTGGTCAGATGTTCAGGTGGTTCTGAGTATTCCTGGTATTCAAATGTTTACCAATATTGTAAGATACAAAAGTTATGAGTAATTTTCTATAGAACTCTCACAGTTGCGAGACGGACATAACGTCACTCTGAAATGCTATGATGTCATGGTACAGCTGACATCACTTCATTGATAACTGAGCTCTCCTCGTGAGCAGAATGTGAACAAAAATAACTACATTGTAAATTGCTCAGATTTTGCCAAGCGGGAAGGCACGTTTATTGCAAATTTGAGATTGAGAAACAAATATATAAATATACCAAATCATATGCAGTGAAGAGTCCTAAAGTTTTCCGGCATCAACTTTTTTCAACTAATGCCAAGATAGCAATAATAACGATTGTGTTCTAATTATGATTTATCATCCAAAACTGGCTCCCACAGGAGATATCACTTGGATTAGATCAAGCGATATGTACACTGTAGATATCGCTGCAATGAAATTACATCACAATGCTTTGCAGACAATTATGACATCACTGGTTACCATGACGTCACAATCAAATGACATCACTAATGGTTCTGCCACTGAAGCTGTTAGCAGTACTTTTTACACTGAAGACACTGCTAATTACTGTCTACAAATTGAAAAAGTTGGAAGAATGATGTTGGATGATAAATATAATCTCACCCTCGTGTCTTTTGATATCAAATATATCAACACTCGTTGATAAAAGCGGCAAAAATCCTCTGTAAGCTTCGGAATTTTCCCACTTAGCATCCATTTGGCAATATCTATATGTACCGTATGACAGGTATCAGATCTAAGGTGGGCATATCCCAGAGATGGCAGCACACACACTCCCACTCATTTGGTAATATCTATACTTACAGTATGACAGGTATCAGATCTAAGGTGGGCATATCCCAGAGATGGCAGCACACACACTCCCATCCATTTGGCAATATCTATATTTACAGTATGACAGGTATCAGATCTAAGGTGGGCATATCCCAGAGATGGCAGCACACACACTCCCACTCATTTGGCAATATCTATATTTACAGTATGACAGGTATCAGATCTAAGGTTGGCATATCCCAGAGATGGCAGCACACACACTCCCATCCATTTGGTAATATCTATATTTACAGTATGACAGGTATCAGATCTAAGGTGGGCATATCCCAGAGATGGCAGCACACACACTCCCATCCATTTGGCAATATCTATATTTACAGTATGACAGGTATCAGATCTAAGGTTGGCATTTCCCAGAGATGGCAGCACACACACTCCCATCCATTTGGCAATATCTATATTTACAGTATGACAGGTATCAGATCTAAGGTTGACATATTCCAGAGATGGCAGCACACACACTCCCATCCATTTGGCAATATCTATATTTACAGTATGACAGGTATCAGATCTAAGGTTGGCATATCCCAGAGATGGCAGCACACACACTCCCATCCATTTGGCAATATCTATATGTACCGTATGACAGGTATCAGATCTAATGTGATGCATGAGAACAAGATTTTGTTTACTGTGATTGCATGTTAAAGACTTTTCTCAATACTCATTGCATTGCTAAGATGAAAATGTAGAAAATGTAGAAAATGCTGATTTTGGAGGTTTTCAGGGACAACCAGTTTAATATTTTACCACAAACATGCTTCAGTTATTATTCACTTCATTGTAAAATGACATTCACCAAGTTCAAAAATGGAGGAAAAGTAGTTTTCGTATGGGCACACATGAATTTCCAAAGGGCACCTTCACATCTGTATTAGTGCACACTTAACACATATTACATTTCCATCCCTGATGTCTACATGTTCGTCATGTAACATTTTTTTCGTAAACAAAAGTACTAATTTTTGGTAGGCAGAAAGAGCTGTTATCACGCCTCACCCTTTGTCTCCATGATTCATGAATCTTTTCATAACATATAACTAATACATGTTGTATCTATACGGAAAAATCATAAAAATAAAACATTTTTACCTCCATAAGTCGGAGAGGTCCGCACGAGTGTATTCCTCCTCCCAATGTGGAGGAGATTGCCTCATCAATACTCTATCAGTCCCTCCCCCTGTATGTAGTGTGATTATCTCCATCAATCCCAACAAAACAGCAGCGAGGTGAGAGGAAGAGGCCATGTATTATTGATGACGTGCTGCTTTAAAGGGTGGAACTCATGTAATCTGGAAACAAGTGCTTTCAGTACATACCGCTGGACTGATGAAATGCCAGGGTTGTGTTCTCAGAGATTTTGTCGGAGTATTCAGAGTTCATGTATTTTTAGATTACGTTTAGGATAGATCTATTCATTCTTTTGTTTCATGGATTGCTGTTAATTTTTAGAAGAAAACAAAAAAAATGGAATTTTTTTTAACTTTTGACTTTTCCAAAATAGAAAAAGAAAATTCAACAATTTTCTTGTTGTTGCATACTTTTACTCAAAATTCATTTAAGTAATACTAAATTTAGATTTATTTCTATTTGATTTGAAAATCAAGTCAGACGTTATTCTGTGCTTGCTTTAATTTTGTCCCCTGCGTCTTTATAATTAGCGTTATATTTATGATATGGCAGCTGGCAAGACAAGGAATTAAACAATTGTCGCCTCATGGGCAAATTTTCAGATAACATTTATTGTTATAAAAATATAGATATTGAATTCATCATAAGGTTTAACTGACACATCATGACATCTTGTTTATTTTTTCATACTAATGTTGCTCCATTTTGTCAGGTAAATTACAAACTTTAAATGTTTATTAAGTAATTTTGAAAATAAGATTATGTTACATATTGATAAATGATGTAATTATATATTTCAAATATAATCAATAGATTTTAATTTCAAATATCAGAACAATTTTGTCAATATTAGACTCTTTGTTTAAGGATATTACAATCTCACCCACCTTTGCTTAAAGAAAACAGTTTAAAGTCAATAACAGTTGATAACAAGCTTACAAATATACAAGCTTAATTGAATAGATTCTTTTTAACAATTGACCTTAATTTGTCACACTATAACTGAGGTGTACCCATGTTTAATCCAAGTGCCTTATAGTGAGGCAGTGTGTGACAGCGCTATAAGGAGGTACTCAGTTGTCAACAATACAATCACAACACTATGACAAGTCTGCTCACGTTGATGTTGTGGCTCGCTGTCAACAGAGGCACTAAACAGAAGTCACCACGTTTATGAACAATATTTGTTTAATGGAAATCAGATCACTTGGATTTATACAACTGCAGAAATATGACAAAGTGGCTCCTGTGTTCAAGCACAGACGTAAAGGATGGCAGAAAGGTTTGTACACCTTGTACACCTTGAATACCTTGTATACTTCAAGCAGACAGGTAGCAGGTGAAATGTGTGATCGTTCTTGGCAGGTAGTCAGGTGCACTGAGGCATGGTAAAGACAATAATTACAAATTATTGACTATTGTGGTGTCAACGTATTGGATGTTAGTTAAATATATTTTGGGGGCTAGATTTTTCATATTTTTAATTGAAATGGGTTTGATCAGGTTTTCTGGGGTCTTCAGGTTGGGCTGACAGGCAGTGAAATTGATCATGTACAAGTGTAGTTGATTGGATCAGTTAGCAGCCCTGTAATGCTCATATAGCTACAGCAGGGAAAGGGTCTCAGACATGTAGGTTTCTTAATTTCCTAAATGTATACTTATCATCCAAAACTGGCTCCCACAGGAGATATCCTTGGGTGAGATCCAGCGATATCTACATTATAGATATCGCTGCAATAAAATTTCATCACAATACCTTGCAGACCATTGTGACGTCATTGGTTACCATGTCATCACAATCAAATGACATCACTAATGGCTTTGCTACTGAAGCTGTTAGCTGTACTTTTTACACTTAAGACACTGCTTATTACTGTCTAAAAACTGGAAGGAAGAATGATGGAAGAACGATGTTGGATGATAAATAAAATCTCAGCCTCGTGTCTTTTTATATCAAATATATCAACACTCGTTGATAACAGTGGATAACGTTTTCAATCTTGTCTCTATATACCGTATTCGACGTAATAAGCGCCCCGCTCTAATAAGCGCCTACAGCGATATTTGCTGATATATTGGCTTGTGAACAATCCCAATTAGCACCCCTTCCGATTGATCAATGTACACAAGACTTTTTTATTTGTGTATAATACGCACTCGTGTGTTATATGCACCCTTAATTATGGGCAGTTAAATTCTGGAAAAATATATTTGTCGTATATAAACATTTCAGGTTGTCAGCATAAACCATGAAATTGATGATCTTACAACTGTGTTATTCACCAAAATAATATTCTAATAAGAGCCCCCTATTTTGAGAGCGTCCTGGGCGCTTATTACATCGAATACGGTATTTAATTTAATATCTATATGTTTGTAAGCCTGAATCAAAGTGCATCCTTAAATTTTATTATGGCTCCTATAATTTTGAAATGGCACCTAGAAAAATACTGCCATGAGCCAAGTGGATTCCTTGAAAAAGTCTTAAGTTTGGAGTGCTGGTGGGTAGTTGCAGATCAAGTGATTAACTGTCTGTGATTGACACTATTAAAAACAAAGACAGACCAAAAAATAAAATAAAAATAGATCCATTTCTTGTAAACCTCCTGGTCCTTCAATTTGCAAAGAAGCTGTTCTCATCGACTTTCCTTCCGAAAGTTAAGACGGATCAGTTTGAATTATTAACCTCCATGGTTTACTTACAAGCTGGTCTGCTTTATTAAACACCTTGATCGGCTAGAAGCACACACGAATGTCTCACTGCTCCTCACAAAGGTAGCTCAGGGGGCTATACATAGCGGCACCAATCAGCTCCGTACCGGGTGGAACACTCAGATTCAGACAGATACATTAGCATTCCTGTGCTTGGCTATGTGAGGGTTCCTTCCAAAAAATGTGTAAGTTTTGTAATTTCATGTTTACTTTGGCTTAATTAGTTGTGTTTCCTGTTGCAAATTTATGTCACAATCTTGTCAGCGTTGCAGGCATTTTAAATAGATTTGATAGGTGAAGTCAGGCTTGAAAAGGCCTTGATTTGGATGGTTTGTTTGCTTGGTTTGGGGATGTTTTTTGTTTTGAAAAAGCTTTGATTTTGGGGATAGATTGTTTTCAAAAAGGCCTTGTTTTTGGATGGTTTTTTTTGTTTTGAGAAAGCGTTGATTTTGGAAGGATTATTTTTTGAAAGGCCATGATGTTGGATGGGTTGTTTTGAAGGACCCTGTTTTGGATGGTTCATGTCTTTTAATAAGCCTTGATGTTGATGGATTATTTTGAAAGGCCGTGTAGTGGGATGGTTTTTGTGCCAAAAAGGGCCTTATCGCTGGATGGATTGTTTCAAAAAGGCCTCAAATGTCTTTGCTCAGAACATGATTAAAGTTGGATGATTACCTTCAAGTTCTTGAATTTTGTGTGTATGATTTTATTTCAAGTATGCATAATGAAAGTCTCTACATATTTTCATATCATTGAAGTATGTTTGATTATTTTTTAAAGAAAGATTATATTTCAATCTGTTAGTTACGTTTGCTACATGTGTTGTAAGAGATTACTAGGTGAGTATTTGCCAATGATAATCTGCCCTTTGAGTCTTGAAACTATAAGAATGTTTGGTCATTTTAGTTTTATTAAGCTACCAGTTGATACAACTACCCCATATAGATACATTAATTTCTCAAATGATAAGTCACCTAAAACTTCTTTAATAATTTCAAATATTGTGACAATTTCTTTCCTCTTGACAAAAATGTGCAAAAGTGTGAGTAATGAATTTTGAGATATGAATTGTGATGTTCGATGATTCATACTACACAGTTGAACCAGCAGATGAAGTAGACAAACAGGGATTAGGTGCATCTAGTTAGCTGACTTCAGCACTTACCCTGCTGTAGCTGTAATATGTAATTAAATAGTCTGGATAGGCATGCCAGTAACTGATATTGCAAGCAGCCATCGGGGCACAATGACATACCCTCAACCAGGACACTGAGCCTGACTGGCATATTTAATTTAGTTGTCTATAAAGATAAATAGAATGACCAGACAATCCAGTGATTGCTATCATAAAAATCGATGCACTTGGGGTATGATGACATACCATCAACCAGGACACTGAGCCTGACTGGCATATTTAATTCAGTTGCCTGTAAAGATAAATAGAATGACCAGACAATCCAGTGATTGATGCCCTTAATGATTACATTATACCAACCCAGTCACCTAGCCCGACCTCCCGATCCATGGAGTTACCTCTTATGACAAGCAGAGGTTGCTGAATACCTATTCTAACCTGGAATCGCCACAGGAATTGATTAGATCTGATCAGTATTTGAAAAAAATAAATGATTTGACATCAGTTTGACATGTCAGAACACAAGGACATATTATGCACCCCCTTGCGCAAGTACATTACCCGATGTGTTTGGGTGAGAAGATTCCTCTTACCTTTGTGACATTGCCTATTATTTGAAGAATTGCAGAAAAATGTGCCGTTGTCCTGGCACTACCCTGCTACAGACATTTGACTTTCAGAATTGTACATCCCACGATACAAGGGCAAGCATCACATGTGTCTACAGACCAGCTGTTGCCACTGAAATAAATGCGATGCTCACATATTGATAATGTTAATTTGATAGCTCTGTGCATTTGTGACTAAGGTGAGGTTGTGTTGGACTACATCCATGGGCAGAAGAGAGGTAGATATTTTCTGTATGTTTAATTACTGGTGTGTGGTACAGATTGAACCCATTGTGTTTCATTTCAGACCAATGCAGTCCTCTTGTGAGGATTGTTGGAGCAGTGTAGCTCTCTTCTCATTTGTGCATTATTGTAAGGATCAACTTGATAGATGTTGATGATGTTCGAAATAACTGTCGGTCAATGATTCCAGGGCTATATTAGGAATTCAAATATATCTTTTTTGAGGGGCGGTAGGGTAGACCCATGGTTAAAGCTTCTCCCAACAAGGTGGCAATGTTTGAGGATCTGGTAATTCACCTCTTCTTTGCTTATTGACAGGTCTTAGTCAATTATATTCAGTCTGGTCATAGGAGATGACATAATGGATCGAGTGGTCAGACTCGGGTCTTGGTTGATGACGTGTCATGGTACCTTGACAGCATGGATCATTGCTCATAATATCTATCACTGGATTGTCTTGTCCTGACTTGATTACTTGCAGGCCACTTTCATGTAGCAGGAATATTGCTGAGTGCAGCGTTAAGCATCAAACAAACCAAAACATGTGCGTTTAATGTTAAACTGTCCTTTAAGGTGCCAGAAGGTTTACACTAACAATCCTAAGCCAAAGACCCGGGTTCGATTGCCGACATGGGTGCAATGTGTGAAGCCCATTTCTGGTGTCCCACGCCGTGATATTGCTGGAATATTGCTAAAAGCGGCATAAACCATACTCACGAACGAACGAACGAACGAACGATGCTATCTTTCAGAATACCCAATCACTGCTGGGTGAACAGAGGCATATTTTGAAGAAAATCTCTTGCCTATGAAGACCCAACGTGTTTGTTGTTTATGATTGTTTGTTGTGTAACGCTACTCTCAGCAATAATCCAGCTTCACCACGGTGATCTGTTAATAGACGATTCTTGACCAGTGATTGACATCATGAGCATCAATGTTTTGCAATTGGGATATTTGCCTTTTTTTGATAAGCCTGGGTTTCTGAATACCAATTTTATCCAGGATCTTCACAGGGGGGTGGGACACTACTATGTAAAGTGAAAATCCTAGACGTCACCCATCCACCTCCTCTCCACCACCAACATTAATTACCTTCAACTGATGTGTGATGTGCTCAGCGGCACATTGGCGTTCCTCTGAAGAAGAGTTCATTCTTTAATACCGAATAGTAAATATTTACAGGGTTCTAAGTTCCTTGTTTTAGAGTGCCAATGTCACAGTCAAATTCAGTGTTCCAAGTGTTTGAAAAGCACACTTAAAAAACATAATTTATAAAGCAAATATACCTTGTGATAATGCATACTAGTATTGTATAAATCCAAAGATATATTCCTTTGTAAAAGTAACGTGGACAAGAATGTAAAATGAAATGTGTACTGCACAGTAAGAGTAAATACAATTACCCTAGTGATTCAGAACTTGAACAGGATGTCTTCAAGCTCAAAGAAAAGGATGAAGTCACACTTTCTAGGTTACAACCAATAATTATCTTGCTCATGGTGAAATGACAAAGAGGCTGTGCGTAGATGTCCGCGGGTGTGCACATGCATATTTTTAAGGAGTTCAACATGGAATGAGTAATATTATGAGCTGCCCAAAGACATTAAATGCGTTTATTATTCCAACTTTTCTTTCATGAAAACGATTTTATGAAAGGCTGTTTATTCTTCATTTCTTTCTTAATTTCAAATCATTTATTTGTTTTGCAAATTTGAATAAAAGTGAGTGAGCTACAGTGCCTGTGTGTTGTATGTTTCAGGTTGAGAGTGAGGCTTCCGGTGCTCCCCCCGACTACCCCCCTGAACAGGGGAGCAAGCGGAGCAGCAGTGCGGGGCTCATCAAGGCCAGCGGGAAGAAGATGTCCTACGAGGTGAACCCCGACCCCGACGAGGAGGCTACGCTGTACCCGGAGGTGAAGAAGCTGGTGGACGTTGCCAGAACCAACAGGAAGAAGAAGTAAGTCAGTCACAAGCTGGCAAAGAGGGAAAGACTTGGGGATAAAATAATACCAGGAACTGTGGTCCAAATTTGGACCTGTCATGATCTATTATTTGTTGTACCTGACATTTTTATAGAGATATCACAGGGTCCATCTGGGAGGATGAAAGCTCATGATCCCTGTGTAGAAGGTTTGATGTTTCCAAGATCCCTGTGTAGGAGGTTGAATGTACAGTAAAGTACGGTTATAACGAACTCAAAGGGACTACTAATTTTAGTTCGTTATAACCGTAGTTCGTTATAAGCATATATACAGCATAATACAGCTAATTATCGGGACCAAAAAAGTAGTTCGTTATATCCGTCAGTTCGTTATAAGCGAGTTCGTTATAACCGTAGTTTACTGTATTCATGATCACTTGGTGTAGGAGGTTGAATGTATTCATGATCACTTGGTGTAGGAGGTTGAATGTATTCATGATCACTGGGTGTAGGAGGTTGAATGTATTCATGATCACTGGGTGTAGGAGGTTGAATGTATTCATGATCACTGGGTGTAGGAGGTTGAATGTATTCATGATCACTGGGTGTAGGAGGTTGAATGTATTCATGATCACTGGGTGTAGGAAGTTGAATGTATTCATGATCACTGGGTGTAGGAGGTTGAATGTATCCATGATCACTTGGTGTAGGAGGTTGAATGTATTCATGATCACTGGGTGTAGGAGGTTGAATGTATTCATGATTACTGGGTGTAGGAGGTTGAATGTATTCATGATCACTTGGTGTAGGAGGTTGAATGTATTCATGATTATTTGGTGTAGGAGGTTGAATGTATTCATGATCACTGGGTGTAGGAGGTTGAATGTATTCATGATCACAAGGTGTTTTTGGTTGGATGTTTACATGATCCCTGTATAGGAGGTTGAATCACTGAAATTGATGATGTTCTATCTCGTCCTTCCAGGCATCCATTGTCCAGTCCTCGGTCAGAAGCCAATGACTCCATGACGTACGTGTCCGAGGATGACCGCTACGCCACGCCGGCCAGGAGGAAGGGGACGAAGCAGAACAACATACCAAGAGAAGGTAACTCTCCACAGTACTTCCTCTGAACTCACTGATTCTTACAGTTTTGTTTGTTTGTTGTTTAACGCCGCACTCAGCAATATTCCAGCTATATGATGGCAGTCTGCAAATAATCAAGTCTGGACCAGACAATCCAGTGATTGACATTGTGAGCATCAATCCACGTAATTGGGATACGAAGACAGAGACCATTTATCGGTATATCTCTGACGAAGACATGCATCATCCAAGTCAGCGAGCCTGACCACCCGATCCCGTTAGTCGCCTAACGACAAGCGACAAGCGTAATAACTTTTTACGGCAAGCATGGGTTGCTGAAGACCTTTTCTATCCCGGATCCTCACAGTTCCTGATTCTTATAACAAAGCCTTTGATTACTGAGGTGTGTAGTCTGAAATAGAAATTATAATAAAAGTCATAATTTTGGATTTGTTTTCCTTGTCAAATAAAACTTTGTTTGCAAATCTGATCTTTCCCTTAAACTTAAGTATAAGAGTAAGGTTACATGTACATGCAGATTACAACTATAAATTCATGCCAAATATTTGATTACATTTTCATTGGAGAACAGGAAATGTGTCCCTGTGTAGCTGTGCCAAAGTTACCACAAGATGCAACTTCTGTAGTAGATGTACCTAGATTGCCCAAACTGTACAAAGTAGGGCAAAATATCCTTGAAGTTGATATTGAGAAGTGAGATTATGTCACCACCGTCACTGGTGGCTTCAGGGTAGCTTCCCATGTGAACCCTCTCAAGGTGGACCTCACCTTTGTCTCATCATCATGGTGTTGCTGACACATTAGAGCCACTTCTCTAAAACATCTCCATAGTAAACTTTTAGCTGCTGGTCTCACCTACCATACCTAGCAGAGATACGCAGTAAGAGAAACAAGTAGAATATACAGGTGGTAGCTTAAAATAGATTTGGGGTTTACCAGCTATCAGCCAATGAAAGTAGTTTGATGCTTCATTGAAGCATTGCAAGCCATCAAAGGTGTATCTAAGTGTATGGAACTTAGGAGGTATGATATCTGGAGAACTGTCTGACCTATCTCTTCTGTCCACCTGATCAGCTTAATCTTTGTTCACTAGCTGATGATTCAAGCTCCCAGATTGACAACAGTTTGGAGCCGAGGCCCAAACCCCTACCTATACCCAGACACAGCAGACCCCTGCACAGCGAGCCACCTGCCTCTGCCCAGGTTAGTCTGTTGTTATGAGGTGATTTCCGCAATAAAATGCAAAGGTGTTAACCAAGAAACAGGTTTGTGCGGAACTAAATTGTGAAATCAGTAAATGACCACACAATTTACAAATTGTAATGAACCACAGTTTTAGGATCACAGTCACAAAAGGCAATACATGGGTCAAATCAGTAGCAGCTGCAATAAATAACAGGTGCCCTAATATATATCAGTGCACTCATGATTGTCCAGTATATTGTCACTGTTAAATGTGAACCCGAAAAAGTGCAAGAAGTGTGCTTGTAAAGGCGTTCTTAAAAGCATTGTGGTTTATCAGCGTACACTCACTGGGCTACAGATACAAAGGTTACATGTTCGATCCTCAGGAATATAGAGAAAGCATTTGTCAGTGGATTTCACATTTCATTACATTGTGTTCAAATGCAAAATAAATTTCTAGCGAGAAACATTCACGTTACAATACAAACAGAAGTCGTATTCATAAAATCCTGGGGATATTATACCATCCCAGTTTTTGAGATTTATCCCGACTGGAGAGCAATAGGATGACATCACTGGATGTTTATGAAAGGCTTCGAACCGCCCTGGTGTCGCTCTTATATAGGTACAGCCAACCTTCCATAAACTGTCCCATCCGGAAACCTCTTGAACGATCAAACTGCCATGTTCAAGATACAAAGATGCACCACCCGTATCATCATCAAGTCTGCCACACCTTTTGTTTTTATTTCCATTTTATTTCAAAACAATATTATAAATCCTAATACTTCAAAAAATGTGAATTAATATTGCAGGCAGTTACTTCCCTTTACATGCCCACTGCTTTACTGCACATCGGGTGTTATGGTCATGGCGGCAATAGAAGTTTGTATGCTTGTTTATGTAGGGAGGCCCTTTCCCAGGTCGATGGTACACAACTGTTTATTTGGTTACATACTAGTTTAAATAAGCAAAAAAAACAAAAAGACACACTGCCCGCCCTATATTTTTAAAAGTCATTGCCTGAGAACCAGTTCTTTTATTCTTTTAAGCCTAAATTGGTCCCTGCCAATGTCTACCGCTAAAATCTGGCCACACCACTACTCTGATTTTACCAGCACTTCAATCATTTCCTGCCACTTACATCCACAAACAGTAAACTTACAGCAGTCTCTCCTGCTATTCCCCGGCCGTGTTATACCAAAAGACGTTAAAAGACGGTACTTGTTGTTACCCTGTCTGGCGCTCGGCATTAAGGGGCTAAAACAAGGACTGGTTGGCTCGGAGTCAGTATACTGTGTCTGAGTGGGGCATTCATGTTAAACTGCGGCATGGTATCTCAGTGAGCTAGCACTATAAATCGGCATCAGTTCGGACTAGTACAAGCAGCCACACACACACACACACACGTACATGCACGTCGCTATATAAGTGCAATAATCTTGGACGTGACGTTAAACCCCATTTCACCTCACCTCTCCTGCCACATAACACTGTCACAGTGTGGATTGCAATCATCATGCATCGACCACAGATAGTGCCACACATTGTTGTGTGAACATCCCCGTCTCCATGTACACTGGTTCTTCATTATATATTGGGTTAATTTGAAAATCTGACTATTACAGACTGATCCTAAACTGATTGTAAACTGATTGTGAGAGCAACTGGTTGTTTTCCTAAATGAGATTCTTGGCCCTGAGTATTAATATGTAGTTCTTATAGTAATAACATCAGCATTAACAAAATTAATTCTGTGACAACCCAGGTAGTAATAGAATCAACATGTGTTTTAGTTTCTTTGGCATTCTAGAAGTTGGTGGGTAAATAAGAAAACATACACCTTTATACATCAAAACATTGCTGAAGTTGTTATCCATAAAGTTGTAAGTTTTCTTGTTTTAGTGAGTTACCCACTACAACTGTAATGTCACCTCATACAGTATATGTTTTGAAAAAAGGGATGAATCTTTCATATATTCCATTACCAGATCCATTACAGTAAGATCATGTTTTACCTGTTCATTCCATCCAGCGTGTATTACTGATACCACAATTCGTTGATCAGAGTTGCCTCCCTTAGGTGTGCTAGGAACCTATGATCTTGGGTTCTACTCCCAGATTCACCTTGATTATGTTTCTATTTTTTCCTTGGGTTTCATCAATGTGGTAAACATCTACGACCTGCATCACTTTGTGCTTTCCACCTAGATCAAGCTGACAAACTGTCATATGACTGAAATACTGTTCAAGCAGCATTAAACCGAACTGACCCACTGTGTTTCAGGAGGAGGAGGAACTCCTTGAGAGAGCTGAGATGGAGAGAATAAAGAACAAACAACGATTGAGAGAGCAGCGCAAGAGAGAAAGGTTTGGTAACACAGGTAAGACAGGTATCTGCTTTAGTCCCTGCTTCAATACAGAGTCATGTCGGGGCGTTCAATAAGTTTTGCAACTTCAATGTAAGACCAAGTCACATGATATCCTTTGCATTTATATTTTTCAATATAATCTCCATTCACCTCAATACACTTATTCCTCGTCCTCATCATCCTGGAAGCATCTTCCATGTAGGGTAGATTTCATTTACCGGAACAGGACAGGTCTTATTGAATGTGCAAAACTTACTGAACGCCCCTCGTACCTGTAGATCTGTGCAGTTTAAGGCCCTAAGTAACCTATGCTTGTTGGCGACAGTTGTGATAAGACTGTAATGGCTGATTGCATGTTATTGTACCACGCCAGTGTGGGATCATAACATCAGTTATTACATTACATTACAGGCTGCCGTGATATGGTTGGAATATTGCTTACCACGTTGTTAAAACAAACTGAATCAGGACATTCTGATGGAGCAGATATTGACCATAAATATCAGTGATCAGTGATCAAAACATAAGACTCCAGCTTATAAGAGTCTACATTTATTTCCCTGATAACAGGACCAATATATAGGATGAGGCTTTAATGCTTAGTTATACATTACACTGACTGCATTTAGGAAATACCTCTGTATTTAAGAAGTTAAGAACTATAAAAAATGTCAGTTTTGACTTATTTCCCCCCAATTTTCCTGCCAAGGACACTAGGTTTTGAAATCTAGATATGTGATGAAACCCACAAGCATGGGGCCGACACACCAATGATTATACCAGAGATGTCAGCTCGTATAAAGTAGGTTGATCTGATGTCCCATATTTCTGTTTTGTAGACCCCCCTCAGAGTGGAGATCACGAGGTCAGGCAGGTGTACAAGAAGGCCCAGAAGGAGATTGATGCTGTCCTCGGCTCCCCTGACCAGGACGGCAACCTCCCGGACGTATTTATGCATAAACCAAAGAAACGGTAAACCGCCCACTGTGTGGTACATCTATATCATAGTTGATCTTGATCATCACTTTGAGTTACACCACTAAAAGTTCAGTGGTGGTCACAAGATAAATAGAGGATATTATATGAGTGTTCATGTCATGCTATGTATACGACACTCGTGTCATGAACACACTTTGACATGAACACGAATATTATGTTCTTGTATTACGAAGAAGAGGTTTACATACAGAGACGAATTTTAGTGTTTAGGACGGCAAGTTGCAACAGCAGCAGAACCACATTTTGCCAAATGACGTCATGAATCTTCAGCTATGATGTTGTTTCTTGTGTGACGTCATTTTGACCTTACGTCACAATAAGATTTGAATAATACAACAATGCGGTCCGGATGACAGAAACAATACACTGTTGTCTCGTGACGTGATATGACCCGAGGGCACATGTGATTTTTATGAACCCTGATTTGTTTGCCCTCGTAGGTAATAAATAGAAAATATCACCTTCGTGTCTTTGATATCAAATATATAAAAATGAGTCGATATAAGATTAAACTCCAATGCTTTCTGAGGATTTTTAAACTTTTATCAGCAAGTGTTGATATATTTGATATCATAAGACACTCGGGTAAGATTCTATTTTTGATCCAATATATTCTTGCCAACATGTTCAGTTTGTAAACAGTAATAGGCGGCATCTTGCGTGTACAAAGTACCGCTGGAAGTACAGCTTTAGCAGCAGAGAGATGAGTGATGTCATTTGATTGTGATGTCATTGTAACCGATGATGTCACAATGGTCTCTTGAGGCCAGTTTTGGATGATAAAAGTATATGTCACAGAAACAATATTTTACCGAAAATACATCTTTAAATTGTCACGTGTGGACTCGTGATGAGTTAATTACATGTGTCACAATTGGAGTATACTGGACGTATGTAACACCCCCTCAACCCTTGGTCTCCTGTACAAGCCCATTCTGCTTGTGAACTTCTGTACACCCACTAGTGACACATGTACCTCATAATCAACCCTCAGTGTTGTTTGGATGTCCAAGAATCTTATTGTTTCTTTTTGTTTATCAAGGACAGTAATGTAAAAATTATATAATTATTAATTTTGTTATGTTGATGAGTTCTTTTGTAATTTCTTCAGGTCCACTCGTCATAAGAAAGATCCACAAGAAGGACATACTGTGAGTAAAACTACAAGAGAATAACACACAGTTGGATTGTGAACTTAACTTTTTATATTCTCCAAGATGCATATCGTTTGAGTGGCAGGACTATCTATGTCGCATAGATGACAGACGGACAGGCAGACAGACACTTCAGCAATTGTCAAATAGCCCTTATTTATTTCCTGGTAGCTTTGATCATAAACTCTGGAACAACTAGGAGTACAATAAGATTCATGTCAACACAGTATGGAGTAGATAAAGATCCACATACAATGCATACCTCTAACACAGTGTGAAGAATAATGTTTTAGACTCACTGTATATGTTGGTCAGTGTGTATTTACTTTAATTATTTGCATATACATAGCATATCTGTAGTTAGCAAGTACCTTTATCTACAAAAGTAATCAAATAATCCACAACATGAAGTGGATAATATGCATAATTTATTTTGACACATATGAACCTACTAATGTATTTGCCGTAATAGACCGCCTCTGTGGTCTAGTTGTAGAACGTCCACCCAGAGAGCAGAGTGTCTGGGGTTGGATCCCGGCCGCGTTATACTAAAAGACATTAGAAGATGGTACTTGTTGTTACCCTGCCTGGTGCTTGGCATTAGGGGCTAAAACAAGGACTGGTCGGCTGGGAGTCAGTTTACTGTGTCTGAGTGGGGTATTCATATTAAACTGTGGCATGGTATCTCAGTGGGCTAGCATTATAAATCGGCATTAGTTGGGACTAGTACAAGTAGCCACACTCACTCACACGTGCATTCATGTCGCTCTATAAATGTATAAGTGCAATAATCTTGAACACAACAATAAACCCCATTTCACTTCAAGTCACCTATTAGCCCTAATAAGTGTCCTGGGCGTTTATCAAATTGACAGGGGGGTTCACTTATTGAAAACTTACATATCAAGTTAAATCTGTTTTCAGAGAGTGAGGGGTAGTGAGCAAACTTAATTCAAACTTTGATGAAACTAAATTGGCAGACATGGCAGTACAAAACTGAGAGTCTCCAACGTTTGTAAGCCAAAAGATACTGAATGTGAGAGAGTGTACATATGTTTGCTTGGATAAACTGATGTAGCAATTGACCAATCAGAAACCTGTTCCAGAATGAGGCTTTCACCGAGGATGAGCAGGAGGGATCATCTCAGTCCGGGGAGTCTCTGGACGAGGCCAAGCGAAGGATGCACAAGCTACTGGACGATGCGTTCTCCCTGATCTCTTCCAGCAGGTCCAGCATAGGGTAGGTACACACTCAGAGGGAGTCTAGGTGCTCACGTGTTCACTCAGAGGGAGTCTAGGTGCTCACGTGTTCAGTCAGAGGGGTTCTAGGTGCACATGTGTTCAGTCCGAGGAGTTCTAGATGCACATGTTTTCAGTCCGAGGGGTTCTAGATGCACACGTGTTCAGTCAGAGGGTTCTAGGTGCACACGTGTTCAGTCAGAGGGGTTCTAGATGCACACGTGTTCAGTCAGAGGGGTTCTAGGTGCACATGTGTTCAGTCCGAGGAGTTCTAGATGCACATGTGTTCAGTCCGAGGGGTTCTAGATGCACACGTGTTCAGTCAGAGGGTTCTAGGTGCACACGTGTTCAGTCAGAGGGGTTCTAGGTGCACACGTGTTCAGTCAGAGGGGTTCTAGGTGCACACGTGTTCAGTCAGAGGGGTTCTAGGTGCACATGTGTTCAGTCAGAGGGGTTCTAGGTGCACACGTGTTCAGTCAGAGTTCTAGGTGCACACGTGTTCAGTCAGAGGGTTCTAGATGCACACATGTTCAGTCAGAGGGGTTCTAGGTGCAATCGTGTTCAGTCAGAGGGGTTCTAGGTGCACACGTATTCAGTCAGAGGGGTTCTAGGTGCACACGTGTTCAGTCAGAGGGGTTCTAGGTGCACACGTGTTCAGTCAGAGGGGTTCTAGGTGCACATGTGTTCAGTCAGAGGTGGTTCTAGTTTTGGGGGTGTTCAGTCAGAGGGGTTCTAGGTGCACATGTGTTCAGTCAGAGGGGTTCTAGGTGCACACATGTTCAGTCAGAGGAGATCTAGGTGCACACGTGTTCAGTCAGAGGGGTTCTAGGTGCATATGTGTTCAGTCAGAGGTGGTTCTAGTTTTGGGGGTGTTCAGTCAGAGGGGTTCTAGGTGCACACGTGTTCAGTCAGAGGGGTTCTAGGTGCACATGTGTTCAGTCAGAGGGGTTCTAGGTGCACACATGTTCAGTCAGAGGAGTTCTAGGTGCACACGTGTTCAGTCAGAGGTTGTTCTAGTTTGGGGTGTGTGTGTTCTGTCAGAGATGAGATGGTTCTAGTAGGGGAGGATTCAGTCAGATGGTTCTAGTTTGGGAGATGTTCAGTCAGAGAAGGTTCTAGATGTAAGTTCTAAGCAGGCTGCAGTTATGCTCTGTTCAGTATGTATGAAGTAATAGTCTAAGATGTGGGACAGAACCAGAACCGATGAATCACCAGAAATTATCACTGACAAGGTCTGATCCTGTTCCCAAAATATTTTAAGGTATCTAGGTATTCAGTGTCTATCCGTCCCATCCCTAGTGTGTGTGGATGATGGAGAATATGGTCGGTAGCGGAAGTCCGAGGGCTGCATTTGGAGAGAATTTGTACAGCATGTCATTGACACATAACATTGAGTTATGCTTGCATTTTCTTCAGTGGCTTTTCAAAGAAGTTTGATTTTTCTAATAAAAATAATTTTTTTGTACAGAGCATAGTTTTTAGCATGCCTAGTTTTTTTTCAATCTGGTACAAGTGATTAGTTAAGTGGTTGAGCATCACTCACAAAATTGTATGGGCATTAGAGGTTAAGTATGGGCTGAGGGAATCGAGAATTGACGCTCACCTCTAAGTGTAGATGGGAGACCCTGGGGAAACAGGTTAGAACTGGTCCCTCTATGCTTGTCGTATGAGGTGTTCAGGCTTGTTGATTGTTTATAACACATAATCATGCCCTGATGACGTCAGTCAATGCTCGTAATATCAATCACTAGCTTGTGTAATCCAGACTTAGTCCGTCTGTCTGTCGTCAGTACAATGCACAGTAGACTACAATGCAGGGAGACACTTAGGCTAACTGACAGCAGTCTACAAATGGACTGCAGCCCAAGTGCATTTTTATTTTATTACTAAATCAAGACAAAATAGATCTCTGGGCCTAGGTAGCATGCTTTATCATGATAAAAAATATCAAGACCGCTCCTTCACACCAACATTATAGAGCTGCCTTTTTAGAACCCTTTCTTTTTATTGTTTAGCCTTATTTCTGGAGGTCTGAAACTATTAAATTGAGATACTTTTCAGGACATTTTCAGTACTTCTAAAATGTCAGCAGATTGTTTTGTTCCAAGACCATGTTAGATTAATGTATTACATACCAAAAAAGTGTTCATTTAGAAAATCTTTCTTATGTTTTTGTATATATGTTTGCCAGGTCGGTTTTATCCTACGGCAAGAAAAGGTAACTTTGGTTCAAACTGGTGCCCAAATGGTGTTTTTATTATCATTTTTCACCAATGATTATCTCCCTTGTGTTAGACCACAACAAGCAGTTGCTGTGTGGCTCAAAATAGTCTTTATGATGCATGAATGTTTTTTTGTTTGTATCTTCCTGTAATTTTGAGTATACTTTTTGTTTTGAATGAATGGCATGTGAATTTTAGTTCAATCTCATTAAAATCAGATCTTAGTTCTCGCTATGCTAAACAAAGATCTGAGGACATCTCATTAAAGGTCACGTCAGAACGACCTTTCATCCAACCAATCAGAGCGTCGCTTTCCAGATCATGAAAGTGACAGACGGAATGTGTTTTCTTATCATGCAATCACGAAATATTTAACACGGGGTATTCCGAACAACAAATAGGGTTTTATGATTATATCCATACAATCTAGGCTATCTATAAGCCATTCCAGAATGTTCTTCTTATCAGGTTTTATTTTTTTTAATCGAGAATACGTCAAAATATGTTTCGAAACATAGTCGCCAGTTTGAAACTAGTGTCGTAAAGCTCAAGAAAGCTGCCTTGTGATTGGCTACTGTCGATTTCTTGTCAGTCATTTCATTGGTCGGTCAAAATTCGCGAAAGGTCGTTCTGACGTGACCCGTAATGGGATGTCCTCAGATCTTTGTTTAGCGGTAGCGAAAACTAAGATCTGATTTTAATGAGATTGATTTTAGTTTTTTTATTTGTTGACCTTTTTTAACCTCACCAAGGTCATCATGATGGTTGACCCACATTGTTTCCTGGGTGTACGATGTCTGCATGGGCATGTTGTGGAATGTTGTGCGGTAATCAGATACTGGACGATGACCTCCACCCCAGCTGATTTCCTTTCTCCCCACTGAACAATTAACTTACTTCCATGATCCTATACAGCGTGTCCTGGAGACCCAATGTATCATGAAGAGTCATGTTCCTTAGCAATGAGTGAGTGAGTGAGTTGGGTTAACCGCCGCTTTTAACAGTAATCCAGTTGTATCCCGGTGTGTCAGCTTAATGTGGGAGGAAAGCCCGAAGTGATGCAGGTCTCAGACATTTACCATTTCGGTGAAACCCACGAGCACGGGTATCGTGCTGACAAACCTAGTAACAGAATCGGGGCGAACAAGGATTCGAACCCACAATTATAGGTTTCTGGCGTGCCCAAGGAATGCAACAGTGAATCACAGCGCCTTAGACGACTGGGCCACCCGTGCCCCCTCCTTAGCAATGCCTGGATTCACTTGTAGGTTTGAATCCCAGATTTTCTCTGATAATGATTCCTAGTTGCTTCTGGGTTTCATCAGTGTGATAGATTCCTGCGACCTGTGTGGCCATCTTCCACAGACTACTGAACCACATCTAGGGTGTTGTGGATAGAGAGTCAGAAAATAGGGACCTGTGAAGATCCGGATAGAATAGGTCTTCAGCAACTCATGCTTGTCAAAGGCAACTAATTGGATTGAATGGTCAGACTTGCTGACTTGGTTGATGCATGACATTGTAGATTGATGCTCATGATATCAATCACTGGATTGTCTGTTACAAACTTGATTATTTATAGACTGCTGTCATATAGCTGGAATATTGCTGAGTGTGGCATTAAACAACGAACCAAAAATAAATTTGGTAGGTCAATACCCCGGCCATGTCATTCCAAAAGATGTCAAAAGATGGTGCTTGTTGCTACCCTGCCTGGCGGTTGGCATTAAAGGGATAAAAAAGGTCTGGTCAGCTAGGAATCCATATGAAGTATCTGAGTGGGGCATCCATGTTAAACTGCGGCAAGGGATAGTACTATAAAATCGGCATTAGTCTGTACTAGACACATGCACCTGTGCATCCATGTCACTGTAAAAGTGAAATAATCTTGAACGCAATATTAAACTCATTTCACCTCACCTCACAGGCCACCGTGATATTGCCGTTACTTTGGTAACAACCTATCCAGGGTATTATGACTCCACTCTGACATGATAAGTGTGCTGGACATATTGCCACAATATGTTTGTCATACGTCCGTCTCAAATGACACAGACATCCACTCAAATTACACGGTTCTTTCATAATCGAAACAAGCTGCTGTATCATAAATTCTCAACTCGATCCATCAGAAATCCTGCTCCACACTGAAACACATGTTACATGTGTCTCCTCAGGCGTGTGACTTTGTTCAAAGTATACCTTTGTTCACTCGCCAGTGAGTGGGTACCCGGTAGGATGAAATGGTAATGTCATTGTTATTCTTCAAGCACCTCATGGGGGCACGGGTGGCCTAGTTTTAAGGCGCTGCAATTCGCTGTGCGGAGTTGCATCCCTTTGGCACGCCGGAAGGCTATATGACTGTTGGTTGGAATCCCAGTCCGCCCTGAATATGTTTTAGGTTCGTCAGCACCATACCCGTGCTTATGGGTTTCACCAAGTTAACGTCTAAGACCTGCATGACTTCGGGCTTTCCTCTCACATTAAGCTGACACACCGTGATATAACTGGAATACTGTTCTAAGCGGCATTAAACACAACTCACTCTAGCGTCTCACTGGCAGCTTAGGTTGTATACTCCCTATAGAGGGTGGTAGGGGGGGTGGAGCTGGGAATGAAACTTGATAGTTGGTAATCATAATGTGGTGCCGTGAGCTTTTAATTGGTGAGTGGAATCTGATGCTGAACTTGTTATTATTGTTACTCCAAGCTCAATCATTGAGGGGCAGTTTGGTTACTTTGGTGTTGAAGCATTCGCTCTTCACACCTTTACCTTCCTGTAGGAATATGTTCTAGTCATGTGTTCAGTGAAGGGAAGAATGTTGTCTGCATCACCTGTTGGATGTTGGTTGAAATGATGAAACTCTGTTTCAGGAACAAGGTGACCCCTGTGTCAAGTCCAACAAAGCTATCTTACACAAGCCTTTCTGAAAGTCGGAAGAAGGACGACGCATCAGAGGTCACCCCAAGGTGAGAGGTCAAGGATAACAAAGGTCACAAAAAGTTGCAAGGTCATTTGAAATCGTGCGAGTACATTCATGCAATTTTTTGGTATATTTAGATATTGTTTGTTTTTTTTACTATTTGGCTGTTTCATATTGACCCTTATAACAATTAAAAGGATGTTGTTTTGGTTCCAGAGCTAATGGATCTGTCCCTAAAGAGAGCAAGGAATCAAAGCAGCCAGCAGAGGAAGGTAAGTGAACAAGATTAACACCACCACCACCTTACAGCCTTGAAGTCAGAGGTTTAGTCAAACCCAAAATGAGCTTCACAGATCGTACCCTTGTGGAGCGACCACACTTTAACCACAAGGCTTCACCATTGTCCTTTGGAAGTGCTGGGAGTTATCTGTTGCAGGGATTTTGGACACTAACAAGTTACAAAATACTCAGCGTCTGGCTTCTTCCCAACTGGGCGGTCGGGTAGCCTATAGGTTAAAGCATTCGCTCGTCACACCAAAGACCCGGGTTTGATTCCCGACATGGGTACAATGTGTGAAGCCCATTTCTGGTGTCCCCCGCCATGCTGGAATATTGCTAAAAGTGGCGTAAAACCAAACTCACTCACTCACTCACTCTTCCCAACTATGATTAAGAACAAATGCATGTGGACAGAAAGAAATTTGAACTGTTGTTGAAGTTACATGTAAATGTTATTAAATTATTGGTGTATGTGTTGCCAAAAAAACAGTTATTCATATCTGTTTAATCATTTTTTACAAAACAATATCTGTTAAGTGTCAACAACTGAAAAAACAAAGTGATTGGTTTATAAAAATATTTTCAAAATTGAAATTGGCTTTTCAGCTTGTGACACATCCCCTTTTGTGAAATCACTTTATTTTCAAATGCAAAAATCAAAACTGATGGCAATCATCTGTTATGTGTCTCCCTTTGGCTTTCAGAGAAGAAGCACACCCCGCTGTACTTCAACCCCACCTACACGGGGCAGGAGGAAGGGTCCCCCAGGCTGGAGACCTGGAGCCCCTACCGGGCGGCGGACGAGGTAGCTCTCATCTCCCTACCACAAACACAGGTACGCAGTATAAGCCGGTCCTTTGTTTTGCTTTTTTCTGGATTTGACTGACTGGAGTCGGTAGCTTCAATCAGGACATAAAATGTAAATTTAGCTCTGTTCTACATCACTTTAAGAAGATCCATCAACAAAATCAAACAGAAAAGTAAGTTTTTGAATAACAATTGATGAAATGCATTGTATATTGTCTCTGGCCACTACAACCCCCCCCCCCCCAAAAAAAAACAAAAAAAAGCCTTCTCTGATTAAATGTTGTGTATTATTTGTGTAAATGGCAGAGTGTACAGAATTGTGCAAGCTGAACTGTACACCACGGGGACGGTCGGGTAGCCTTGTGGTTTAAACGTTCTCTCGTCACGCCGAAGATCCAGGTTTTGATTACTGACATGGTTACAATGTGTGAAGCCCATTTCTGGCGTCCCCCGCCGTAATATTGCTGGAATATTGCTAAAAGCGGCGTAAAACCATACTCACTCATAAGTACACCAAGTAACCGAAGTGCAAAGGGAGGTAATTCATATTCATTTTAAGATAGACTGTAGTTGATGAAGTACCAAAAGGCCCCGCTCACTATTTGTCATCTCTTGTTGCAGACTGTGATGGACAAGACCCCGACACAGGAGCGCCTTCAGACAACCACCTTCAGCGAGTCGTACCCGACCAGCATGCGTGACAGCTACTATGCCACGGAACCAGCCAAGCCTATTGTGATCAGAACTAAAGACTTAGACATTGACCCCCAGGGTACCACAAACTCAAAACCCTCCCAGCCCAAACATCAAACGGTTAACGGCATCGGGACGGGGATGGGCAAGTCTGGCCTGCCCAATGGGGACACCAGCTACCCTGGAATGACAGGCTATGAGGACATACCATTGCATTCTTTCGGGAGTAAATCTCACACACAGGACTCTGTGAAGGAAAATGGAGGTGTCAACGGAGGTCTCCATGGAGGTCTCAACGGAGGCCCACATAAGCCTCCCACGAAGACCTGGGCCGGTCAAGATGAAGTGGATGTTGTGTCCAGTCTTGAGCCTGGAGCCTCTCCCCGGCCTTTCATCCGGTCGCTCCGTGAAGAGCTGGAGCATTTGTCCACTAGAATTGGAGAACCTGGAAATACAGATTCACATGGAAATGCACTGGCATAGTAGTAGCATGTAATGATTTCATGTGAATCTAGTTCTGGATAGACACTGATAGTCGGATTCATAGGTATTCATCATTGTGGTTGTGGAATCAGTCTGATCAGATTTATGATCACGGTTGTTGTGATCATTCCCGTTGTTTAAGACGGGGAGTGCTTTTAAAGATTGTTATGTTTATGACTGATATTTTAATGGTGGATCTTACCAAGTATTTACAAATTGAACAATTCGTTGTTCATTTTTATTCATAAAAGAATCCTTGTCCTTTTGAACATGCAGAAACTTGGATCTTTTATAAAATTCTACCATGACTGTTTAATTTAATTTTCTCAGATGGATCAGATTTGATTTATTTTCGTACTTATGCGTCCTTGTCATCACAGTGATGATGTTTTGTTTTATGATGACTCAGCATTTTGAGAACTGTTACCTGATGCTGTGGGATTTCTTTTCAGCAAACATGACATGAATGAATTCTGTGCCAATTAATGTGTTATGTGAAAAATATTACAACTCTGTATTGAGTAGTGTATGTGTGTCCTGTCTTCAAAAGAAACAAAGAAAGAAGGCCTGTATACTGCTGCAAACAACTAAGGGAATGGATACATAGCGACTGGTGACGTTGTAAATGTGTTACCGTTTACACCTTGTTTTGGGAGCAACCGTCAAAGTGATGCAGCTGAAGATGTTTGCCACTTTGGTGAAACCTACAAGCATGGCTGTGGTGCTGACAAACCAAGAAACATAAGCTGGACGACTTGCAGATTCAAACCCATCATCATAGAATTCTGGCACGCCTAAGGAATGTAACCCAGCAAATTGCAGGTCTCAGACAGTTTGGTCCCTTTGGAAGGCGGACCACAAACTGTCAGCTGTTTTTGTTTACCAACCCAAGTTTTGTACTGTTATAGTGTTTAGTTTTAACATATTTTATTCCATCGGAATAAATAATGTAAGGTATTTAAATTATTCTTGCAATGGACAAATACTGTTCAACTGAGAATACAAATTTATTTTGACAATAAATACACTTTGAATGAATCTCATTAAGATGGATGGATGGTCACTTGAACATTCCAGAAAATAATTTGTTTCAATGTACCATTGTTAGGCCATTTTGTAAGATGTGTGCAGGTATACAAGAATAACCTTTCATTTGTGCTTGAGTAACCACAATGTCAGAATAATAAGATTACTTAATTTTCATAATGTTCTTATCATACAACCAGCTGAACGTACTTTGTTGCACACACCTGATATTTATTTAGTGCTGAAATTAAGCATGGATGTCAAGAGGCCATTTCTATAACCCCAATGTTAAAATTTATGGGGAGTTAATTACTGTAAGAGCAACACTCAACGACCAAGGATTCCCTTAATTTTGAACTCTTGTATTAATGTTTTTAGGAAACTATGCAAGAAAATTAGTTCTTAGGTCCTAGAGGCAGATCCAGGACTTTGTAGAAAACCAATTCACAAAGTGAACAAAAACATCATAGGGTCTGATTCAGGTTGATGTGTTGGAAAAAAGGGGTACATCCCCCACATCCATTGCACCCCCTGTACCTGGATCTGACAGTGTAGATGATGTTAGATACACAAATTCTCAATAAAGGATTGGGTTTTGACGGACAAACAATATCATTGACTTTAGTACCCAACCAGGGGAGATAACTCCTACCTTCAACACATGTGTTGCAGACATGGAAGAAACTGTACAATACCGGGACTATTTCAACTTGTATGCTGTGATTGTGTGGCATTTTAATGTTGAAAATCAGGGTATGCAATTCCAGGTCTGGTTTTAAGGCATGGGTCTTCAAGTCCACACTTTGTAGCAGCACATGTTTCCAGTCTCCAGCAGGGGATGAAGGGACCGTGTAGGGTGAGCATCACCTGATGTGTCTGTGTCAAACATGTGAGGTCTTCCCAGAGGCAGTAGACAGCAGAGATCTGACACTGTATTGTGCTAAAGGCAGTAGACAGCAGAGATCTGACACTGTATTGTGCTAGAGGCAGTAGACAGCAGAGATCTGACACTGTATTGTGCTAAAGGCAGTAGACAACAGAGATCTGACACAATAGTGCTAGTAGCAGCGTACAGCCACGGCTTCATGCTCTGTGTTTGTTTTGTGTTGTTTAGAAGGACACCAGATGAGTTATATCCTGTGATTTCATGTCTTAGAGAAAACACAAATTTTATTTAGGAACTGGCGCGTCATCAAGTGTACCTTCAGGCCATGATTTATTTCTGCATAAAACACTAAAATGGGACCAACTTCACTCATAAATATTTGAAATGTCCATTCCTGAAAACCATTTATTTAAATGCTCAGTTATGACCCACTGATAAGTTAACCTGTTTAAGAAGATGAAAACCTGCTCAAATGCTTGTCTTGTTGTCATGATCCTCCAGGTCAAGTACGATAACATCCTGTTCTGTTTTAACCCGAGAAATCTCCATATCAATATTTTCACCCTCAAATATCTTATATATCATGTAGCCATATTCGTCATGAGCTACCAGAACCTTACTTTCATGTGATGATAATGACTGGTTTACCTACAGCAACAAATGTATGTTATTGGCATGAAACACAGATCTATAATACTGAGAGGGTGATGAAAAACAAGAAAAACATTTTGGGGTTGGACTCCAAAATAGGCTTGACTAGGGAACACATTTTTGGCCTTATACAACAGGAACACCACCATGTCTTTCATGATTGTCTGGTTGCATTGTATCACATGTGGCCATGCTTAGTCCTTCACTAGTCAGAAGATCAGATGTATCACATATCTGATGTCTATTTATTGACTTACTGTGTTTGCCATGCTTACCATGTACTTCTATATAATAATGGAGCTTATTTTCAAAGTCACTGATTGCTCATCCTCGATAGTCCAGGGTATGATATCTCCATGCTGTTATCATAAATACTGTGTACCTATTTGCGACCATAGCTCTGTTCTGAGTCCTATTGAAATGATGTGGAGCTAAAAATAGTCATCCAATCAAATTATACAATTCTTTCATGATTGCAACAAGTGGCGATATCTCCAGTATTCAACCAGCCTTGTTGCATGCTGGTTAAAATACAACTGGGAATGCCATGTGGTATGACCTACTCATGTAAACAATTTTCCAGCAAAATAAAATTCACCTGAGTTAATGAAATATATCGAGGGCTTGCTCTGACAAGTCCCCAATTTTTTATTAGAAACACGTTTCCTTGATACTCGGTATAAAGTGATTATATCTGCTCAGGGGCGGTCGGGTAGCCTAGTGGTTAAAGCGTTCGCTCGTCACGCCGAAGACCCAGGTTCGATTCCTAACATTGGTACAATGTGTGAAGCCCATTTCTGGTGTCCCCCGCCGTGATATTGCTGGAATATTGCTAAAAGCGGCATAAAAACCATACTCACTCACTCACTCACTCACTTTGACATAGCTTTGTTGGCGAATGGGTCCAGGGTATTTATGATGATAAAATGGAGATATTCATGAGGGTGCTGAATACTACACATGATGAATATCTGGCCCCTGGTATTCCTTGATGCAAGGAATATTGAATGTTATTCTGGAATGCTGGTTCATTCCTAATATTCAAGTGTATACAGGATGAGTGACAGAGTCGGGATATGAAGATACAGTTGCAAGTTGTCGTGTTGTTCTCACAACTTTTCTATTATTATCCCGATTCTGTCCTGTCACAAGTTTCCTGACTGTCTTAGGGCACAGCCAAATACTCCAGTTCCCAGGATAGCAGATCAGCGATTATATAATGGAAGTCTCGCATAAACGTCACTTTTCACTTTCCACTCCAAGCCCACTTTGTAATTCTTGATGTACAGACAGTTCAAACAGTATTGACACGTAAGGTTTAAGAACTTTATCAGGATATGGCTGTACTGCTATAAAAGCAACAAAACCCTTTCCATAATAAGAAATATCTGCTAAAATGACAGTCTGTTGCATAATTCTGATTGTATCATGAGCATGTGTTTATGAATCACTATCAGATGGTGATGAAACCAGGGCCCACTTACACAAAGCGATCTTACCGCTACAACTATTGTAAGCCTATGTTAAAGTATGGGCGGGACGATCATCTTAGGGCTACGACTATTGTAAGCCTATGTTAAAGTATGGGCATTACGATCATCTTAGCGCTACGACTATTGTAAGCCTATGTTAAAGTATGGGAGTTACGATCATCTTAGTGCTAAGATCGCTTTGTGCAAGTGGGCCCAGGGGTTGGGAAAAGGTGAATGTGACCCAGTGACGAAGGCTCATTGTATCAGAGTCTTTGGCTGTGCTCCAAGTCTAGTTTTCTCAGTGTAATGAGTACTTATCATAATTAATAATCAGATTCATATTCATCATAAAACTGTTGCTTCGATGACTTGAGTCAAACCTGCTAGGTCTGCCCATTAAGGATGATCCTAGTCCTGCTTTAAGATGATGTACTGCCATAGTTGTAGCCGAACCCATATCAGCTCTCAGATCCCATACCCAGGGCTTGTTTCATGTGACTCCATATGGTTTTCATGGTGCTTAGGACATTGAGGAAAGGAAGTTTCATTGCTTGATAAATGTTGTGATGTGTTTATTAGTTTAAGAGCTATACAAGGCAGATGAGAAAACATATGTCTTTTCTTCAACATTTAAATATTAAGCAGGATTTAGAGCAACAAAGTTCAGGCTTAAATCTCTTTTTGTTTCTTGTTTTACTTCATTCATAAGCCGACCTATTTAGAAATTTATCTGGACCTGCTCAGAGGCCGATAGTCGGCGCCATGTCTGCTATAAATGTCAATACAAATTCCCAATCTGTATCTAACATTTCTCAAGTCATATTGCAGTGTATTAAGATATATAACTAATTTTAAGGCTTTAGAACCTGTATTCACTTATAACAAGACCAATAAATTGGAACAGGTTTTAATGCTTCGTTTTATGTTATTGCACTTAATGCAATTTCAAAATACCTTAGAATTTAAGAAAATATGAACTTTAAAAACAAAACAATTTTGAACAAACTACCCGGTAATGCTTTTTCCCAATTTGCCTGCCAGGGGCTCGGATAAAAATCCTAAATAAATCTCTGCGATTTCGTTGTAGTCCCCAACAAGGGAAGTTAACTCTTTGTAAGCCATTGTCCACATGTATTTAAAACAAAGTTTGAATAGTGATTTAGGTATTATATTAACAGTGCACTCCACTCATGATGCATCCGCTTGTATGTTAAAGAAACATGATCTCTGATTGGTTGAATCCGGCTTCTAATAAGAATTTTAAAGTCATAATATTTTGACTTTGCCCCACACAGTGACATCACATAAATGATGTTCTGATGTAAACAAACAACTAGGAACGAACAGTATGGGCAAACTGGCTTCATTTTTACCTCAAGAGGTAGTAGTTATATTATGGAACTTGATACTGATATATCTTACATGGTCTGCATCACGGCCGATGACCATTAAACATCATGTGTTACATTCTCAAGGAAGAGAAAACATTTATTTCTTAAACCAAAATGAAGATCATTTGTCTGCCTGATAAGACTTTGAAATGTAGGCCTAGATCGACAGTGTTGACTGTGATAGTATCTTCAGACACAATGAAATGGTTTTTATTATGGGAACTCTTTTATATAATTGATGTTAATGAATTGTATTATTAAATTTGTTAAATTTGTCTGTCCATCCCCGTCCAGTTTTCAAGACACATATCAAAATCTTGAGAAGTGAAATATGGTACTTAAAATATGCAAAGTTGTGAGTAATAACTGCAAATTGTTATCGTTTATGTATCATAGTATTTTATTGTTTAAGCTTGATATGTGACTGGTGATGTTCTGTGGAAACATGGAATTAATTTCATTTTAGATGGGCTAAAGTAGCCAGAGAACAAGGACAGATGAGGACTCTTTTTGTCCCACAGGGTCTGCGTAATTTAAGAATTGAGCCAAACTTACTGGAAAGGGCTGGGACGATGCACCAGCAGTGTGATACGATACGTATCATGATACCTTGCTCACAATCCAACAGTATCATGATACATGCATGTGCTCTTATCTGTGGCTAAGCCATTTTTTTCAAAGACAGCATGGCCAAATACCTGGCACACTAACGATTTACAGCTGACATAATGGATGAAAATACTTATTTTCACTACTAATTAGTGTTTAATGTAACAGTTTTTTAAGCAAACACTGAAGGTAAGAATCAATATTTTTTATTTAGTGTGCGACTGTGATTGATACTTGTATCGAGAAGTAAAAAATTGTGATCCTCCGATGCATCGGTACATCATCCCACAACTAACATCAGATGATACATGGCTGTGAGCTGGACTTTGTTCATGTCAACAGTTGTGTGTTGGGAATTATAAAAAAACTGAATACATAGGTAAGGCTAGAATCTGTCAAAAAGGCTGATTTAGAGGCTTTGTGAAGGGTTTTTCTAATAATTGAGAAGGTCTTTGTCCCAAGCTGATTTTTGTAGACTTGTACACAAAAACATTACAAACATATCATAAATTATTTCATCTTGGGTCACAGACTGGCTCATACTTCCTTTGAAGTTTAAACGCTCAGCCCTTTTCACTCATTTTAGCCATATTTCTGTATCTGACCATGAGGGAAGTCCTTGAAAACTTGCAAGTGTAAAAAAGAAAAGAGTTCACTTGTCAACTTTTTGACCATGTCTGATCATTTTCATACCAATATTACAAAGTTTTTCACAATTTCAAGGGGCAATGGGGTAGCCTAGTGGTTAAAGCGCTGGCTTGTCACGCCGAAGACCCGGGTTCGATTCCCCAAATGGGTACAATGTGTGAAGCCCATTTTCCGGTGTCCCCCCCCCCGTGATTTTGTTGGAATATTGCTAAAAGCAGCGTTAAACCATACTCACTCACTCCCTCAAAATTTCAAAATTTGACACTTCCATTGGGCAAAAGGGTCCTTGTCCTATGTCATCCCTTGTCTCTCCATGCCAGGACATTGACCTCATGCACTCAGTTTCTATATGAGTATTATTGAGATTTACGTCTTGTTTAAAGGTTGTCACACATTATATATATCCAATATATCCATGGGGAACAGTTTCATATGTACTGTTTATATCACACTTTGTTATTGCATAACATCATGGTGATCGGTATTTGTTACATCAGCGGAACTTGTACAGATATAGAGCTGAAATGTATGTACATAGACTTTGTTACACACTACACTGTAATATACAATATATTTTGTAATGTAACTGATAATAAAATACTAATAATTAACCTTAATGTTTGTCTTTCTACATAGTGAGTGGGTTGGCAGATGATTCCTTCTATTGTCTAAATACATGACTCCGGCTTTTCATTTGACAGTTTGTTTGTTTGTTTGTTTGTTGTTAAACGCCGCACTCAGCAATATTCCAGCTATATGACGGCGGTCTATAAAATAATCGAGTCTGGACCAGACAATCCAGTGATTGACATCATGAGCATCGATCCACGCAAATGGGATCGATGACATGTATCAACCAAGTCAGCGTGCCTGACCACCCGATCCTGTTAGTCGCCTTTTACGACAAGCATAGTCGCCTTTTACAACAAGTATGGGTTGCTGAAGACCTATTCTAACCCAGAATCTTCACGGGTCTCATTTGACAGTAGTTACATTACATAATGGTTTTGAAACTCCAAGAATCAGAAGGACAAGTAGTTTCATTGAAAAAGGAATTAAATGTAGCCCTAGCCTGTTTTTGTTTCTGCTCTGAAATGACACCCATTACTCATTTTCAGAGACAAGTCCAAATTTGTATCCGTGGAAACAGAAAAGATACAAATATATGTGAAACAATATTAGAAAAAGCACAACTATAGTTTATGTTGATAGTGTGCACTGAGTTACATAAATGTAGCACTTTTCCATCGGAAACAATGTCAGGATGCACAGAAACACTCCTGGACACACAGACGGGTGGTCGGACTGATGGAATCTGTTTTTGTTGGTTTGTTATTTAATGCTGCACTCAGCAATATTACAGCTATATGATGGCGGTCTGTAAACAATCAAGTCTGGACCAGACAGTCCAGTGATTGACATCATGAGCATTCACGCAATTGAGATACGATGACATTCATCAACTAAATCAGCGAGCCTGACCCCCCCCCCCCCCCTATACTGTTAGTCGCCTCTTACGAAAATCATAGTCACCTTTTATGGCAAGCACGGGTTGCTGAAGACCTATTCTAACCCAGATGGAATCTCTTAATGTTTCATCCTATAGTATTTTGTTGTGACTGTGATAAAAAGTATGCCACCCCAACAGGTAAGATTTAGTTGACCTTTCTGAAGAAATAGGGGTTATGTGTGGCCAAGTTTTCGAAGAGGCAATTCGCTTTGCAGAGTTGTGTCCGTTGGGCACATCAGAATCTTCTGATTGTGGGTTTGAAACACTGTTTGCGTTTCTAGTTTTGTCTAGTTTTGTCAGCACCATACCTGTCTTGGTGTTTTTCACCAGTGTGGTAAACATCTGACACCTGCATCAGGTCATACTTTCCTCTCACATCAAGCTGACACACAGAGTGTTGTGCCAGGGCTCTTTATAATAACACACACTGGTGCATGCAGCTTATTCAGACTGTCCTGTATGTCAAGTTAAGATCGATAGCTATTTATAAAGATGTGTCATGGGATATTCATTACAAAAATAGATCTGACTTGTATGTTTCTTTCTTTCTTTGTTGTTTAACGCCGCACTCGGCAATATTCCAGCTATATGGCGGCTGTGTGTAAATAATCGAGTCTGGTCCAGACAATCCAGTGGTTTACATCATGAGCATCGATCCACGCAATTAGGATACGACGACATGTATGCATCAAGCAAGTCAGGGAGCCTGACCACCTGATCCGTTAGTCGCCTCTTATGACAAGCATTGGTTGCTAAAGACTTATTCTAACCCGGGTCTTCACGGATCAGATCTGACTTAACATCTCCCATACTATGTAAAGCTGTCAGTACCGGTTTGGTTGAGGAAAGGCTGCAACCTTACGTTTTATCCAACACAAGTGGAGCCAAGATTCCTCTCCCCGGTCATGTTGCCTGTAGTGGTTACGTTCCTACAGGCAACCGAGTATTTATCATTACAGAACAATAGCTTTTAAGGCAACGTGAACCTGAATTTAGTTGTAGCAGTATTGGTGTATTTTGTATTCCCGAGGCAAGGGCGTTAACTGACTGAGAAGTCCGGTTTCGTCCCTTGCCGAATTTCCAGGCTCGACCGTAGCGCCAGGAGTTACGTCCCTTCCATGTCCCTCCAACTCACCAATCAGATTCCATCTCTCATATCACTTACGGCGCCCAGTCAAGACGATCTGATGGATGGTCACGTTCTATAGTGGTCACGCGAAGTGCATCAAATCACTTGACCCCCTCATTAAAAACATGAAAAGATTGGCAAAATGTCTGTCGACGCCCAGTTGGCGGTACACATGCTTTGAAAATCCTGCAGTCGACCGAAATCTGAACGTTGAAATCTATGTTGTTTACGAACCGGATGTCTAGTTCATTACCCGATATTAATTATACTATGCATATACTCGTTAGTGAAGCCAAAATGTAACTCCGGAATTCCAGCCTAGTTAGGCAAGGGTGGAAACTGAACTTTTCTGGTCAGTTATCGTTGGCTGAGCACAATTGCATCCTTGCAAGGTTTAGATTCCAGTTGTTAAAACACAACTTCATTTGTCTGCTAACTCTGATTTGGTTGTATACATGTTTGATTATCTAAATTTCATGTTTTCACTAATTAAGCAGAAACAATGCCTCAGTTCAACACTAGTCACAACTAGTGACTTGAACCGGAAATATGCGGTAAAAGCGTTCTCTCGTCACACCCAAGACCCGGGTTCGATTCCACACCTGGATACTATGTGTGAAGCCTATTGATCCAATGATCGTTGGCTCAAATTAGTGGCTTTGGTTTATGAGCACTACGCTCGTGCCCGTGGATTTCACAAAAGTGTTGAACTAGTTCCACCCGTATCACTTGTCAGTCTGACATGGGAGGAAAGCCAAAACTGATGCAGGTGTCAGATTTTACCCTTTTGGTGAAACCCCCTGAGCCCGGTATGGTGCCGACAAATCTAGAAAAAAACATAATCAGGGCCACCCGGAATTCGATTCCGCGATCAATGAGATGCAGCCCTGTAGAGCGAATTCTGGCCCTGAAACGACTGTGTGCGTGTGCGTGTGTGCGTGTGCGTGTCTGTTTGTGCGTGTGCGTGCGTGCATTTGATAACCAACTGAGATACCACACTCAGTCACAGTATACTGATTCTCAGCAGACCTGTCCTTATTTTGTCCTATTAATGCCGAGCGCCAAGCTGGATAAACACAAATATCATTTCTTAACGTCTTTTGGTAGAACATGGACGGGGATCGAACCACCGACCTTCCATTCTCCGGGCAGATGCTCTGTTTACTGAACCAGGGATGCGGTCGTAAACTCACGATTTGCTCTTTGTCTAAAATATATGTCTTTAACTTCGCAGTGACATTGACCTGTGACCCGTAGTATAGGTCTTCAGCAACCAATGCTTGTCGTAAGAGGCGACTAACCGATCGATATATATACAGCCGCCATATCGCTGGAATATTGCCGAGTGCGACGTTAAGCAACAAAGAAAGAAAGAAACATACAAGTCAGATCTATTTTTATATACAATTCTATTAATATCCACACATAACCGAATCACCTGACGGCTCCAGCATCGCCACGTGTAGCAAGGAGTTTATATAAAAAGGACCCAGTCTTCTTTCACAACACTTGAGGATCGGAGCCATCGTTGAACTTAACTTTACAACAGCTTTAAGACTGCGAAGTTTATAAGGTAAGTTAGTTTGTACAGTAACCAAAATGTATTAGAGATGATAAATTGAAGAGAAGTAAGTATTGTAATACACGTATTAAGATTAACTACTACTACTACTACTACTACTACTACTACTACTACTACTACTACTAATACTAATACTACTTCTACTACTACTACTACTACTACTACTACCGACCCATGAAGATACGGGATAGAATAGGTCTTCAGCAACCCATGCTTGCCGTAAAATACGACCATGCTTGTCGTAAGAGGCGACTAACGTATCGGGTGGTCAGGCTCCCTGACTTGGTTGATGCATACATGTGGTCGTATTCTTATTGTGTGGATTGATGCTCATGATGTCAATCACTGGATTGTCTGTGCCAAACTCGATTATATACATACAACCGCCATATAGCTAGAATAGTGCCGAGTGCAGCGTTAAATAACAAAGAAAGAAAGAATCTTGACTTGGTGGAACCCTGGCATCGATCCCAATTGCGTAGACCGATGCTCATGATATCAATCACTAGATTGTCTGGTCCAGACTCGATTATTTACAGACCACCGTCATATAGCTGGAATATTGCTGAGTGCGGCGTAAAACAACCAACCAACCAACCAACTACTAATACTGCTACTAAATGAAATCGTTATCATTAGGTCCATTGCTAACTAATCTGACCCAGTGACATACTGTTAACTGTTATGTGTAATATGTTTTGATGTTATGGTATCAAGTCATTGTCTGGTCGCAACTGGTGACCCATAGCTGTAAAGAGTCGTATCCCTTACGCGTGCCCGAATCCTATGATCAGGGGTTCGCATCCAAGATTATGATGGGTATAGTCAGCACCATACTTACGGGTCTAACACTCAAAGCGAAGTATGCGCTGTTACAGTTGAATGTATTTGTTAGTTGTCTCATTGTCTCATTCAGCTTGTTCATTTCTCATCACAGGATGGCCAGTTCAGTGACTGATCTTGATGAACTCCTTAAACAATGGGCGTGGAAAATGTACACACGGACGAAAAATACTGTGAGTATTGACAATGCACAGCTTGATGTTGTTTGGAATAAGGTACGTTTCCAATCCGCCCAGGCAAACTTCTCGAAGCAACATGCATCAAATGTTCCTCAGTCTCAGATCGTGTTCAGTTCAACATTCGACAATGAAACGACGCAATATCAACAGCACAACTTCCAGACTCAGCGGTCAACGATTGCGACTGTCACAACGGCAATGTCCAAAGGCTTCACACGTGGGGTCAATGCAGGAATCAAGCTTCCGGTCCCACCGGAAGTGCTCAGCTCTACAGCCGGGTTCGGCAACGAGGTCACCATCGAATGCGAGGATGAATATTCGGTACAGAAGTCCCTCTCCTGGGCTGTCAACACGACTGTCAATGCACCAAAGGAAATGAGAACTGTTGCTGAACTTGAAATACTTGAAAATGAATTCAAATGCAACTTCAAGATGAATGTATCCTTCCGAGGGACGGTTAGGGTGAATATCACCGAATTACCCTCTGAAAAGGTGCTGATTTTTCAAAACGACATCGCCCAGATTCTAGGTGATAGTGGTTCCCTACTACCAGACTGCGTGGAGATCACACCCAAGAAGGTGGTTTGGCCTGTCATAGGGAAGGTTCAGTTCCGGTATGGCGTCTCTCAAAAGGTCCGCGTGTATCAGGAAGATCTTGAGGACGAACCTGTTGATGATGGCAACTACGATCAATATTATAATTGAAAGAACTTTTCCATTCGTTGTCAGTTCATGTTCAACTGTTGGTTTGTTAATTAGAACATGTGAACATGTAACTGATCTCTATGTACCATAATGAACTGATTGCTACATGACTGTACATGACTGAAATTTTACAGACTCCCTCAACCGTCATTATTAACAAACTTGGTGTATTGATAAGTCTGTGTGTTTCTTTGATCCGGATTAATAGGTATATCGATAAGTCTGTGTGTCTATTTGAACTGGATTAAGGGCAAATCGATAAGTCTGTGTGTCTATTTGAACTGGATTAAGGGCAAATCGATAAGTCTGTGTGTCTATTTGAACTGGATTAAGGGCAAATCGATAAGTCTGTGTGTCTATTTGAACCGGAATAACCTATCCTATGTACTGACGTTTATAGAAAGGTTCTGCAAAGAAGTCCACATTGAATTGGAACGAAATATTCCAGAACAATAATCAAATGATTATTTCAAAGCGTGCAAATGAATGTGCATATTTTGTTAGATTGGGAATACTATACCTTCAGATAACATATAGAGCTAGCTGCAAGAATATAATTTTGTTTTATATTGTTAAACGAATTTAGGGTTAGCCACACAAAGATTAAAGTGTAAACGTTTACACATCAGTTTATGTTGTCTGAATAAATTCGTCGAGAGAAGTCTACTTAGTACTTTATTAAGAATGTATAAATTAGTTTTATATTCAGACGAATTACTTATAAAGAACAAACTGTAAAGTTTTACACATCAGCATAGTTTATCTGAATAAATTCGTCAACGGAAGTCTATTGTGTATTATTTTTGTTTTATTTTCCCCTGCCCACTTGGAACCAATCGTCCACAAACTAATCAATAATTCTTTTATTCTTAGCTATAAGATGCTATTGCCTGTACAATCAAATCAGATTTAACGATGTCCAGTTTCATCGTTCATTCGTTTGATAAATTATTAAGTTCGCGTCCATGAGGCGTGCCAGAAACCTATGATCGTGAGTTCGAATCCTAGATTCGCGCCGATTATGTTTTTAGGTTTGTCAGCACCATACGCGCTGGATGTCTAAAACCTGCGTCACTTCGGTTTGTTATTATATCTTTGTTTGTTGTTTAACGCCGCACTCGGCAATATTCCAGCTATCGGACGGCTTGTAACATCACCAAATTCCAATAGCTTGAAGAATAAATTGATCTCCTGACGATCAGACAGCATTGCATAGGTTCTATTTATAGTGTAATATTGTAGACACGTGTATCACTCACAATGACCTGCAGTGTAATACCCGATCATGGGTAAGTATATACTGAGGGTGACCTCCATTGCTTAGATATCCGTCTGTCAAAACTAGAAATATCTAAATATAGGTACAACAGATGGAGAGGCCCATTGTCACAAAAATCATAGAATGTACGTCACAGAATTTCACGGAAAACAAGTAAAGTGAAACGTGATCGATTATAAATCGATACAAACATAAATACTACCACTACTTCTACCACTACTGCTACAACTACAACTACATCTACTACTACTGCAACCATAACTAAAACTACTAATACCACTACTACTAATACAACTACAACGACTTTAATTTACTACCACGATTGGAGGTGTTCCGGTCATACACGTGTGGTCGAGTACTAGGAAGCGTTTGCAGTTTGCCTAAAGAATGTGTAGATCATGATTGTATATAAGTCACCTGAATAACGTGATATAATCATGCATCCGAAACAAAAAAGATTTGACATAGGAATTTCAATAACAAATAAAAACAAAACCGGAATTAAAATTCATAAATTTAACTCATTGAGTATTGAATGTCTGTGGAGTCTTCATTTGTTCTTGTAGATAATCTCTGCAATATAAAATAACGTACATGTATATTCAGTCTAGTTGTACTACAAGAATAACATTTTACCTTACGCATAAAAATACTGTATTCTTTAGCATAGAAAGTTCCAATACTTGTACAGTATTTGAAACTGTACTTCAATATTATAATATATTTTAATATATTATAGTATTAAAGAATTGACTTCACTAGGTTTTTGCATAAATGGAGATATAAACTTAAAAACTGGTGTATACACTGTTTAAATTTATGCAAACTGCCCACACTGGTGTTTACGCAAAACGCATATTTAAGTCAATCCTTATAGATAAATACGTCAACAATTAGCTTCACATACTGCTTATTTATTACACACAGAAATACGAAATCAGTGACACATAGTCCAGAGCTATTGCAACACAAGCGCCTCTCATTCTATCATCAGCAAATCAGGAAACGACAGTCCAGTCATGGGCGTGATATTATTATTTTTCGGTTTATAGAAGCATAAGCGCAAAGGTATATATGCTCGGTCACCCAATCAAATGCCACGGACCCACTTAATATTGCTTAATCAAAATATATTTTTCACATTCATTAAAATAAGAGTGAGTGAGTGAGTATGGTTTTACGCCGCTTTTAGCAATATTCCAGCAATATCACGGCGGGGGACACCAGAAATGGGCTTCACACATAGTGCCCATGTCGGGAATCGAACCCGGGTCTTAGGCGTGACGAGCGAACGCTTTAACCACTAGGCGACCCGACCGCCCCATTAAAATAAGAAGTAGGTGAGACAAAAGATCTTACTTATACCACCTTTTATTGTGCATTTCCATAAGTATATCATTTACCTTTGGAACCGTGTCCCCCCCCCCCCCCCCCCCCCGCCCTCCCTTGTTCAGATGGCGCATGTTTAAGGTACTACATCAGTTTTAACTCTACTTCTTTTCCTCAAGAAAAGTGTTCTTCGAGAGGCCTCTGAAAGAAATGTGTGTATTCAAATACGTGTATTCATTGCCGTTTTATAAAACATATAAATAAAACATATATATAAAGCACAGTAAAGTTCTAACTCTCAGGCACAATATAGTAATAATTAAATAAGTGGAGTAAATTTGAATACATTTCCATATCTTTATTTTGAACATGGTATTGTCATGCTGGAAACATTTTGTCAATCGAGTAAGTGGGAACGAATAACAATTTAGGAAATATAGAATACTAAACAAGCTCCCTTGTAATACCAATTTTGAACACACAGACTTATCTATATACCATTTAATCCGCATCAAATAAACACACAGACCTATCCACATACCATTTAATCCGGATCAAATAAACACACAGACTTATCCACATACCATTTAATCCGCATCAAATAAACACACATACCTATCCACATACCATTTAATCCGGATCGATGAAACACACAGACTTATCCATATCCCCATTCAGCAATATTCCAGCTTTATGACGGTGGTCTGTCAATAATAGAGTCTGGACCAGACAATCCAGTGATTGATATCGTGAGCACCGATCCACGCAATAGGGATCGATGGCATGCTTCAACCAAGTCAGCGAGTCTGACCATCCAATCCCGTTAGTCGCATCTTACGACAAGCATGGGTTGCTGAAGACCAATTTTGATTCGGATCTTCACGGGAATCGTAATCAAGACGAATATGGGATTCGAACCTGTCGTCGTTTAGGCACCTAATTCACACAATTGCTACCTTGTGACACACAATGTCATAACACTAAATGGATCATAATTTGGTCATTCTATTGGTCATAGTCGCCTTTTACGGCAAGCATGGGTTGCTGAAGGGCTATTCCATCCCGGATCTTCACAGGTCGTCCTCAGAGAGAGTTGCATAAGCGCTACTTATTCATAGTTAGTGAGTGAGTTTGGTTTAACGTCGCATTTAACAGTATTCCATTTATATCACGGTGAGTCAGCTTAATGTGGGAGGAAAGCCCGATGTGGTGCAGGTCTCAGACGTTTACCACTTAAGTGAAACCCATGAGCATGGATATGTTATATATGCTGACCGCCTGATCCGTTAGTCGCCTCTTACGACAAGAAGACTTATTCTAACCCGGGTCTTCACGGATATGATCTGATTTAACATCTCCCATTCTATGTAAAGCTGTCAGTACCGGTTTGGTTGAGGGAAGGCTGCAACATTACGTTTTATCCAACACAAGTGGAGCCAAGATTCCTCTCCCCGGTCATGTTGCCTGTAGTGGTTACGTTCCTACAGGCAACCGAGTATTTATCATTACAGAACAATAGCTTTTAAGGCAACGTGAACCTGAATTTAGTTGTAGCAGTATTTGTGTATTTTGTATTCCCGAGGCAAGGGCGTTAACTGACTGAAAAGTCCGGTTTCGTCCCTTGCCGAATTTCCAGGCTCGACAGTAGCGCCAGGAGTTACGTCCCTTCCATGTCCCTCCAACTCACCAATCAGATTCCATCTCTCATATCACTTACGGCGATCAAGACGATCTGATGGATGGTCACGTTCTATAGTGGTCACGCGAAGTGCATCAAATCACTTGAGCACCTTAATTAAAAACACGAAAAGATTGGCAAAATATCTGTCGACGCCCAGTTGGCGGTACACATGCTTTGAAAATCCTGCAGTCGACCGAAATCTGAACGTTAAAATCTATGTTGTTTACGAACCGGATGTCTAGTTCATTACCCGATATTAATTAGACTATGCATATACTCGTTAGTGAAGCCAAAATATAACTCCGGAATTCCAGCCTAGTTAGGCAAGGATGGAAACTGAATTTTTCTGGTCAGTTATCATTGGCTGAGCACAATTGCATCCTTGCGAGGTTTAGATTCCAGTTGTTAAAACACAACTTCATTTGTCTGCTAACTCTGATTTGGTTGTATACATGTTTGATTATCTAAATGTTCAACTATCTAACATTTCATGTTTTCACTAATTAAGCAGATACAATGCCTCAGTTCAACACTAGTCACAACAAGTGACTTGAACCGGAAATGTGCGGTAAAAGCGTTCTCTCGTCACACCCAAAACCCGGGTTCGATTCCACACCTGGATACTATGTGTGAAGCCTATTGATCCAATGATCGTTGGCTCAAATTAGTGGCTTTGGCTTATGAGCACTATGCTCGTGCCCGTGGATTTCACAAAAAGTGTTGAATTAGTTCCACCCGTATCACTTGTCAGTCTGACATCGGAGGAAAGCCAAAACTGATGCAGGTCTCAGATTTTACCATTTTGGTGAAACCCCCTGAGCACGGGTATGGTGCCGACAAATCTAGAAAAAAACATAATCAGGGCCAACCGGAATTCGATTCCGCGATCAATGAGATGCAGCCCTGTAGAGCGAATTGTGGCCCTGAAACGACTGTGTGTGTGTGCGTGTGCGTGTGTGTGTGTGTGTGTGCGTGCGTGCGTGCGTGTGTGTGTGTGTGCGTGTGTGTGTGCGTGTGCGTGTGTGTGCGTGTGCGTGTGCGTGTGCGTGCGTGCATTTAATAACCAACTGAGATACCACACTCAGTCACAGTATACTGATTCTCAGCAGACCTGTCTTTATTTTGTCCTATTAATGCCGAGCGCCAAGCTGGATAAACACAAATATCATTTCTTAACGTCTTTTGGTAGTACATGGACGGGGAACTAACCACCGACCTTCCACTATCCGGGCAGATGCTCGTTTACTGAACCAGGGATGCGGTCGTAAACTCACGATTTGCTCTTTGTCTAAAATATATGTCTTTAACTTCGCAGTGACATTGACCTGTGACCCGTGATGATCCGGGGTAGAATAGGTCTTCAGCAACCCATGCTTGTCGTAAGAGGCGACTAACCGATCGAGTGGTCAGGCTCGCTGACTTGGTTGATGCATGTCATCGTATCCCGATTGCGTGGATCGACGCTCATAATGTATATCACTGGATTGTCTGGTCCAGACTCGATTATATATATACAGCCGCCATATCGCTGGAATATTGCCGAGTGCGACGTTAAACAACAAAGAAAGAAAGAAACATACACGTCAGATCTATTTTTATATACAATTCTATTAATATCCACACATAACCGAATCACCTGACGGCTCCAGCATCGCCACGTGTACCAAGGAGTTTATATAAAAAGGACCCAGTCTTCTTTCACAACACTTGAGGATCGGAGCCATCGTTGAACTTAACTTTACAACAGCTTTAAGACTGCGAAGTTTATAAGGTAAGTTAGTTTGTACAGTAACCGAAATGTATTAGAGATGATAAATTGAACAGAAGAAAGTATTGTAATACACGTATAAAGATTAACTACTACTACTACTACTACTACTACTACTACTACTACTACTACTACTACTACTACTGACCCATGAAGATACGGGATAGAATAGGTCTTCAGCAACCTATGCTTGCCGTAAAATACGACCATGCTTGTCGTAAGAGGCGACTAACGGTATCGGGTGGTCAGGCTCCCTGACTTGGTTGATGCATACATGTGGTCGTATCCTAATTGTGCGGATTGATGCTCATGATGTCAATCACTGGACTGTCTGTGCCAGACTCGATTATATACATACAGCCGCCATATAGCTGGAATAGTGCCGAGTGCAGCGTTAAACAACAAAGAAAGAAAGAAACATGACTTGGTGGAACCCTGTCATCGATCCCAATTGCGTAGACCGATGCTCATGATATCAATCACTAGATTGTCTGGTCCAGACTCGATTATTTACAGACCACCGTCATATAGCTGGAATATTGCTGAGTGCGGCGTAAAACAACCAACCAACCAACCAACCAACTACTAATACTACTACTAAATGAAATATCACCATCGTTTACATTAGGTCCAGGGGCGGTCGGGTAGCCTGGTGGTTAAAGCGTTCGCTCGTCACGCCGAAGACCCGGGTTCGATTCCCGACATGGGTACAATGTGTGAAGCCCATTTCTGGTGTCCCCCGCCGTGATATTGCTGGAATATTGCTAAAAGCGGCTTAAAACCATACTCACTCACTCACTCATTCGGTCCAGTGCTAACTAATTTGACCCAGTGATATACTGTGAACTGTTATGTGTAATATGTTTTGATGTTATGGTATCAAGTCATTGTCTGGTCGCAACTGGTGACCCATAGCTGTAAAGAGTCGTATCCCTTACGCGTGCCCGAATCCTATGATCAGGGGTTCGCATCCAAGATTATGATGGGTATAGTCAGCACCATACTTACGGGTCTAACACTCAAAGCGAAGTATGCGCTGTTACAGTTGAATGTATTTGTTAGTTTCATTTTCTCATTCAGCTTGTTCATTTCTCATCACAGGATGGCCAGTTCAGTGACTGATCTTGATGAACTCCTTAAACAATGGGCGTGGAAAATGTACACACGGACGAAAAATACTGTGAGTATTGACAATGCACAGCTTGATGTTGTTTGGAATAAGGTACGTTTCCAATCCGCCCAGCCAAACTTCTCGAAGCAACATGCATCAAATGTTCCTCAGTCTCAGATCGTGTTCAGTTCAACATTCGACAATGAAACGACGCAATATCAACAGCACAACTTCCAGACTCAGCGGTCAACGATTGCGACTGTCACAACGACAATGTCCAAAGGCTTCACACGTGGGGTCAATGCAGGAATCAAGCTTCCGGTCCCACCGGAAGTGCTCAGCTCTACAGCCGGGTTCGGCAACGAGGTCACCATCGAATGCGAGGATGAATATTCGGTACAGAAGTCCCTCTCCTGGGCTGTCAACACGACTGTCAATGCACCAAAGGAAATGAGAACTGTTGCTGAACTTGAAATACTTGAAAATGAATTCAAATGCAACTTCAAGATGAATGTATCCTTCCGAGGGACGGTTAGGGTGAATATCACCGAATTACCCTCTGAAAAGGTGCTGATTTTTCAAAACGACATCGCCCAGATTCTAGGTGATAGTGGTTCCCTACTACCAGACTGCGTGGAGATCACACCCAAGAAGGTGGTTTGGCCTGTCATAGGGAAGGTTCAGTTCCGGTATGGCGTCTCTCAAAAGGTCCGCGTGTATCAGGAAGATCTTGAGGACGAACCTGATGATGATGGCAACTACGATCAATATTATAATTGAAAGAACTTTTCCATTCGTTGTCAGTTCATGTTCAACTGTTGGTTTGTTAATTAGAACATGTGAACATGTATCTGATCTCTATGTACCATAATGAACTGATTGCTACATGACTGTACATGACTGAAATTTTACAGACTCCCTCAACCGTCATTATTAACAAACTTGGTGTATTGATAAGTCTGTGTGTTTCTTTGATCCGGATTAATAGGTATATCGATAAGTCTGTGTGTCTATTTGAACTGGATTAAGGGCAAATCGATAAGTCTGTGTGTCTATTTGAACCGGAATAACCTATCCTATGTACTGACGTTTATAGAAAGGTTCGGCAAAGAAGTCCACATTGAATTGGAACGGAGACTTTCGTGAGACAGTTCGTCTATGGCAAAAAATGCTTTCAAGAAGAAGAGTGTCCTTGGATGATCTATGCCCGTATTTTGCATATTGTGATATTACAAACGTTTTTATAAACGCTCATGTATATGTGAAATATTCCAGAACAATAATCAAATGATTATTTCAAAGCGTGCAATTGAATGTGCATATTTTGTTAGATTGGGAATACTATACCTTCAGATAACATATAGAGCTAGCTGCAAGAATATAATTTTGTTTTATATTGTTAAACGAATTTAGGGTTAGCCACACAAAGATTAAAGTGTAAACGTTTACACATCAGTTTATGTTGTCTGAATAAATTCGTCGAGAGAAGTCTACTTAGTACTTTATTAAGAATGTATAAATTAGTTTTATATTTAGACGAATTACTTATAAAGAACAAACTGTAAAGTTTTACACATCAGCATAGTTTATCTGAATAAATTCGTCAACGGAAGTCAATTGTGTATTATTTTTGTTTTATTTTCCCCTGCCCACGTGGAACCAATCGTCCACAAACTAATCAATAATTATTTTATTCTTAGCTATAAGATGCTATTCGAATCCTAGATTCGCGCCGATTGTGTTTTTAGGTTTGTCAGCACCATACGCGCTGGATGTCTAAAACCTGCGTCACTTCGGTTTGTTATTATATCTTTGTTTGTTGTTTAACGCCGCACTCGGCAATATTCCAGCTATCGGACGGCTTGTAACATCACCAAATTCCAATAGCTTGAAGAATAAATTGATCTCCTGACGATCAGACAGCATTGCATAGGTTCTATTTATAGTGTAATATTGTAGACACGTGTATCACTCACAATACCCTGCAGTGTAATACCCGATCATGGGTAAGTATATATTACTGAGGGTGACCTCCATTGCTTAGATATCCGTCTGTCAAAACTAGAAATATCTAAATATAGGTACAACGGATGGAGAGGCCCATTGTCACAAAATCATAGAATGTACGTCACAGAATTTCACGGAAAAGTAAAGTGAAAAGTGATTGATAATAAATCGATACAAACATAACTACTACCACTACTTCTACCACTACTGCTACAACTACAACTACTGCTACAACTACATCTACTACTACAACCACAACTACAACTACTAAAACCACTACTACTGCTACAACTACTACTACTACCACCTTCACTACTACTAGCAATACAACTACTACTACTACAACCACAGCTACTACCACTACTGCTACAACTAGATCTACTACTACTACAACCATAACTAAAACTACTAATACCACTACTACTGCTACAACTACTGCTACGACTACAACTACTTTACTACCACGATTGGAGGTGTTCCGGTCATACTCGTGTGGTCGAGTACTAGGAAGCGTCTGCAGTTTGCCTAAAGAATGTGTAGATCATGATTGTATATAAGTCACCTTTACACCACGCTGATTGCCCAAATTGTATTATTATAAATGAATAACGTGATATAATCATGCATCCGAAACAAAAAAGATTTGACATAGGAATTTCAATGACAAATAAAAACAAAACCGGAATTAAAATTCATAAATTTAACTCATTGAGTATTGAATGTCTGTGGAGTCTTCATTTGTTCTTGTAGATAATCTCTGCAATATAAAATAACGTACATGTATATTCAGTCTAGTTGTACTACAAGAATAACATTTTACCTTACGCATAAAAATACTGTATTCATTAGCATAGGAAGTTCCAATACTTGTACAGTATTTGAAACTGTACTTCAATATTATAATATATTTTAATATATTATAGTATTAAAGAATTGACTTCACTAGGTTTTTGCATAAATGGAGATATAAACTTAAAAACTGGTGTATACACTGTTTAAATTTATGCAAACTGCCCACACTGGTGTTTACGCAAAACGCATACTTAAGTCAATCCTTATAGATAAATACGTCAACAATTAGCTTCACATACTGCTTATTTATTACACACAGAAATACGAAATCAGTGACACATAGTCCAGAGCTATTGCAACACAAGCGCCTCTCATTCTATCATCAGCAAATCAGGAAACGAAAGTCCAGTCATGGGCGTGATATTATTATTTTTCGGTTTATAGAAGCATAAGCGCAAAGGTATATATGCTCGGTCACCCAATCAAATGCCACGGACCCACTTAATATTGCTTAATCAAAATATATTTTTCACATTCATTAAAATAAGAGTGAGTGAGTGAGTATGGTTTTACGCCGCTTTTAGCAATATTCCAGCAATATCACGGCGGGGGACACCAGAAATGGGCTTCACACATTGTGCCCATGTCGGGAATCGAACCCGGGTCTTCGGCGTGACGAGGGAACGCTTTAACCACTAGGCTACCCGACCGCCCCATTAAAATAAGAAGTAGGTGAGACAAAAGATCTTACTTATACCACCTCTTATTGTGCATTTCCATAAGTATATCATTTACCCTTTGGAACCGTGTCCCCCCTTGTTCAGATGGCGCATGTTTAAGATACTCCATCGGTTCCAACTCTACCTCTTTTCCTCAACAAAAGTGTTCTTCAGACATGCCTCTGAAAGAAAAGATGTGTATTCAAATACGTGTATTCATTGCCCTGTTTTATAAAACATATAAATAAAACATATATATAAAGCACAGTAAAGTTCTAACTCTCAGGCACAATATAGTAATAATTAAATAAGTGGAATAAATTTGAATACATTTCCATATCTTTATTTTGAACATGGTATTGTCATGCTGGAAACATTTTGTCAATCGAGTAAGTGGGAACGAATAACAATTTAGGAAATATAGAATACTAAACGAGCTCCCTTGTAATACCAATTTTGAACACACAGACCTATCCACATACCATTTAATCCGGATCAATGAAACACACAGACTGATCCATATACCATTTAATGCGGATCAAATAAACACACAGACTTATCCACATACCATTTAATCCGGATCAATGAAACACACAGACTTATCCATATACCATTTAATCCGGATCGATGAAACACACCGACTTATCCATATACCATTTAATGCGGATCAAATAAACACACAGACTTATCCACATACCATTTAATCCGGATCAATGAAACACACAGACTTATCCACATACCATTTAATCCGGATTAATGAAACACACCGACTTATCCACATACCATTTAATCCGGATCAATGAAACACACAGACTTATCCATATACCATTTAATCCGGATCAATGAAACACACAGACTTATCCATATACCATTTAATCCGGATCAATGAAACACACAGACTTATCCACATACCATTTAATCCGGATTAATGAAACACACCGACTTATCCACATACCATTTAATCCGGATCAATGAAACACACAGACTTATCCACATACCATTTAATCCGGATCGATGAAACACACAGACTTATCCATATCCCCATTCAGAAATATTCCAGCTTTATGACGGCGGTCTGTCAATAATAGAGTCTGGACCAGACAATCCAGTGATTGATATCGTGACCATCGATCCACACAATAGGGATCGATGGCATGCTTCAACCAAGTCAGCGAGTCAGACCACCCAATCCCGTTTGTCGCCTCTTACGACAAGCATGGGTTGCTGAAGACCAATTTTGATTCGGATCTTCACGGGAGTCGTAATCAAGACAAATATGGGATTCGAACCTGTCGTCGTTTAGGCACCTAATTCACACAATTGCTACCTTGTGACACACAATGTCATAACACTAAATGGATCATTCTATTGGTCATAGTCGCCTTTTACGGCAAGCATGGGTTGCTGAAGGGCTATTCCATCCCGGATCTTCACCGGTCGTCCTCAGAGAGAGTTGCATAAGCGCTACTTATTAATAGTTAGTGAGTGAGTTTGGTTTAACGTCGCATTTAACAGTATTCCATTTATATCACGGTGAGTCAGCCCCCCCCCCCCCCCCCCCCCCCCCCCATTTAATAAGTTGCGTTGACACGGATATTAAAGTTGTCACATATACACACAGTGTATGTCCTTATCAATCCTTATCCTTATCAATGCGCAGGGTTGTTGGGCAGCACGTACTTTATATATAGGTACAGGTGTCGCGTTTCATTGATCAGCAGTGCAGATCGGTGCGGTAATACCCGGTGATGTGTAACTAAGAATAGCTCGTTACAGGTATCCAGGCCAAAGACAGGTCATCGCTATGTCATGTAGCTCAGTACATACGGGCATTGACAAACAATCATAGGACTGGACTTTTATAGTCAGTTAACTCACTTGCTTCGGGAAGATGCTCGTCACCCGGAGACCCGGGTTCGATTCCCGACATGGGTACAATGTGTGAAGCCCATTTCTTGTGTCCCCCACCGTGATATTGCTGGATAATGCTAAAAGCGGTTTAAAACCATACTCACTCACTCACTCACTCTATAACCACCGACCCCCTCATATGCTTGTTTTGTTTGTTGTTTACCGCCGCACTCAGCAATATTCCAGCTATATGACAGCGGTCAGTACATTATCGAGTCAATCCATAGTTTTAAGCTAACACACTAATGTCCAGCGTCCTAGCCCACCCAATCACACATCGACATAAAGTGGCATCAAAAGAACCATTATCCCAGTTTGGTGTGTAGCTCGTGTAAGTCCAGACAAATTAATGGAGATGTTTGGACGTTGTGCTCGAAAAAGGGGAAGGCAACTCTCGACACAGGCGTTTGTTTGCTTTGGCAATAACCTCGTCGTCTCTACGAGAAAGATTGTTGAACGATATTGCCTTAATAGCATTTCACGTGCAGAGTTGCGTCCCTTGGGCACGCCAGAAACCTATGATTGTGAGTTCGAATCCCGGTTCGCCCCAATTATGTTTCTAGGTTTGTCAGCACCATACCCGTGCTATGGGTCTCACCGAAGTGGTTAACGTCTGAAACCTGCATCACTTCGGGCTTTCCTCCCACATTAAACTGACACGCCGTGATGTTACTGGAATACTGTTAAAAGCGGCGTTAAACCCAACTCACTCACTCACTCTCTCACTCACTAGTGTCATGACTTAGTTAACAGAAAAGGGTGGTAATCCACCATTATGCAGGCTGTGTGTGACGATGTATTCACATATGTCCAGGGGCGGTCGGGTAGCCTAGTGGTTAAAGCGTTCGCTCGTCACGCCGAAGACCCGGGTTCGATTCCCAACATGGGTACAATGTGTGAAGCCAATTTCACGTGTCCCCCGACGTGATATTGGTGGAATATTGCTAAAAGCGGCGTAAAACCTCACTCACTCACAGGTATAAGTGTTGAGAACTATATAATTATGTTTGATGCAGGTGAAATTCACGCTGCAAATAAAATGTTCTTGTAGCAACTTTGTTCTCATTACTTTGTTCGAATAGTGTGACCTGCTTGTTTGGGTCACTAAAATGTGAAACTCGAAGAAGTCTCGTTATTTTTATGAAGAAGAAATACGTTCCTGTTAACCTTCCAAGTGTGACCTTTGCAAGACAGCGGTCAAAATGAATAAAGGCGTCGTCAAGGCGCCATTACTGTGTAGAGTTGCGTACTTTAGGCGTGTCAGCTAGTTATGATCGTCAGTTCAAATCCATTTTCGGCCTAATTATGTTTCTAGGTTTGTCATACCCGTCCGAGGTTTACGAACCGTCATGTAACTGAAATACTGTTCAAAGCGTTGTCCAACCAAACTTACTTGGCGCAGGTGCAGACCAGACCAAACTAAATTCATTTTTGGAGGGCGCGAAAAGCTGGCGCTCATTTGGGCGGCCATGTTGGCAAAATCCAAGATGGCCGCCTGTCCATATTTGATTTTGTCCTAACTTCATAACGATAAGTCATAGGATCATGAATTAGAGCTCTTTTATATGTTGAAGACCTCAATGATTCCAAACGTGGGCTTTGTTTTGACTAAGAAGTGCGTTATGGCCAATTCAGTGGTTGAAATCATATTTTATTAAAATCAAATTTATTTTTTTATGGTCATTTTACCTCATAAACAATAGTGAGAACAACGGAAGATATAAACAAAATATTCCAAGCTTTCTGGTGTTGGTTAAACATCACCGTGGCAAGGTTTAATCTAACTGATCGAATATCGTGATTGTTCACACATCCACCTTCACATTTGCATAACCCCGGGCAGCGGACTCCAGCTCTACTGCATCTACAGTTTCCGGTTCAAGACCTTTCGCAATCACAATGCAAAGGGAAGGAACATGGTTTACTGGCATCCTCGAGAGTTGTCCAGTATGGACACCAGATACCACCGTCTTCCTTTTGTCACCCCCATTCACGAAAGTCAGGGATGTCCTGGTGAACTGAGGATGCTTGATTCCAGTGCCCTTTTTATGTGTTTAAACAAGGCTGCCTGAGTGGCTGGTATTATTCACAAGATTTTTTTTATACCAGTTGTGAAAAGACGATGTCTTTGCCAAAGCACACCCCTTACTACACACGATAACCTCAAATTGTTCCAGCTTCTGCATGTGAAGAGACCCAAGGCTGAAGAGTTCTGGTTGATTGATTAGTGTCCCCAGTGTTTCAATGAGTCCTTTTTTGTTTTGCCAAGATGCCCAGGCAGTCTTCTTGCCACACCCAAGGAGCTGTGATGTTGTGTCGCACCCTGTGATGGAATGAACTTGAAAAGCGGCAACGTCAGAGAACATGAAGGTCCAAGATGAGGACGGATATTATGGATGGGAATATCTGGAATTTGGTTCCCGCTACCGAAACATACCCTCAGCTATGGGAGACCAAGTATAGAGAAGAAGCATATGGCAAGGACCACCACATTACTATCAACAGTACGAACTTAAGTTGTCTTGTGGCCCTGTGCTACATCATCTGCCAGATGAAGGAATATCCTTGTATCTCCTTCAGAGTAGTTACAGGGTAGGAGAGCTGATACATCACATGGTCCATTGGAAGGAGTTTCCCCACCCAAATCTTTCTTGACAAGCTCCTCACTGGGGAAAGAGATTAACTCCTTTTTGTTATCCTCGTTTCTGAGAAATCCATTCAAGTCATGCTTTGGGATTTGTGTGTGGCCATTCCAAAATCCTAGTCCGTGGACCTGTACCACAACGTTTATGTGTTAGGGGTGTGTTTTCAGGGTAGTTATCCCATATGGCATCTATACGTGCAACTATTGCGGTTATCTGAATGGCACCATGTGTTGTGTAACATACTCAGAAAATGTCTTCGCTGATGTGGGCCACACCATATGAACAATAGCTGCCATGCCCGGCTGTTGCTTTTTTGGCTGGAAGTGCTTGACCAATTGATGAAGTCATGAATATCAGACTTGTTGCCGAATCGAAGTGAACCACGATCAGGCAAACTTGGTGGTTCCCTTTGATTTTCAAAACGAAAAAACTCTTCCTTATCTACATCTGGTCGTGATTGTAGTGAAAGGAAGAGTGTTGTGATTAGAGTCCTACTTTTCTTCTGTAAACCACTGGTTTTGTTTCCTTTTTTGTTCGAATCAGGACGATTGGTGAATATCAGAATTTAATTACACTGGATAGTGTTTGACACTGGCACTGTCACCCTGTCGAGTGTCTGTGAAACTTATTGTGGTCGAAGGTCTTCGCCAACTTCATGGACACTAGAGAGAGATATGACGACTTGCTGTTCTATAAGTTCTGGTGTGTCGAGTGCTACAAGTTCTTGACCAGAAGCAAAGGAATTGCCTAGCTGCTCAACAAATGACAGGACATCTTTCTTATACTTAACTTGCAAGCGGTGTGCTTCCTCATGATGAGGAGTGCTAGACTTTTGTGTGTCTAGGACACCTTCAAACCCTAGAACACACCTGGAGCAATCTGGACCTACCAGCATATAGAGTCCAGCTGCTCCGCAATGTGCCCGTAGACTCTTATTGGCTGAACTTGTGTGAGGCTGAACTTGTGTGGTGACTTTTGAACGACAAAGTTCCCTTTGAGAAATTCAGCATGCATGTATGCAGCTGGACGATATCCCACACATGTATTGGAAGCATCTTGCATAACTGTGTGGTCCATCACATGAAACCATGGGCAGAGCTCATCACATACTTGGACATAGAGAAGGAAATCTCCCTCACGTAGAGACCGAATGAAGCAACACATCAACTACTCAAGCTCCATGATAGTAGTAATCGAACTGCGGATTTGTGGTTCTGGAGCTTTGATCCCACATCTCCTGTGACTCAGGTGGTCCATGAACATTCGAGCAGTAAGTAGAATATGCCCTGTGCTTAGGGAGGTGAAGAGACATCAGAGATACTTGGTAGGCATAACGTGTGCGCTTGATAAGCTGCTTATTAAGAACATCTACGTTGTCATGATCAGTTGCCGCTTGCATAAATTGGTCTGGTCATCTCAATCACAGTGCTTTTTCCATGTGATGCCCCCGCTGATCTGACATTATTGGGTGAACTCTTGTCCTCATGTTTTTGATGAAGACACTTCACACGAGAACTACTACAGTAATCTACACGTTTGGTGATACTTAGCATTATGGGATCGGAGTGTTGCTGCAATACCTGATCCATTATTTAGTTGATCAAAGGAGACTGAAATACCAAACGGAACGGCATTGATTGCCTTAAAGTCAGTCAGGTCTCTGCCAAGAGTTAAAAGCCCTTCCTCCTTTGGTGTTTGCAACTGTCCACTTTTATCTGACTGCCAAAGACAGCAAAGTTACATATTGATAATTTCCATTGTTGGCGCAATATCACAGGTATTTATTTCACCACCACCACCACCACTATTCTCGCCAATTCAGCCAAACACACCGAAAAGACGGAAAAATGTGAATAAATTCACTGGACAAGTAGCAATATAGGCCAACTATGTGTGAGTATTGCACAATTAGTCATGACCACCTATCTATATCAGCGATTCTGGAAGAAGAAAAAAGTACGTGCAAGGAACAATTTATGTGACCTTTATGTGTTCAATAATATAAACCATCAACCATCAGCAATGCATTATACTCATTTGCAGACCAGAATATAACATAACAGTGTATCACATCCAAATTAAGCCTGAACCTGCAAATATTTGCCCTTAAGCATGCCCCTGGGGATATTCAGATAAATAAATTGGTCCTAGCGTATTTTGTATGTCAAAACAAAGCTCCGATTTCGAGGTCAAAAGCCTATAAAAAGGGACTTCATTCATGATCCTGTGACTTTTGGTTATGAAATTGGGACTGGCGGCCATCTTGGATTTTGCCAATATGGTGGACCCAATGAGCGCCGCCTTTGGTGTCCTCGAAAAATGACTTGAGTATGTTCTGGTCTACACCAGGGCCACTTTTGATGCTTGTAGACACATCTGCACCATACCCTCTAATGGCTCTCTGAGGGCCTTGACTATTATAGCGTTACCCGGAGCGCGGTAGGTCAGTGGTTAGATTCCCTAGCCGCGTCATATAACACAATTTGTTAAAGGAAGGTACTTGCCTGGCGCTCGACAAACCCCATTTAACTTTGACATTGATAGAAAAAAACGACAGACACAACAAAAACACAACACAACCAGCATATCATTTTACCTTGTTATGTAGTGTCGCAGTCATAGAACCACGAGACCTACCGGGTTCTGTTTTATAAAAAAACTTTGGGTGCGACACTACCTTGCTATTTGAAGGTAATTCTTACCTGGATTGTCTCCGACAATGAGACAGATAAAATATCGACTATGTTGGGGTGTCTCAATACATAACAGTGCATTACACCAAATACTGGTCGGCTCGGAGTCAGTACACTGTGTCTGAGGTCCATGTTAAACTGTGGCATGGTAGGTCAGCGGGCTAGCACTATAAAACCTGCATAGGAATAGTACAGGCGTTAGCCACACGCACGCACGCACGCACGCACGCGTGCATGCACTTCGCGATATAAGTAAATGATTTTAAGCGCGACGTCTATTCCTATTTCCTATCAGGCGAAATAGCCTTTAAACGGCTCTTAGTCTCATCAATATTACAGCACCCAAGTCAAAGGGGACGAGAGTGCAATGAATCGACACACACACAGTATAGACACAACACGTTATTCTACCTTGGAACGTTCGATAAAACCCATAAGCGCTCGACTATAAACCATGTAAGCCTGACAAGTGTCATTTTTGTATACCTTGAGTTCGTTTTCCTTGTTTCCTTGTTTGACAGTATAGCTATTGCACAACAAAGCAGGTTTACCGGAACGAGGAACACAGACGTAAATCGCTTCATTAAAAAGAGCCATGGTCATGTCTATATTGGGATTGGTATTTCCACCGCTTTTGTTTATCTGGACGTATATATAGATTGATCGTTCGGGTATTTCCAGTAGGTTCTTGTCTCTCACTGCATAATAACCCTGACGTCGTCGTGTTACAACAGATACGAATAAGAGGTCTCGGTTTCTGGTCTTCGTGATACAGTTCAACATGTTACCCTATAGACAAAGTATGGACGGACACTATAGACAAAGTATGGACGGACACTATAGACAAAGTATGGACGGACACTATAGACAAAGGATGGACGGACACTATAGACAAAGTATGGACGGACACTATAGACAAAGTATGGACGGACACACTTCGAACGGACAGAGTATGAAGGATTCGCCAACCACACACGCTGAAAGTAAAAGGTATGGATGAAGAATAAGACATGACAGAGAGAGAGGTGTGTGTGTGTGTGGGGGGGGGGGGGGGGGGGAGAGAGAGAAGAGAAGAGAGAGAGTGAGAGAGAGAAGAGAGTGTGGGAGAGAGAGAGAGTGTGAGAGAGAGATACTGCTCACTCACCCACTCACTATTAGAGTGACAATAATAAGTAGTAAGTTTATTCACAGCATGTTTCATTCAATGAATATGTTGAAGGTTAGAATCTGGAGGCATATACAGTAACACGTGTACAGTTCATGCCGTTGACGTATCCCTTTGTCCTGAGATGAGGGAAGGGGTATGTTAGTGTGAGTGACTTCAAATATATAAAAAAATTCTCATCGACGATATTTTAGCCATATTGTGACCTGAACTTGTCTCATGTAACTATTGTTAACATCGATATAACATGGACACCTGTCTTCGAAGAACGAGCAAAACAGCTTGATTTTAAAATCCAGTTTGAAATCATTAAAAAGTCCAATTCAGTGCTTCAGTCAAGCCACGCCTTTTTGTCAATCACACACATTCTATTTGCTGTATTTGTAGTATTGTGCACATCATTCTTAGGATTTCATTAGCCCAGCTTTGCATTTAACTGTTACAGCAAAACATAAAATGGAAGTGGGGAATAATGTCATTTGTCCAGGTTGCAGCAAGGTTCCCAATTATGCCACCTAAAGAGGAATGGTACCCCAATCTGCTTTGGCGTTCAAATAGGCTTACATTTGCCCAAACCAAAAGTAATGGTATCAGAAAGGCTTGCTGATATGTACAATGACTCCTTGGACTGAAGTCCCAAATTGCAAACTCTTTTCGAGTATTGCTATGCCAGCCTCGCAGGATTATTTCAAAAGGATTTGCTGTAAAAACCAAGACCAACTTTTCTTGAATTGAAACATGTTAAATCTTCTGTCAAGACTATCTCAATAATATCCCATGTTTGTTTGCAATTCAAGTACTTATTTCTTTCTCGATTTCTGTGAATTACCGACCGTTTGGGATGTATTGCATCCAGACAGTTCAATACAATGTAAGAAACCATTTATCGTTTCCAGATCTCCAGTTGTGCCAGACCTCATTGACATAGTTGAAGAATGGGCAATGAAAATGTTCAAGATAACCAAACCAGGTGCAGAAGTTGTTCATATGGATACAGTATGGAACAAGCTTAAATTTACTTCCTCTGGCGTTCATTTTGAGAACGAGGAATTTGAAAAAGACCCTTGCGCGCAGGAACTACTCACAACAAGCTTTGAGAATAATTCCGACAAGACTCAATATCAAGTTTTCGAGGCCAGTGAAACATCAACTTCTACTGCTACTAAAACTCTCGAAAAGGGATTTACTAGAGGAGATTCGGGCGATATTGTTCTCACCGTTCCTGACATGATTCGGGCTAAAGCCTCTCATTTCCACGATGAGATTGTAATCAATGAAGATGGGAGAAAAACTGAACGAACGAGAAAGTGGAAGGGGAAAACATCTTTTGATGCAATTGCTAGGAAGAACACAATTGTCCAGATGATGATTCTTCAAAAGGAATACCATTGTGATTTCACGATGACTGAGACTCTCCGTGGAACTGTCATTGTTAACATTACAGGTAAAACCTTCCAAAATACAGTTACTAGTACTTTTCAAAGCCAAATTGCCACCATCCTTAAAGATAGGCAGGAATTGTTTCCTGAGTATGTTACTCGCGAGTCAAACCACGTCGTTTGGCCGATCAAAGGACATATTGCATTCAGGTACGGAGTTGAAGTGAAAATAAGGTATTGGTATGAAGACATAGAGAAGGCAGTTAAGAAAAGCACCGAAGAAGCAGGTCTTGAGGAAGACAATGAGGAAGATGGCAGCCAAGTAGAAGAGGATGCCCCTACGACTGTTGACGTAGGTGCAGTTAGGCCGGATGATGAGAACACTAGTGACGTCGATAGCCCTAGACTCCATTTTGATGAGTCTTTGTTTGATTATTGAGGGTTTCACGTGTGCTCTGAACATCAATGCACTTCCAAGATTGTTATGGGCGTCAAACACCATTCACTCACTCATTTTCGGATTCTTGATACAAATATCAGTGGTTCATTCAGTTACAAGCAAGTTGTAGCTCTTGGTCTTTAGAAACACAATGATTTCACCAAGGTTTAAGTGGGTATATTCTTTCGCTGTTACGTCATCACGTTAACACAGAGCACAACATAAGTGCTCACAAACAATGACCTTAGGACCTTTATCATATTGGACATGAGTAATGATAACAAAGTTGGTAATGAAGCACTTGGGTGATTTTAATGGAGAGAATCTAAAACAGTTAAGTCAAATGGTTGTTTTATCGCGTGTATCTTCAGATCTACGTAATTTGACTTTCACAACCAACAATATTTCCTACTTGTTGCACCTTTTCTAGTCTATTGAAACTTTTTTCTTATCTATGGACCGCCTCCGTGGTCTAGTGGTAGAGCGTCCGCCCGGAGAGCGGAAGGTCGGTGGTTCGATCACCGTCCAAGTCATAACAAAAGACGTTGAAAGATGATACTTGTTGTAACCCTGTCTGGCGCTCGGCATTGAGGGGCTAAAACAAGGACTGGTCGGCTCGGAGTCAGTATACTGTGTCTGAGTGGGGTATTCATGTTAAACTGCGGCATGGTATCTCAGTGAGCTAGCACTATAAATCGGCATCAGTCCGGACTAGTACAAGCAGCCACACACACGTGCATGCACGTCGCTATATAAGCTATATAATCTTGGACGCGACGTTTAACCCAATTTCACCTCACCACCTCTTATTTGTGACTCATTATACATATTGTCAGTTGTTGATTATTATTTTCATTTGAAACTATGTATACACTACAACGCAAATGTTTATCATCATGTTCTGTTGTCCAATTGCGAAGAAGCCGAGGATATTCCGCGGATTAGTTGCAAATTATTCGCGAATAATTTGTGAATAATTCGCGGGTATCCGCGGATTTCTGGAAACACTTTTTTATTGTTTTACGGTACTTATTATGTTTATGGAACTATCACACCATCAACCCGTGGGGGGCCATGGTATTAGTCTCCATACATGTACAATGTATACTATGATTCTGTGTGGAATGAATTGCAGGTACATGTCATGTTTGATAAATACATAAACACCGGTTTGTAAAATATTCTTTCTATAATAATACTGTCATTAAATATTCTTTTTGACATGAATATTTGATTTATGATTAACTTCATTGTGTCTCTTATCTACTTATATACATGTATATACATACTAGCATATACTGATATAGCGGTTTGATAAGTACGACTTTGACACTAGTTTTATTACAGTTGATGTGTGTATGTTAGACAGGTATTTTGATAAGAACTGTTTTGCTTTTAGGATACCATGAAACAGCGACCCCCTTCATGGACAGAGAACCTACTTTTCACACGTACAAACAGGACAGCAGGAGGTGACACTGCATCAGGGAGTGGAGATATTCTTCTTCCAAATTCCCAGAAACGCCTTTCGATTCATAGTCTTAATTCGAGTTTATCACAGAGGAGCTTACTGGACCAAACTGAGCTTTTGAATTGGGAGATGAGGTCGGTTCTTAACAGTGAGCAAGGTGCCATATCTCACGAAGCGTCTTCTGCGAAGCCTTCTGAAACATATATGCCATAGATCTTGTTCTGTTCGTTAAATGTTAAATATTTCAGTGTGTGAGAACGTGTGAGAAGATTGTAGACGCCCTGGTTGTTTAGGGGCAGACAAACCAAGATCACAAAACGGAGGATCTAGGACTTGAAACAGCACACCGTTTGCATACTGCGATCAGTTTATTTGGAGAGACCAGGCAACTGGTGTAGGGAGACGTTAATATATGATTAATTACATTGATATATTATGGACGTAACCAAATTAATAGTTTTTTGCTTAGTTTGTTTGGTTTGCTTTGTTGTACATTAATGTGTGTAGGAAATGTGTGTGAGGGATTTGGTTGTTACCTTTCTTTGTGTATATAAAAGAATATTTTAGAAACATGCCTGCGTTACATTTGAAAAAATGCTTTGATTTTTGTAAACTCTTTAAATATCATCTACTTACATGTTTCTACATCCTGAAAATCAATTTTGGACACAATTATGTTCCATTTTCATCATTTCCATCTATAGCTTTGCTTCACGTATGAAGCAAACGATGTATTTTTCTAAATTGTTGAAATCTGCCCTATACACCAGTGTAATCAACCCTTAGTAAACAACCGCTATTCAATTGTGAAAATAAAAGCAACACAAGTCACAGGTATTAATTAATTGATCCATTTTTCACAATATTCTGATACCCTTTCTCTAGTATACATACCCATGATAACAGTAAATTGCAACAAGCACGAAAGCATACTGACTTTTCCAGAAGATGTGCACGATACATTCACTGTAAAAAGATGTATGTATTTTACTGTTTCAGACAAACAGACGTATGTATTTGTAGCTTCATGTTGTCGTTAAATATGTTGACTAGTTAATTTCCTTACATCCCATGCAGTATTTTGCTATCCCAATTTTCAATAGGTCTATTTATTCGACATGATGAAGCAAATTTTATTTTTATGTGTTTATAATCAACTATTTCATCATGACAATGCAAATTTAACCCCAAAGCATTCCACATAGATATGTCTAACTGGTGCTTATATATGTTACGTTTATGTTGTATTGATAATGACTGCTCAAAAGTCACGCACGTGAAATAAAATATACATGCAATATTATACAAAGACATCAAATCAGCTTATTTATATTTAATATTATGACATTGTGCAATGTAGATCTAATTGAAGTAAGGAGAAAAAATAACATTCTTGATTTGTTTGAGTGAGAATTAGTAAAATCGTCATTTTAGAATGTGGAAATATAAAAGGCTAAGGCCTGATTAAATTTACCTACCATTATCTAATACACCTGAGAGGTAATCATGGTAATTAGCATCAAACATCCACGCATCCGTACAAAGTCCTTACATACCATGCATGACCCATATTGTAGATACCAAAATGGATTACATTGGATTCCATCTCTTTGATTTTGAACATTTATAATATGAATTTGATTTCATATTTTGTTGGTAGTTGTTTCTTTTACAATTTTTGAACATTTGATCACACCTCTCTCACTTATATACCTACTTTATACTTGTGTTGCTGTCGAAATTCACGATGAACAAACTGACCAAATGGACATGCTGCATAAGACGTGCACATTTCACGTACCATCGCCTATTCGTATATATATATGTAGTTTAATAGTATTCCATTTGTCTGATGTCTTTATGTGCGTCAGTGAAGTAATAACAACTCAACACTAGGTGAGGTGAAATGGGGTTTAACGTCGCGTCCAAGATTATTGCACTTATATAGCGACGTGCATGCACGTGTGTGTGTTTGTGTGGCTGCTTGTACTAGTCCGGACTGATGCCGATTTATAGTGCTAGCTCACTGAGATACCATGCCGCAGTTAAACATGAATACCCCACTCAGACACAGTATACTGACTCCGAGCCGACCAGTCCTTGTTTTAGCCCCTTAATGCCGAGCGCCAGACAGTGTTACAACAAGTACCATCTTTTAACGTCTTTTGGTATGACGCGGCCGGGGATCAAACCCCGGACCATCCCCTCTCCGGGCGGACGCTCTACCACTAGGCCACGGAGGCGGTCGTCTCAACACTGACCAATGTAACCATCAGACAAGTCAAAAACAAAGGTAATCTTGTCGTTGAAAGGTTGGTTGGTTGTTTAACGCCGAAACCAGCAATATGCCAGCTACATAACGGAAATCTGTAAATAATCGAGTCTGGACCAGACAATCCAGTGATTGACATCATGAACATCGATCCACGCAATTGGGACCGATGACATGCATCAACCAAGTCAGCGAGTCTGACCGACCGATCCCGTTAGGCGCCTCTTACGACAAGCATAGTCGCTTTTTACGGCAAGCATGGGTTGCTGAAGACCCATTCTACCACGGATCTTCCCGGGTTGTCTTTGATAGGTATTTAGGAGTTGGAAGAATATGAAGACATGAAAAGTTTATGGATAACAAGTTCTTTATTGTTTATAACGACGTTTCAGGGCTACTTGCTCCTTCATTTGGTGAATGAGTTGAACATTAGGATCCGACGTTTCGGTGTAGATTCTAACACCGTTATCAAGCAAATTTGCTTGATAACGGTGTTAGAATCTACACCGAAACGTCGCCCAATTGTAATAAAGAAGTTGCTCATCCATAACAATTTTGTCTTAGTTACCATTCCAACTTCTAAATAAAATAAGAAGTTATGAGGATCCGGTTGAGCACCTGAAGTATGCGTTTGAACTCACACCAAGACAGCCAGACATTTGAATTCATTACAGCGTTAACAAACATATATAATCAGTTTGCCTTTTGAATGTCTATTTAAAAAAGGGTACTTAGAATATATTGTTCTTTCTGCCAAGGAAAGTGTGATGTATGCCTTTAACTGTCCAGTTATATTTACGTTAACCTGATAAGATAAGGCAATCTTGTACACCTCTGTGATACCAGTAACGTCAGATTCTTCCCAACATGGTGTCGCAGAAGGTAGGTGGGGTTTAGTCGAAACATGAAAATACATTCCGAACGTAGTGTCCTAGTAATGGCACCACCCGAAAAACTGTAGACACTATGTAAACGATATGCATAAAAAATATCTACACGAAATGACATACAAACTAAGAACACGAAATGGCAATCGAAGGCCTTTCCGAACACCAACTTGGCATAAAAATACAACATTACTTGCATCTTGTGACGAGACTGATTGGAAACACAGGACATACCCTAATACTGATATAAGTACTATATGTGATTATGTCTAAAACAAATCTTTCACATTCATCAAAACATTTGGTAGCAGGTTCCGTGTACATCCACATGATTCAAACAAAGCCTACACTACATGGACTATATGTCACTTCATCTCAGTCTACATCACCCGGGGGCACGGGTGGCCCAGTCGTCTAAGGCGCCGCGATTCGCTGTGCAGAGTGGCGTCCCTTGGGCACGCCAGAAACCTATGATTGTGGGTTCGAATCCCGGTTCGCCCCGATTATGTTTCTAGGTTTGTCAGCACCATACCTGTGCTCGTGGGTTTCACCGAAGTGGTAAACGTCTGAGACCTGCATCACTTCGGGCTTTCCTCCCACATTAAGCTGACACGCCGCGATATAACTGGAATACTGTTAAAAGCGGCGTAAATCCCAACTCACTCACTACATCACCCACCTGTATTGTGATATGTATCAATAGCATTGTAATCTACGTTGAGATATGTTAGCAATAGGTGTTCTTTTTATCAGCCCCTCCATTTTTACAATTGTGAATTCCCACCATCTGAGAATACTTCCAAGCAAATATGGTTCATATCCATCTCTCAGTTCCAGAGGAAAAGTCGTTTAAAGCAGTATTGCCAAATTACCTTTTTAGCCCCGCCCCTCAGTCCCAAGAGGTGGGGTTGGGGTTCAGCCATCCATTTCTCCAATTTGAATTCCCACCATTGGAGAATGAGTCCAACTTGATATCTGTCTCTTAGTTCCAGAGAGGAAGTCCTAAAAAGCAATAACGCCAAATTATCCCTATTTCGCCCCGCCCTTCAGCTCCTCCATTTGTACAATTTTGAATCCCCACCACTTAGAAATGCCTCCAACCAAATATGATTAATAACTATCTCTTAGTTCCAGAGAAGAAGTCGTTTAAAGCAATATAGCCAAATTGCCCCTATTTGGCCCCGCCCCTCAGTCCCCTGGGGGGTCAGCCCCACCATTTGTACAATTTTGAATCCTCACCACCTAGGGATGCTTCCAGGAAATTTCGTGAATTTCCAGTCAGTGGTTCAGAAGAAGAAGTCGTTTGAATAAATTGTTGACGTACGGACGACGGACGCCACGGTATGGCATGAGCTCACCTTGGTCGTTCGGACCCGGTGAACAAATGAATTAGTTTGACATCTGTCAGTTTTCCAGAAGGACATGTCGAGTGCTCTCCTTATGAATTTAATTGACACTGTTCGATCTTTATCTCCAGATGCCTCTGGATTCAAAGTTTGCCGCACTGCTGGTGCTCTACGTTGGCTGTGTATCCCCATTTCTCCTACAACCTGATGACGGTTGCCCAGCGTCTTACCCGTGTCGCTGTCGAGGGGACAGTATTCAATGTGGTCAAGCCCAGCTCAAAACTATCCCCACCTTTACTCCATCACACAAGTCATGGACCCTCTTCCTCGACTACAACAGCATCTCTGTTATTCCAGATAATGCATTCAAGAACATCAAAATCAAAGAATTAATCATGGACACGATGAATCTATTGAAGCCTGTCACCATTTCTAATAACGCCTTCCAAGGACAAGAAGCAACCTTGAACAAACTTAGTATGGTAAACTGTGGACTGACCTCTCTTCCTCCAGCTTTCAGAAAGCTCAATGCCCTCACTGACCTGGCTCTCGATGGTAATGCCATTTCCCAGTGGGACGACACTGCCATGAGGACACTCGGGAGGGGCCTGACTAGATTCAGTGCCAGGTCCTTCTCGGGAACGTCTTACGCGTGGCCTCGTCAGTTTGCTTACATGAGAAGACTTGAATTCCTGGATCTATCTTACAGTCCGCGTTTTGTGCCAGATTTGGACAAGTTCGTTGTTCTCAATGACACTCTTACAAAGTTAATTTTAACCAGTATGGGGATGACTGAGGTGCCGGACGTTTTGAAACATCTTCCAAAGCTGACGGAAATAGATATGGGTGAAAATAAACTAACGGAAAGAAGTATCAAGACGGATTCATTTACTTCTCAATCTAAACTCCAGTTCCTTACAATCTCCTACAATCAGCTCAACGCGATGCCAGATGGGCTATCAAATCTGAAGACTGTCACCTACCTGGACATAAGCGGGAACCCAATGACCACGATGGATACCTCGAAGCTTCCCACGGGTATTGTACGCTTGATTGCAAACCATGGTAACTTGAAAACGATCCCTGCAAATCTTCAACGGTTGACGAAGTTGGAAGAGCTTAACATGTACACCAACCACATCACAGCTATCGGTGAGAAGGACATCAGTCATCTGCCCAATCTTAAAACAGTCTTCTTGGGGCAAAACTATTTGACCTCACCCTTGTCTGCCAATGCGTTAAATGGTGACACGAATCTTGAACAACTCTCTTTGGAGTTCAACAGGCGTAATAATGTAACGTTCTCCTTCTCTATTATCCGCTCCTTACCGAAGCTGCTGTACCTGACGGTGGAGCACCCAAGATGCACGTGTTCCGCTGATGTGCCCCAGTGGTGGAGTGGGCTCACAAAGAAGCCGGACCTGTCAGGACACTGCCTCAACACCTCCAAAAGGATGAAGGACTTGCTGACAACCTGTCAACCTTAGATATTCCGCAAAGCTTTTGCGCAGGTTCTTGTGATATCATGTTCAGAATAAATATCTTGTCTTCCCCAGTCCTTTACTTTTAAATCAAGTGCACTGAAAACCGAGGTGACGCAGATCGTAGATTGTTTCTGTTTTACGAAACACAATGGTATTGGCATGTTACGACAAACTAAGACTCATAATCAGCATCTGGGATTCGAACCCGACTAAAACCACTGGGACCACCGTACCCCGACCACGCCAAGTGTGTTCCCGGGGGGCTTGTGGTAAACTGGAGGAGTGACATGACGGTCTCCAACAAAAGGGTTGGGGAGTTAGGGGTTGGAGTGTGTGATTGGGGGGAGCTTATTAAAACCATACACAACGAGTTAAACCTGTTTTCAGAGATCCAGTGGTAGTGAATGAACTGAGTTGAAATGTTGATGTAACAAAAAGTATTTTCGGGAATAGTTAATTCTACCCTGTTGTTTTCTATAAACAAATATATAATACACACCATGACTGTCATGTAAATGTTCGGCCTTTGTAGGGTGCGCTAACATAAAGTGAATTCATTTGTACCAGTATTCAAATGCTATTCACTTCCACTTATAGTAAGTGTGGGGTCATACACGTGTTGTGTGTCACTTTCAATGTACATGTATATATATATATATGTCTTATTCACATATCACCTTATGCATACTATTACCTCAGCCTGTTCACACATTGTCGTCAATAGTTTCAAAGCAGCTGTCATGACGTGTTTGAACTACGCCTTTGACATGTACAGTCTAGGAATACCCAGGCTATACACAGAGTATGACGTGCTGTATGTTGCTGTTTTTAAGATCGTTATTTGCAATAAGAAACATCAATTGCATCGAAATATGAGAGTAATGTTCATCTTTACAAGAGCGGTAATCTTAAAATTATAAAAATTGATATGAGAAGCAGATGCCCAAAACGACAGAAATGTACGAATGTTGTTTAACAATGTCTGTCTGTAAATATTGTTGTCTTGACCAGGCTTCCGTCGTGTTCCGTCCCAGACGGGTCTCCTTCAGTTGATAGGTAGAACCTTTTCCACATGAAACATGATCAACTAATCATAATAATGTTTCTTGTACGGGCTTCGCACATTGGCTAATTGCTGTAAAATCCGTCTGGTATATTTCCTTACACTTGCACGGGCAGCATTGTACATAGTTTTAATTAATAAATATCTGGTTCATTGCTGAAATAAATATCCAATTTCAATACAGTTTGATTCCCCGTATGGGTACAATGTCTGCATCCATTTCTAGTGTCTCCCTGTCGTAATGTTGCTACAGAGGCGTGAAACCCTACTCACTCACTCACTCGCCAAACCTGCGTCTGTATCATTCTTTGGTTAAAGTTTAGATCGAGTTGACCGACGCAGTCAAAGAAGTATGAAATGATCTCACATACATTTCCTGTTTAATATGGAAATAAGCAGAAAACTAAAGGAAACACGTTTCCTTGGTACTCGGTATAAAGTGATTATATCTGCTCAGGGGCGGTCGGGTAGCCTGGTGGTTAAAGCGTTCGCTCGTCACGCCGAAGACCCGGGTTCGATTCCCGACATGGGCACAATGTGTGAAGCCCATTTCTGGTGTCCCCCGCCGTGATATTGCTGGAATATTGCTAAAAGCGGCGTAAAACCATACTCACTTATATCTGCTCAAAACTACTTGAAGATGAATACCTTGAAACTAGAAAACGTCAGCTCGATTCAGGCCATTGAACTTCACTCCCGGTTCTCCCGGTACATTCGGTCAAAACTGAAAACAGGTGTCACTGGAGTGAGTGAGTGAGTGAGCTGGGTTTAACACCGCTTTTAACAGTATTCCAGTTACTAGTATATCACGGCGTGTCAGCTTAATGTGGGAGGAAAGCCCGAAGTGATGCAGATCTCAGACGTTAACCACTTCGATGTCAGGGGGCAGTGACAACTGAAACTGTTAAGTATAAAAATTATCCCAGTAATTTCTCCAGATTCCCGATGTTTAATTCAGACTCGATCGCCGATTGACAAAGGCGACGCCATGTTTGTTTGTAAACACTGAACGCAGTAACTACCTGACCTTTCATATTTGCATCTTTATCAGTATATGACCCCAACGGATACCGTGTTATCAATTGGCTGTATCCTGCCAAGGAACCTACCGTAATGTAATAAAGCTTTATATCCCGGAGGGCACGGGTGGCCCAGTCGTCTAAGGCGCCGCGATTCGCTGTGCAGAGTTGCGTCCCTTGGGCACGCCAGAAACCTATGATTGTTGGTTCGAATCCCGGTTCGCCCCGATTTTGTTTCTAGGTTTGTCAGCACCACACCCGTGCTCGTGGGTTTCACGAAAGTGGTAAACGTCTGAGACCTGCATCACTTCGGGCTTTCCTCCCACATAACGCTGACACGCCATGATATGACTGTAATACTGTTAAAAAGCGGGGTTAAACACAACTCAACTCAATGTAAACTTTGGTTCTCCTGGGCCGACACATTCTCCAGCTTCCACACTCGTTTATAATGCCACAAATCAGTTATGTACGCAAGGCCCAAACGAAAAACACGGTAGTTTCAAATAGCATAAGCACACAGGGCATCACACGGACAAAGCATCAAAGCATGAGTGGGGAATGAACATCCCTCTTTTTATTTCCTGTGAACATTACAAATACAGGGAGCACAATTCATATAGCATGTTATCCAACATGTACCTGAAACATTACTGACAATGTTAAATAGTCCGATTATCTCCTTACTTGTACATACGATTACCTTCTTTATTTCACTTTAACACAGGATTTCATATTTCATGGGATCCATCATTTACAGATCGGGGTGGACTGGGGACGGCCGTAATATTTGCTAGCGTAGCTATTTGTAGCGCTATGAGCATCCACTTGGTGAATTGAATCTGGCGCATTATAAATGCACTTATTATTATTACTAGATAGGATACCTTTCGGCCACTGCTTCAAGACAGGCACTTGCTTTCTGTGTAAGAAAGAACCGACCAATTAATATTTTCCATTTTTTTAGTAATTGTACAACAAGTAAATGTCCATTGTTAACATTAATAAATAATTTTCGATATCATTTGAGAAATGCACATTTCATTACGTTAGTCCAAACTAGTCACTGTTTTTAGACTGCTCCCCCGTAGGCAGTTGCTCTTGTGCCAGGTCCATTTCTTGTGATACACCATATGTTACATGTAGTTTACCAATAACTGACCACTTGACCACTTCTCCCTCAACAAAGACACAGTTTGGGATGTATATTTCACGTCGGTCTATTGCGTCTCCGATGATAGTTGCGATGTCATTCTCAACGTGAACCACATCGTTGGTAATATTGTTGACAACATTGACAACGACCCGACCCTGCATACATGCCATGGTTCTAAAGCAGCATCTGAAACGTTTTTCAAAGACACGTACCAAGGCAGTGGTTCTTCGCATAGGTGGCGCTGTCACGCTGTACTTGATCACCCAGGAAAGAGAGTTGTCTACCCTGTTGCCTTCCTCACTAGCAATAAATATGCCGTTGTTAAACGCGGCCGCGACGTCTTCGGGAGCCGCAAGTTTTATACCCACATCCGCACCGCGACAAAAACCTCGTTTTATCACAGCTCTCGCCGTAGCCGATGTCGTGCGTTGTTCTATCAGCTCATTGTTATGGGCGACGTTGGTGTGGTTATCGTAGTTGGCCTTGAAAACCGACGTTGATCTTGGTGTTTTGTAATCGTGTCTTCCAAAGAAATACGTTGGCTGCCCTGTATTGAAATGGACGCCGTCCCACACGACGTGTATCTGGTAGTCGTCGTAGTCGTGTTGTCCTTTTGTTTGAACAAACGTTGACCACGCCCAGTTCTTTACGATGTCATCAAGGTTCGTCAGTTTACTCGGCATGTTGATATCTAGGTCAAACAATAATTGACTAATTATGAAATGAGCTCAAATCCTACATGTAGAATAAATTGTTGTTGTTAAAGATGCCTGGTTAGAAATGCAATATACTTTGATTGGAGAAAAGAAATGCCCCAAATATCCGTTGAGAAGGGATTAATGGCCTTTGGCAAAAGAGCTAAGCCAGAGCCTTTCGGTAAAACAGGTTCCTTGGAATGGATCGCAAAAGATATCTTTGCCACGTGAAATGAAAATGTCGCAGCGCAATGAGAGTTGGAAACAAGTCTTTCGGTTGCTATTAACTCGTTCAAGTCAAGGCGGAGAACGAAGCTGTGATACATATTGCATGCACACCACACACTGTGTGGTAACTTACTGTCAAAAAATTACAAGTGAAAGATAATATTGAAGTTGAACTCTGGTCTTGTAGCGACATAGTGCGATAATGATAATTAGTTTGTCGATCCGTGAAGATCCGGGGTAGAATAGGTCTTCAGCAACCTATGCTTGCTGTAAAAGGTGACTATACTTGTCGTAAGAGGCGACTAACGGGATCGGGTGGTCAGGCTTGCTGACTTGGTTGATGCATGTCATCGATCCTAATTGAGTGGATCGATGTTCATGATGTTAATCACTGGATTGTCTGGTTCAGACTCGATTATTTACAGACCGCCGTCAAATAGCTGGAATATTGCTGAGTGCGGCGTTAAACAACCAACCAACCAACCAACCTATTAGTTTGTCAGAGCCATATATATAAGTGTTCTTTGCATTTCACCAACGTGTATCACGTCTAAGACCTACATCACCTTCGGATTCTCCTCCCACATTAAGATGACACGATCTGAAATGTCGTTCAAAGCGGCGTTAAACCCAACTCACTCACTCACTCACGACACGATCGTGTGGATCTTCACTTAATGACGACCTAGAGTTAGGGTCTGAATATAAATACGTTCACTATGCAGAGCCTATTTCATGACGAGAAAGCTTAAACGTGATCGTATCTTAGCCGCAGTTTGATTAACTAGGCAATTGGTATTTAAGTAATGTGAATATACAAGCCGAAAGTATTTTGTCATGGTCTTCCGAAATGTATAATTTCTACAAGAAAATATTATTTTGGAAATATGAAAATCTATTTAAATTCAATGTTTTGTTCGTGTACTGATTTTCAAATAATAAAAGACGCATATGTATGCTCTTCATATCATCAACCAATAGCAATAAACCTAAACGTACGGCGATTTCGGACGTGTCGACATTCACGGTCATCATAGCCAGTGTTATGTATAGACATAAGGGCACTGTACGTGCTATGAAGTGTCCCGGGGGACTCTTGGTCACAACACATGCCCAGCAACCTATATCATGTACGTGGAGACTAAATGGATCGGGTCATCAGTGTCCTGGTTGATTGCATGTCATCCCGAATGTGTGCTCATAATATCAATCACTGGTCCGTCTGACCAAAAGTCGATCATTTACAAGCAGCGATGATATAGCCGGAATATAGCGTGATCCGGCGTTGAAAAACAAACAAGCATAATATGAAGTCGAAACATAAGTATTACATTTAAAGTATGACATAAAACAACAAAGTGTTAAACATACCTTAATGACCTACGTATCAAATGTACTGTAAACCTGTAAATCCGTGAGCTGTCATACAAATAAGCACATCCGTCTGAACGTATTACAACATGTGTAAGTTCGTGAATACCCAGTTTCAGTTATTTAAAGTGAAAGTAGAGGAAAACGATCAGCTGTTGTCAGATACGACAGCTCTATATGAGGAACATCCACGAGTACACGTCACGTCCACATGCACGCTTCACGACAACAAAGGACCGGTATCAAACACAACGTCAGTTTTATTTATATCAAGACTTACCAGGTATTGCGTTTCCACGCTGACGTACATGGGGAATCCCCTTACTATGAACAACTGGGTCAGCAGCGTAGCCATGTCTACAGATTCTCATCAATATCTCCATGATATAAAGCGTGTTCTCGCAAACCTCACCAGTGTTAGAGACATTACAACTTGACAGAACGACTCACCAGGAGTAATGCAACAAAACGAGGCTTACGTTGCCGACATTCCTTCAGGTAGGTTAATTAGTGAGAGAGCAATGATTCCCGCAATATTACACCTAGGTGCGGAGATATGTAATTCAACCAAGGCATTGAATAATGCTTGATTCTGATTGATCAAAAATACTTTTCCTTTTTACTACGGAAACCCCTTGTAAATATATTTAGTCTTTCCACACAAACGACTCTTAAAAAGACAAGTTAGTTTTCATTACATTCTTTGTTTCTTTGTGTGTGTTGCTTAACGCCACACGTAGCAATTAATAATGGATAGGGACAACTGTGAAAAGTGATCGTAGCTACGGCTATTATAAGTCTTTATCATTTAACTTAAGCATTTATCCATGACATAAGCTTATGACATAAAAACATGTATGTCATACCCCAATGACATAAGTATGCAAATTAGATATGCAAATTAGATAACCGGAAGAGCGAGCGGTTTGATTTGAAACTATATATTATAAGTGAAGTTACACCAGAGATATAATCAGATTACACAGAATCGTTGTTGTTACCGTTATTGTTACCGTTATTAAAGTTTCAATTATTCTGCAAAAGTCTGTTCAAGTATTTTGTTTAAAATAATCCGAGGAACTTTTTTTCTCAGCGAATTGTTTATTTTGGTTTACATGGCTATGGAAAACATGTATCACTACGCACGATCTATACGTAAGATTTCGACAAGTTGCAGATGTTAATGTTTAATGCAATTATTCCTTAATTTGGAAGCAAAAATGTGAAAATGATAAATAGAATTCTTCACTCGTGTTTTTTTAATATGGGAAATATCAACCTCGTCCCGTTAATCGGTATTTGCCTCGCCCAAGGCTCGGCAAATACCGATTAACTAAGACTCGGTTGATATTTCCCATATTAAAAAACACTCGTGATGAATCCTCTATATATCAAACTATTTACGATAGTCTCAGAGTAAGGACACTCTTATTTCTACTGGACCTTTTTATCTAATACACAATTTTCATTACACAAACAAATTCTTTTAATGAAATCTTCATGAATATTTATCAACAGGCAAAACCAAATCAGAACCAGATTAATTCCTCATGAAGCGATAATGATGACTAATTATGTTAAAGTGACGGATGATACTGTTTACAGTTTCAGGTATGTCCCCGAACATTACAGACATTGGCACGATGTTCAAGGAGTGGGCCTGGACGACCTATCTCAAGACACCCAGACACAAGCTCCTGTCCAGAAAGCTGAAGATTGAAGAAGTTGATATCCAGTTGAAGTGGGACAAGGTGAGGATCACATCGTTAAGGCCAGAATACACGGAAATGGGAACGAATGGCAACCAAGTACATGTCTTGTATGACTCCAAATACAAAAACAGCACAGACGACGAACAAGAACAGACATTCAGAGCTGAGAAAGAGACGGTTTCCACAGCCACCACCAAACTTACAAAGGGTTTCTCCAGGGATATCAACGTTGGCATCGAACTGACACTTCCTCCAGATCTTCCCCAAACTTCCAAAGCGGAGGCCAGCTTTGGACATCGACTGTATGTGGATAACGAGGAAGAGAACACTATTGAAAATAAGGTGAAGTGGTCCGTGGACACAAAGATCACCTCAAGACGTAACCTGGTGACTGTAGCTGAACTGGCAATAGAGGAGACAAGTTCCAAGTATGTATTCTCGATGGACGTGAAGCTGAAAGGGACGATCTTAGCTGTGATACAAGACGCCCGGGGCCAGAGAAGACATCTCATGACTGTGCAGGGGGATGTGGCTACCGTTTTGAGGGACATAAAAGACAAAGACAGATTCGGTAAACTTTTCAATGCACAAATCAACAACTCTCGTACCGTCACCTGGCCTGTGTCCGGATCTCTTCACCTTAAATACGGTGTGTCACAGACGGTCAAGATATCATCGCTCGAACTGTCGGACTCATAAGGCTAAGATTTCGTGTCTTTGTATAATCACATGGAGTTTAATCTCAGCATAATCAAGTAATATTACTTTTGCACCTTTCTAAAAAGGTTGATGAATGATTTTTGAAAAAAGTTTTCCGTAATATATCGGTGTCTAGTTTACAGTGTGTTTTATATCGATGAGTGCATGAGTAAATTGGTTTTAACGGCACTTTGAACAGTATTGCCGAAATGTGAGAGGAAAGTTCAAAATTATTGTAATAAAGAAATTACGGGGCAGTTTTAATCTAGTACTGACTTACTCTGGTTGTAGTGAGTGAAAACCTTTTTGCTAGGCTATTGAATTTAATACCCCCTTGTTCTGGTAATCCGTGGGAAACCAACTTTCTCGCGATTGTCTAGTTCAGGTGGAGTCAAGTTACTCTTTTGGTCAAGTACCCGTTTTAATGATTATGAATCCAGATACTCCTAAAGCCAAGTTCCTTGTATTTTGTTGAAAGTTTAGAATTTCCTTGCCCAGTCAAAGTGACAGAGTCCTGAGTTTATAACACGAGTTTGTTATTCAGGCGTTGTTCGTCTAATTTTAGGGATAGGCTGTATGAGTTTATTTCCACTTAATTAACTCATCCGTGGTTATTCACTCATTAGAGTGTTAATAAACTCATTAATTAAGGTGTTAATTGGTCGCAGCCGACTTAATTAGATGTATGTGCGTCTTAAAGGTTGTCAATTATCTTGTCCAAGTGTTGATTTTGCTACCCTCTATGTATTACTATTATACATTTGCTAAGCTAAACAGCTTTTATGTTTGTTCTTGTGTATTAATCTGTGATCGTTGTCAGCGTAAACTGTGTTTTTGATCCTTTGCAACACGCTGATTATAATAAACCTACGAACCTATTACAACGTTTTCATTAATACTTTATTCTTATTTAATGATGGGGGCACGGGTGGCCCTTAGTCGTTTAAGGCGACGCGATTCGCTGTGCAGAGTTGCGTCCCTTGGTCACGCAACAAACCTATGATTGTGGGTTCGAATCCCGGTTCGCCCCGATTTTGTTTCTAGGTTTGTCAGCACCATACCCGTGCTCGTGGTTTTCACCGAAGCGGAGTGGTAAACGTCTGAGACCCCCATCACTTCGTTCTTTCCTCCCACGTTAAGCTGATATAAATGGAATACTGTTAAAAGCCGAGTTAAACCCAACTCACTCACTTGTTTAATGATACCATGTTCTCTGGAGCACAGCTCCCTGACAATGCCTCACGAAACAAATACACCTGATATTATTGTAGAGCCAACGCTACATCAGTCGTGACAGGATGGTGTGGATCAATTAAAACAATGAAAACACCGAACAACAGTAGAAATAATCCACTCGAGCTTCATAACATGAAACAGAGGGATCGTAGAGTCTTTTTGTCACACTGGATTGAATATGTTCACCCATGTACATCTAGGATAATGTTTTCCTTGGATTTTATTGAAAAAAAATACCAGAAAATTCTTTTAAAAAATGATTATTCTTCAGAAGGTTGAAAAAAAGAAAACACCTGCCTGTCGTAATGGAATGGTGTATGGTTGGCCCTATGTATGTATGTATGTATGTATGTATGTATGTATGTATGTATGTATGTATGTATGTATGCGCACGCGCACGCATGTGTGTTTGATAACGTGAAATCATATATACCAGTGTTCAAATGTGAGTCAGTAAGTCCATATACGTGGTGTGTGTCTCTGACATAATTATATATGCTGTATTCACATAGCACGTTATGCATACCATTACCTCAGCCTGTGACAAAACATCACACACTGTAGTCAATGGTTTCAAAACAATGTCATGACGAGTTGGAACTAGGCTTTTGTCATGTACGACCTGGAAATACCCAGACAATAAATAGATTATGACGGAATTACTTTGACACGATCGTGACAGCTTCGTAGTAAGACAGGGCAAATGCATTCTCTTTAAAGGTAGCCATCGACAGCTCATTCGAAGTGCCGCTTTTTTAAATATGAAGCGAACATTGTTTTCTAGTTCTTTAGCGTCACTGGTGTTTTCTAACAAATTGGTAGACCGCCTCCGTGGTAGAGTGGATAGAGCGTCTGCCCAGTGAGAGAAAAGTCGTAAATCGATTCCCGACCGCGTCATATCAAAAAAATGTTAAAAGATGGCACTTGTTGTTACCCTGCCTGGCGTTCGGCATTACGGGGCTAAAACAAGGACTGGACGACTCGCAGTCAGTATAATTATGATATAAGGAGTATAGATTAATATCATTAGAGCTTTCAGTCATGTTGGTGGCCGTCTTGGATTTTCATAACCCCAAGGGGGGCGCTACATACTAGATTTGAATTATATTCAGCATTGTTACAATTAATCATGAATAAATTACTGTGATAATGTATATAAATATAACAGGTAATTATGATATATTGAGTATAGATTGATATCATCAGAGATTTCAACCATGTTGGCGGCCATATTGGACTTTCATCACCACCCGGGGGTGCTGCATACCAGCTTTGAATTATATACAGCATTGTTGCGATTAATCCAGAATGCATTACGATTTTAATTTGGATAAATTGACCAGATGACTATGATATATTTAGTAAGGATTGGCATCATAAGTGATTTCAAACGTGTTAGCGGCCATCTTGGACTTTTTACCACCAGGGGGCGCTGCTGAGTTGGATCCATATCCAGAAATGTTTGAAGTGGTTCAATGTATAAGTGTGTCAAGTTTGGTGCTGTTCACCCAAAGTGCACACTTTTCGCCTTTACCGACACACAAATACGATATGAAGGAGAGAAGACCGACGAGATGAAGGTTACAGCAAAATAATTCCGCACCATCCCCCATCCCTAAGTAATAGAGTGATCATATCTTAACCATAAAAACAACAACAACCAATTTGATTTACTTGTCAAAGTTTATTAAAGTGATGTGAATATCCAAGGGCTAAATATTTTTGTCAAGGTGTTTCAAGATGTGTAATATATTATTTTTAAAAATATGAAAACCGATTCTTATTCAATAAAATGTTTCTCTACTGAAAGTTTCCATTATGAACGAGTTACAAGACGCAAATAATTTTGCCAAGGTCTCCGAAATTTGTACTTTCCTCAAGGAAAGTTTTACGATTATTAAAGAAAATATGAAAATAGATTTTTATTCAATGTTATGTTCGTGTACTGATTTTCACATGATGAACTATGTATGTGTATGCTTTCATATTATCGAACAAACCTAAACGTACGGCGTTTTCGGACGTGTCGTCATTCACGGTGATCATATCTAGTTTTATTTATGTACTAACTCGTCTATGTTCAAGACACATAAGGGCACTGTACGTGCTATGAAGTGTCCCGGGGGACTCTTGGTCACAACACATGCCCAGCAACTTATATCATGTACGAGGCGACTAACTGGATCGGGTCATCAGTGTCCTGGTTGATTGCTTGTCATCGTATCCCGACGGTGTGAACATTGCTCATAATATCAATCACTGGTCAGTCTGATCAAATCTCGACATTGTGCGAGCAGGTGATATAACCGGAAAATAGCTGGATGCGGCGTTAAATAACATATTTACTATGAATTTGGAAAACACTCGATTTTGATTTGTAAAACAGAGGTATCAAATCACAATAAACCCCTTCTGATTGAAATAGCCGATTTGACGACCGCACCAACGCGGAAGCTAATATTTTTTAGAATAATACTCCTTACACAATCATTGTCGGAAGGCATATACTAAAATACTTAAAAGTACAATTATAGGCTACCAAATTTAAAAAATGCCGTTATTGCAATATTCAAAGAATATGTGGGAATGCAGTTCGAGCAGAAAACACGATAGACATCTACAAAGAGAATGTATTTCAAGTTTTGAGGACAACAGAGAGCAGAGTCACCAGAGAGTCATCTTTTGCGTCACAATGAGCGGTATGACGTCATAAAGGCTTCCTTTGTTTTCTTTAGTGGCGCCCACCTCGTGTTGGCTTACGAAGTTGCCGTGCTACATGCTTTCAGTGCCTGTCATACGTTCGTGTGAATTACCCTGTAACCTGCTTGAGCATATAGAGCGCCAAATTCTGATCGACAACCCACTCAAAACACTGAACTCAATCGTTGCCACTTCACTCAATATAAATTTATTTGCTAACACCAAAGAGTTAGCGTTAGATCTAGTAATGATAGCATGGAAATAAACATGCTGTGTTTTGAATGTAAATCTTGGTTACCTGTAGATTCTACCGCGCTAAATTTAACATTTGAAACATCACACTGCGCGTTCGGTCCCAATGTCAATTTAGTGCGGTTAAATCTACAGGTAACCCTAGCTCTACATTGAAAACACAGTACGTTTGTCTTCTAAACAAGCATGCTATGAAGTCGGAACTTGTTATACATTAAACAATGATATAAATCAAAATATGTTCAGCATTCCCGAATGGCCCATGTACCGAATGCACTGTAATGCTTCTAGAACATGTTATCTATGTCATGCAACACTGCAATAAAATGCTAAATATCATCACAGATCTGCTCATATATGAAATTGCTTGAATACCTAGTTGTGGGTATTAAATATGAAAGTAGGGAAACAACCATCCGCTAATGTCTGAAACGACAGCTCTATATCAGGACCGGTGTTAAACACAACCGTCAGCTCTATTTGTATACAAAGACATACCTGTTATGACGTTTAACCTTGCGTGACAAGGGGAATCCCCGAACTATTGACAACTAGGTCAGTAGCACAGCTATGTCGATAGGTTCTCATCGACAGACGGGACCCGGCGTTACGTGCGCTCAAAGCTTAAGATATCGATTTGACATTCCTGTACGCATAGCTAGTCAATAGTAGATCCGTCAAATACAGTGCCTGTAATTGCGATATTGATATATAATCTCTGTTTAGAGGGATACATTTACATGTTTATATTTTTTATGGACGTGTTTATTTACAAAGATGAGGAAAAGTGGCAATATAAGAAGTTTTACGCACATACCTATATTTGTTTATGAACCAGCTAAGCAAATATGTGTTAGTGTGTACGCGTGTGCGTGACTTTGTGTGTGTTTGTGTGCGTGTTTGTGTGCGTGTGCATTTGTCCCTGAGTGCCGATACCTGTTGTGACGATACCTATAAATGATTCATTAAGAGACAAATTCAAAACTAATGCCATTTGACACATCGTCTGATATTACAACACAACATAAACCAGCTAGACGCGCGACAGCATCTGCACACATACTTGGGGTGTTAGTGCTACTCAGTAAATGTATTCTTCACGCTGATTTATTCGTCATTAATTCCGAGTAATGATTATGTTTTGTTTCCAGTAAGCATATCGCAGCATGAGGCAGAATACACTATTTTTATACGTAGAAACCCCTGCGATTAACCACACAGATATGAAAGTGTTGATGTCGTCCCTAATCTAGGGGGGAATACCTCCAGTTGCTGATGCCATAAATAACGTGACATGGACTCAACATATAGAAACACGGGCTGTCATAGTTCACTTGTCTGATATCTAACATAGCTCGAGTATATAAAGTATGGTCTCACTAACCTCATCAGTGTCAGATGGATGATATTTCAACTGGACCGAACGTCTCATGATGCTACAAAACATGGCTTTTGAGGCTCCGATTCCTTCAGGTAGGTAAATGAGTGAGTGCTTGAGTGAGTGAGACAGCAGTGATGCTAATAATATTCCACCTAATATTCGATGGTGATGAATTTGAAACGGGTATCAGTAAAGTTTTGGACCTTAAGTTTGCAGCGTTTCTGAGGCTGTTTTCAGCCGAGTAACGTTTTGATAGTGAGTGAGAATGGTTTTACGCCGCTTTAAGCAATGTTCCAGCAATATGGGGAACACCAGAAATGGGCTTTACACACTGTACACATGTGGGGAATCGAACCCGGGCCTTCTGCGTGACGAGCGAACGCTTTAACTACTAGGCTTCCCCACCGCGCCAAACGTGTTGATAACGTTTGTAATTATTTGGTCAAATTTAATTTTCAATCAAATGTATATTTTCTTTTGCTCGGCAGTTGATATCGTGGTAATATGTACATAAATCAGTCTGAAAACATTATAATTTAAAGTTACTCGTTGCAGATACCAGAGGAATAAGGGTCATACTTGTTTATGCGTACGTAATATCCCGAAAAAACCTACATAACTTTAATGTCATGGCAACGATTTACACAGTCATACGCTGATGAAGTCCTTGAATGAGCTAAATTACTTAGCATAGGAAGTTTGTTTGTTTCTTTCTTTCTTTGTTGTTTGACGCCGCACTAAGCAATATTCCAGCTACATGACGGCGGTCTGTAAACAATCGAGTCTTGACACTCCCGTCATTGATATCATGCATCAACCAAGTCAGCGAGCCTGACCACCCGATCCCGTTAGTCGCCTCTTACGACAAACATGGGTTGCTGAAGACCAATTCCTCACGGGTCTGGCATGTAAAGAAGATTATTTTTTATATCAGCGTGACCTTTAATATAATAATATTAAATATGATTACAACTAGATTACTTCTTCTCGAAACAATAACAATGACTTGTGACGGATGATATTCTTTAAAGTTTCAGGTAGGTCCACGAAAATTACAGACATTGGCACGATGTTCGAGGAGTGGGCCTGGACGACCTATCTTAAGACACCCAGACAAAAAGTCTGGTCCAGAAAGCTGAAGATTGAAGAAGTTGATATCCAGTTGAAGTGGGACAAGGTGAGGATCACATCGTTAAGGCCAGAATACACGGAAATGGGAACGAATGGCCACCGAGTACATGTCCTGTATGACTCCAAATACCAAAACAACACAGACGAAGACCAAGAACAGACATTCAGAGCTGAGAAGGAGACGATTTCCACAGCCACCACCAAACTTACAAAGGGTTTCTCCAGGGAAATCAACGTTGGCATCGAACTGACACTTCCTCCAAATCTTCCCCAAACTTCCAAAGCGGAGGCCAGTTTTGGACATCGACTGTATGTGGATAACGAGGAAGAGAACACTATTGAAAATAAGGTGAAGTGGTCCGTGGACACAAAGATCACCTCAAGACGTAACCTGGTGACTGTAGCTGAACTGGCAATAGAGGAAACAAGTTCCAAGTATGAATTCTCGATGGACGTGAAGCTGAAAGGGACGATCTTAGCTGTGATACAAGACGCCCGGGGCCAGAGAAGACATGTCATGACTGTGCAGGGGGATGTGGCTACCGTTTTGGGGGACATGAGAGACAAAGACAGATTCGGTAAACTGTTCACTGTACATATCAACAACTCTCGTACCGTCACCTGGCCTGTGTCCGGATCTCTTCACCTTAAATACGGTGTGTCACAGACGGTCAAGATCTTTCAAAGAACGTACCTGTGAAAGAAGCGTGAGGGTTAATTATGGTATAGATTATCGGCAAGGGTATGTGGACAATATATTCGGGTTTGAGTCCTCATGTGGGAGTTATTCAGGAAGCCTATTCTTTGTGCCGCCCATTGAGAATGCTGATTAATGCATCGTACATCTCCATGCTCTAGTACCAATATCAAGCTTCGGCTGTCACAGTCAGTAGATACAGACATTATCAATCAATCAATAAGACCTTAGGCCCGCGTAGAGACATTAGGAATATATCGTGCCTTATCCCAGACATTTTCTGCCAATTTAATCCTAGAGCATCACATCGTCAGTACTTCACGGGATTGTACATATCACCTGTTTTGAAGTATTGTATATTTATCCAGCCAATCAGACCACGATTTAGTTCCAGCGAGAGGGAAAACATCACCATCACACAAACAGTCACCCATGAATGTAAAAAGACCCATCTTCCAATACAGAACAGAGCTTTGTGTTCTGAAACATTCGGAAACGTTCCATTGATTGTGAACAGTGTTTCGGTGTAGATTGTCAGCGTGTTTTCATAAAGCAAATGAAAATGGTGCTCGAATTTACATTGATTATATTCGTCATGATATTATTAGTGAATTAGTGCCTATGCTTATAGTGGTTGCTGTCGTTATAATGAGTGAGTGAGTGAGTGTGTATGGTTTTACGCCACATTTAGCAATATTCCAGCAATATCGAAGCGGGGTAGAAAAAGGGTTTCTCACATTGTACCCATGTCGGGAATCGAACCCGGGTCTTCGGCGTGACGAGCGAACGCTTTAACCACTAAGCTACCCGCCCGCCCCTCGTTAGAATGAAAAAGTCAATACTGATTGATTTAAGTGCAATAAATATTCACCATAATACAACTGAAGATACCATTCCCTTTCAATTTGTACATTATACACGGAAAACAGAACTTCGGCTTTCATCCCTAGTTATTATTAAATGTATCCATAACGAACGAAAATCAATCAACTATTTGTCTAATAATGTGAAGCAGATACAAATTATTGCCATATATTTAAAAGGAAACCTGCCTGCTTAATGTAACATAAATATTCCATTGATTTTGCATAAGAAGTGCCCCATCTGTCCCTTTGCCAAAGCTTCATTTTATACGCTTATCTTTACGCGAACACCTGGTATCATCACTATTTGATAGTGATTCCTAAAAACATGCTCATGATATAGTTGGAATTGCACAATCGACTCTGTTTTTAGCAGAGATTTCTATTGAATAGGGAAAGGGTTTTGTCGCTTTTATGTATGCATTGTAGTCTTTGTCATGTGGCCTTTGATACGGAATAAACTTCTTCAGCATCTTCTTCTTCTTCTTCTGTAGGCTAGAGGGGAGGTGGAGTAGCCTGGTAGTTAAAGCGTTCGCTCGCCAGGCCGAAGACCCGGGTTCAATTCCCTACATGGGTGTCCCCCACCGTGATATTGCTGGAATGTTGCTAAAAGCGGCGGAAAACCATACTCACTCACTCTGTTGGCTAGACTGTTCTAGACTAACCAGAGACATGAAACTTGATCACGTTCTGAGTGGAGTCGTGTTTACTCACAGTGAGTGAGTATGGACAAGAAATTCGCATGCGGAGTATTTAACATTGATCATTGAAATACTGTAACATAGTGGCCTGTGAAGATCCGGGGTAGAACAGGTCTTCAGCAACCAATGCTTGCCGTAAAAAACGACTAGTAAGAGGCGACTAACGGGATCGGGTGGTCAGGCTCGCTGACTTGGTCGATGCATGTCTTCGTATCCCAACTGCGTGGATCGATGCTCGTGATGTCAATCACTGGATTGTCTGGTCCAGACTCGATTATTTACAGACCGCTGTGATATAGCTGGAATATTGCTGAGTCCAGCGTTAAACAACAGACACAACAACAAAAAAGTAACATTGAGCTAAAACATAACCACTAAATCACTAACACTTTATTCGGGAAATGAGTAATGTAGTTTCACCTATGTACCTATACGTGTAAGTATATATTCTGCTAAATTATGTTGAGATACATATGTAGGCGTGGTTGTTCAACCCAACCAGAACACTTACTCCAATTGCACGCGAGGTATCAGGCCAACAAGCAATACAGGCTTAAAGAGATGACGAAATGTCAGTATGCACCTGCCCATCAAAATAATCGGCCTTTTTAATGACATAATTTTGCATGGAAGATTGCGGCGCATAGATTGCGTCACTATACAATGATAAACGTTGCTTTAAACGACACAGTAGACATACCGAAACAGTCAACAGTCATAATATTAAAAGCGATGTACATATATGAATCGGGTCACATGAAACCAATTGGTTTCCTTTTTAAATGCACACCACCACAATTGCATTTATAATACTTACACAAAGTTCACATAATAAATATGACAAACCTTTTATGCATCAAAGGATTATCTTCTCTCCAACACAAAAACATATTACCATATACGCGATGGACCGGTATAAACTAATGTACTTAAGCTACACATTCGGTGTTTACTCTGGAACTACTGGCAACACTGCCAAAGAGACAAACCATTTAACATTGTAGGGGAGGGGGAATGGGTGACCAGTGATTTTTAACAGAATTTTTTTTTTCTGTCACTGCTTCAAAGCATATATTTGTTTCTCCAAAACGAGGAGTACAACATTGTTTCTTGCATAATCTGTGTCAAAAAATACCAAACAAACCAAAAACATCTCCGTATATTCTGGAACAAATATCTTTTTTCCCGGGCACCCCAGAATACCAAATGTTTGATCCCTTATAAGATGTTGTGATCCTTCACTGCCGGCGTCTGTACGGTAATCCCTCTGTCATATTAACATCTTTAATGTGAATCGCTGACATCTCAGCAAAATAAGAAATTTAAAATCTGTACATTGATTTTTTTTATAATAAAGACATTATAAAGGTTTGCATCAAACACGCGAGCATTATAGGCTCACGTGGGATAGATAGCAAAGCACGAAGGTACTGTAGGAATTTACGATTTCCGTGTATATATACAAAATATATATCTATAACTAAGATACCTATATACTCTCTGTCGTTTCATTTTTGAAACTGCAGTCCACCTCCACAAAGAGTGATTACTTTTTAACGAGACTGTAATGGTACATACAAAACTCGCGAACAGAATGATTTCCACTCAAAATTCACATCAAGTGTTAGGTTAATACACTAGAATACTACGGTTATAACGAACACAAAGGGACCACTAATTTTAGTTCGTAATAACACGTAGTTCGTTATAAGCATTCATACAACATATATACTGCAAATGGCCGGGACCCAAAAAAGTTCGTTATATACGTCAGCTCGTGGTAAGGGTGTTCGTTATATACGAAGTTGCCGTGCTACATGCTTTCAGTGCCTGTCATAAGTTCGTGTGAAGTATTACTCTGTAAGCAAACTGCTTGAGTATAGAGAGCGACATATTTTGTTTAAAGGCTCTTGTTCCGTAAATTCTGATCGACAACCCACTCAAAACACTGAACTCAATTTTTGACACTTCACTCAATAGATTTGCTAACACCAAAGAGTTAGCGTTTGATGTAGTCAGGGTAGAATGGAAATAAACATTTTGTGTTTTCAATGTACATGTAAATTGAACATTTGAAATCACACACTGCGCGTTCGGTCCCAATGTCAATTTAGCGCAATTATTCTACAGGTAATGAAGATCTACATTGAAAACACAGTATGTTTATCTCCAAAACAAGCATGATGTGAATCGAAACTTGTAATATTCAAAGTATGACATAAAATAAAAATTGTTCAGCAAACCCGAATGAGCCACGTACCGAATGCACTGTAATGCTTCAAGAACATGTTATCTATGTCATGCGACACTGTAAATATCGTCACTGATCTGTTCATGTATGAAAGTGTTTGAATACCTAGTTGTGGGTATTAAAAATGAAAGTAGGGAAACAACCATCTGCTAATGTCTGAAACGACAGCTCTATATTAGGACCGGTGTTAAACACAACCGTCAGCTCTATGTCTATACAAAGACATACCTGTTATAACGTTTAACCTTGCGTGACAAGGGGAATCCCCGAAGAATTGACAACTAGGTCAGTAGCACAGCTATGTCGATAGGTTCTCATCGACAGACGGGACCCGGCGTCACGTGCGCTCAAAGCTTAAGATATCGATTTGACATTCCTGTACGCATAGCTAGTCAATAGTAGATCCGTCAAATACAGTGCCTGTAATTGCGATATTGATATAAAATCTCTGTTTAGAGGGATACATTTACATGTTTATATTTTTAATGGACGTGTTTATTTACAAAGATGAGCAAAAGTGTTAATGTAAGAAGTTTTACGTACAAACCTATATTTGTTTATGAACCAGCTAAGCAAATATGTGTTAGTGTGTACGCGTGTGCGTGACTTTGTATGTGTGCGTGTTTGTGTGCGTGTGCGTTTGTCCCTGAGTGCCGATACCTGTTGTGACGATACCTATAAATGATTCATTAAGAGACAAATTCAAAACTAATGCCATTTGACACATCGTCTGATATTACAACACAACATAAACCAGCTAGACGCGCGACAGCATCTGCACACATACTTGGGGTGTTAGTGCTACTCAGTTAATGTATTCTTAACGCTGATTTATTCGTCATTAATTCCGAGTAGTGATTATGTTTTGTTTCCAGTAAGCATATCGCAGCATGAGGCAGAATACACTATTTTTATACGTAGAAACCCCTGCGATTAACCACACAGATATGAAAGTGTTGATGTCGTCCCTTATCTAGGGGGGAATACCTCCAGTTGCTGATGCCATAAATAACGTGACATGGACTCAACATATAGAAACACGGGCTGTCATAGTTGTCTGATATCTAACATAGCTCGAGTATATAAAGTATGGTCTCACTAACCTCATCAGTGTTAGATGGATGATATTTCAACTGGACCGAACGTCTCATGATGCAACAAAACATGGCTTTTGAGGCTCCGATTCCTTCAGGTAGGTAAATTAGTGAGTGCTTGAGTGAGTGAGACAGCAGTGATGCTAATAATATTCCACCTAATATTCGATGGTGATGAATTTGAAACGGGTATCAGTAAAGTTTTGGACCTTAAGTTTGCAGCGTTTCTGAGGCTGTTTTCAGCCGAGTAACGTTTTGATAGTGAGTGAGAATGGTTTTACGCCGCTTTAAGCAATGTTCAAGCAATATGGGGAACACCAGAAATGGGCTTTACACACTGTACACATGTGGGGAATCGAACCCGGGCCTTCGGCGTGACGAGCGAACGCTTTAACTACTAGGCTTCCCCACCGCGCCAAACGTGTTGATAACGTTTGTAATTATTTGGTCAAATTTAATTTTCAATCAAATGTATATTTTCTTTTGCTCGGCAGTTGATATCGTGGTAATATGTACATAAATCAGTCTGAAAACATTATAATTTAAAGTTACTCGTTGCAGATACCAGAGGAATAAGGGTCATACTTGTTTATGCGTACGTAATATCCCGAAAAAAACTAAATAACTTTAATGTCATGGCAACGATTTACACAGTCATACGCTGATGAAGTCCGTGAATGAGCTAAATTACTTAGCATAGGAAGTTTGTTTGTTTCTTTCTTTCTTTGTTGTTTGACGCCGCACTAAGCAATATTCCAGCTACATGACGGCGGTCTGTAAACAATCGAGTCTTGACACTCCCGTCATTGATATCATGCATCAACCAAGTCAGCGAGCCTGACCACCCGATCCTGTTAGTCGCCTCTTACGACAAGCATGGGTTGCTGAAGACCAATTCCTCACGGGTCTGGCATGTAAAGAAGATTATTTTTTATATCAGCGTGACCTTGTTATATAATTTAAATATGATTACAACTAGATTACTTCTTCTCGAAACAATAACAATGACTTGTGACGGATGATATTCTTTAAAGTTTCAGGTAGGTCCACGAAAATTACAGACATTGGCACGATGTTCAAGGAGTGGGCCTGGACGACCTATCTTAAGACACCCAGACAAAAAGTCTGGTCCAGAAAGCTGAAGATTGAAGAAGTTGATATCCAGTTGAAGTGGGACAAGGTGAGGATCACATCGTTAAGGCCAGAATACACGGAAATGGGAACGAATGGCCACCGAGTACATGTCCTGTATGACTCCAAATACCAAAACAACACAGACGAAGACCAAGAACAGACATTCAGAGCTGAGAAAGAGACGATTTCCACAGCCACCACCAAACTAACAAAGGGTTTCTCCAGGGAAATCAACGTTGGCATCGAACTGACACTTCCTCCAAATCTTCCCCAACCTTCCAAAGCGGAGGCCAGT